CCAAGTGGTAGGAGTTGCAATAATCTGGTAGTGGGATATTCCCAGGCAATATATCCTGTTCATTAATTAGCATCAAGTATTGACTACTACTAGACTAGTAGTACTAGTAGTAGCATGGATATGTTGTTAAATGTTCTTACCAAAATAGAAAATACTGCCGAGCCACTGGTACTGGTCTGCAACCAGTCCTATATCCTGTTTCAGGCCCATAATACTAGCATATGACAAAGTGGTCTCTATTGATCTCGTTAGATTAAAGACTCCACAGAGTGATTACTTTCCAAGGTTGTATTTACTATCAAGGAAATTCATCCCATAGACACAGCACATGATAGGCATGATGTGCCAGTCGATGGTTCGCAATAAACGACGATTTGTCGCTTCGTCGAGTTCCACTGATTGGCCCTGCAGATTCTCAAAGATCTTCATGGCCTCATCTGCATCTTTGGCATGCTTTACCAGTGTAGGATCGGCATTCTTCATGATAGATAGCTCGATATCCACGCCGGTGGACACGCCTTGTGTGTCGTGGTCCGAGTCTTTCGCCATGATGAGGCAGGACAGGGTGGTACCAATGGGTGCTTGAAAAGGATAAGCGTGAAGGTAGAGAAAGGGTTCCTTAGGTTGATAATCTCATAAAATTGAGGGATGCAAAGGGGTTAAATAGAGTAGATCCAAGTGTCCGAGCTTCTGTGGGGAGTGATAAGGTATTGGGTCGAAACCAAATAATACGAGCCTGATATTTTCCCAAATGGAATCCCCAGAATCCGGGGAACTCGGAGGAGGGGGCAAATCCGACATCGTTCGGTTCACCAGACCAGATGTCTGGTAGAATCGGGCCCATTGGATGTACCGCAGTCCCCCCCCCGGGATGAAGAGGAGAGAATCCTTCCGTTTGAGCATAAATCTGCCGTGGCACCCAATTAAAACCTATTTTTTCCGGTAAGCACTATTGAGGCATTTCGTTGCACTTGCGCTGAGTCTAACTGACCAATTCGAGGGGCTGGGAAATTTAGACTCGCCCGGATGGCGGCTACCAAAATTCTCTTCCATATACGGTTCATCTCTAATTTCTTTAAAAACATAGTCTTTCTCGGTGTAAACTACCAATCACTCCAGGGTTTGCACACGAAGTCGGTTAATATTTCTTCACTACTGGATCCAGCCAGCAATAGGGGTCTAGGTGCCGAGAACAAAATCGCATTTCATCAATTCATAGACATGGCACCACAGGGCTTGTTACCAGGTGTCACCGGAGCGATCCTTGCCCTATTCTCCTTACAACTTCCTCCTATCGGGCGGAAATGGCTCTCTTGTAATCCGTTGCGATATAAGGTGTCTGCATGGCAATTTACATGCAGGCCAAGGATATGGCCGGCTACCTGACCTAAACAAGTAGGAGGATATCGTGCAGAGTGTAATTTTTCCAACTCACTGAATCGCCAAGCTCGCCATTTTAGTATTGCGATTCTGTGCTATACGCCTCCGCACCGGAGAATTTTCGGAAACCTCATACTGTACTAGCGCAAGCGGCATGGTTTCTGGTCTCCAGGGCTTGGCCTGCGTTGCTCCCGGCCATTTGCTGGCTAGAAATGTATCGCCAAGGGAGGAAGCGTCGTCTTGGCTTGGGAGCGGGCGGTATTTGGCTCTCATCATTCCTGATATCCACTGGTGTTTATGTGTGTCCTCAATTGAAATGATGAGTCGGTACATGTACTAACCTAAACTTGGAGCCCAATCCTACATATTCTAGGGTCCGTTTGATATGCGATTTAGGATCCATATGCGGCTCTTAACGATCTTCAGAGCTCTGGGTCTCTCTATAGACCGCAATTGACTTTGAAGAAATCAGTCTAGTCCTAAGAACGGCCAAGAATTAAACATCCAACTTGGGATCCTTTTGTTTCAAGGTTTCAGATATGCATGCATGACCTTCGGAATGGGCCGAATATATTATGAAATATCATCCCTGCCACGAGGTTTCCCGCGGTGAATCCAAAGCTACGAGGAAAGTTAGTTTCCAATTCGACGAGAGCAATAAAGGGCTGAACCTGGAGAAAAACGCAGCCAAGGTGTGGGGAATCTTATTTAGTTGCGCGGCAAGCGACCAGAAGCCGCTTCCCCGCATTCCTTCCATTGGGTTGGAGTTGCCATGAACACTTCTTATTGGTTCATGTTGGCTTCCTGGGGGAAACCTTACGGCAGTTTGGTCAGTTTTGTCGTGTTTATGCTTTTGGTGGATCTGATTCCACTGTCTCCTCAGGACTAGTACAGCTTTCCAGCTTAACTGCAAGGCTATACACCTCCCTTTTGCCCCCTTTCTCGCTATTATAGACTTAGTATCATGTATCAAATGTACCTGTTCCCCAACAATCAGGCTTCTACTGAAGTTTTGAGCTAATCAACATCTAGGTCGTTGGTGAAATTCCGGAGTAACGAGGCATAAGAGTATGGTCAGTAACCAACTCCAATATCGTTCGAGCAACGACAGAAAGACAAATCCAAACGCGGGTCACTCCTCGGTGGCACACCATATCCCCCTGTTACCCATGGACATCAATCTTCTGCCGTTTCGTACTGCTACATTGCATATAACGGTCTCAAATGTGATTGTTGACCCCAGCGTTTCGAAAGACACATGCACTTTGGAAATCCCTTGTTTCAGACACATCGCTGTCAAGGAGTATGGGGCTGATTGCTTTTACCGAAGGAACATAGGTATAATTAATGTTTGCAACAGCAGATACTACTATCTGACCACTGCCGAGCCAGCCTTTCCAACCAGTCTCTACGAAGCAAAAGGATCACAATCAACAATGCGCTAATCGCGCAAAACAACCAAATTCAATATTTTGCTATCATGTATCATGTATTTTTCCTCCCAAGACCAATCAAAGCAGAGTCCGCATATCATCCATGTTACGAATACCAGCCAGATTACCCGCCTTAACACGCTTAAGCGTAAGAGCCGCAATCAAAGCTGCACCAACACCCGATCCATCCTCAGCAGCCATGATAGAAACCTTATCCTTCTCGTTCGGCGCCCAGTCCAGAATCTCCCGCAGAGCCTGAGCACCACGAGCCTTGAAGTGGGGGTACTTGGTGAAAACCGAGCCATCGGCACCAACGTGGCACGACTCGATATTCTTCTTCGTACAGATGGCTGCGACACCACAGGCGGAAAGACGCGCAGCGCGGGTACCGATCAATTCGGCCAGACGACGGATCATCTCGAGTTCGGGCTCGGTGGGACGAATGCCGAGATGGCGGTCGAAAACCTCTGCTGTCTCGGTCAAGTTCTCGTAGGGGTCTTCTTCGATTGCGGCGAGGAAGGACGCGTCGAGGAGGTAGGGCTTGCGAAGCTTGGAAGTATCTTGGCCCTTGAAGATGAGGTCTTGGTGCGAGTCGATTAGATCGATTAGGGCGAGGCGGAAAATTTCGCCGAGGTATAGGCCTGCGGTCATCTTTTCGAAGGCTTGTTGGCCTGGTCGGGGCGAGTCGCGGTCGATGATCTCGTCGTATTTGGATAGTGGGAGGACGACGCGCTCGTTGTCGAAGGCACCGTATTCGCAGTTGATGGCGACGGGCATGTCTGGGGGTAGGTTCATGTGTGCGAGCTTGGGGACCGAGCCGACGTCTTCCATGTAGGCGGCGTTTACGCCAGTTCCGAAGATGCAGCCGATCTTCATTTCGGGGTCTGTGTATGCGGAGGCGATCATTGTGCCGGTGGTGTCGTTGATCAGGGCTGCGACTTTGATGGGGAGACCCTGGGTGATATTAGATTGGAGACGACAGAGAGGGGAATGGTATAGATCGGACGAGACATACTCGCTTCTTCAGGATGTTCTCCAGAGGGGGAACGACGTCCTGGCCCTCGACACCGTCAATGTCAAAGCCCTTGGTCCAGCGCTGCAGAATTCCGTGGTCGATGTAGTCTTGAGTGGCAGGGTAGGAGAAGGTGAAGCCCAGGGGCAGCTTGGCGAGATCCTCATTCTCGTGATGGTGCTCGATGAATTGCTGCAGACAATCGGCAATGTACTCCCACAGCTCCTCAGCGGTACCGGTGCGGAGCTCCTCGGGCATCTTATACTTGGATTGGGTGATGTCGAAAGCGCCCTTCTTCTCGGTCAAGGTGATCTCGCAAACGCGCAGGTTGGTGCCGCCCATGTCGAGGGCGAGGAAAGTACCTTGCTCTTCACCGTCGGGGAAGCCAAGGACCCAGGTAACGTTCATCGGCTATGGTGTTGTCAGTCAGCTAATGTTTCCTGATTCTCCATTCCATTCCATTGCCTGTTGCATGTGGAGTGCGGGATTCTCACAATGTTGCCGCCCTCAACGGTCAGACCTATGCAAAGCAACCCTTGTTAGACAGCGGACCTCGGTGCATCACAGAATCAGCAACGTACCCTTCTCCAACTCCTTGACGAAGTGGTTGACGATCTGCTTCAGCTTGGCACGGTCCACGGTAAAGGCATCTTCGAAATCCTTGATCTGCTGCAGCAGGTTCTGCGGCAGATCGTGCATGGAACCTAAGAATAACAGGAATCATCAGCATCGCGAAAGGGCATAGATAGGCAGGGCGGGGGTTCGTAGAGAAGGAGAAGCTTACCCTTGCGGGAAGGAGGCTGCTTAGGACCAATTCCAACCATATTGAATGTAATTAGATGGACAGATGAAGTGATTGTGCAAGGGAAGGGGAGAAAGGGAAAAGAATCAAGTGGGATGAGAGGTGGGGATGACGATGGACGTGGGGCAGGGATCGCCTTAGCTTGTTTTGGCTGCGGTGGACGGAGGGGCCAAGTGCGACTGGTGAACTTTGGGTTAACTTGGCTTGGGAGATTACTGCTAGTATTCGTATTTATTCTATCTGTTTTTTATCTAGGGTACTTTCATCTTCTACACAGTACGATTCTACTCTACTCTACTGTATGCTGCCGACTGACAAGCGGTGAGCCCATTATGGTATTCTTTCATGATCATATCTACCTGTCAACTCAACACTAATGCGCTTGGTGCGCCAAGTGTGGGAATACATGGCTCAATCCACTCACAGTCTCGGATTCTTGCTCTCCGCCATGTTCATTGCTTTGGTGGCTGCTTCTGCTGCTGCCATTGCTTCCCCCATCCAGCTTCTCCCTCACTCTCTGCTGGTAAGCATCGGTCAAATGCAGCGAGCGGTCAACTTCCTGTGTCAGACGATCCACTTCCTCCCGCAGACGTTCGTCCCGGTCCTGCGGCGCATTCTCTCCTCCGTCTGGGTCTGGTTCTGGATCTGCGACTGGGTCTTGGGCTCGGGCTCGGTTTCCCCCCCAAAGCGCCTCCAATTCTTCCTCCCACCCCATCGCCTTGGCAAACTTGCGCACTCCAGCATCACAATCGCCCAGGAGAAGGACATCGTCAGGTCGCGATCCCATCCCGCCCACTTTTTGCATATTAATCAAAACGCGAGGCACCCCGTCACTGACCAGTGAGGGAAGACTAGCAAACGGTTGGACTGACAAACTCGTCCCCATCACGATGCACAAATCCGCCGCTGCCGGCAGCGAGCGATTTTCAAAGAACGATGATGGGAGTGCCTCGCCGAAGAAGACAATGTCGGGTTTGACGTAGCCACCACATCCGCAACGAGGAACCTTGCCCTGATCCACCATCTTGTGCATCTCCTCGTCTGGGTACGGAGTCTTGCATTCGATACAGCGCTGCGAGGCAAAACTGCCATGGGCCTCGACGATCATCTCCCCGGGGACCCCGGCTTGTCGCTCGAGACAGTCGATATTTTGAGTAAAATGCTTCAACAGCATCCCCTTGTCGTAGAGTAATTTGATGAATGAATGGGCGATGGTTGGTCGGTATTTCCAGGGTACAGCTCATGTGCCAGCGCGTAGAATGGCTTGGGGTTCTCGCGGAAGAAGGTGATGTCGAATACATCTTCCGGTTCCTCCAGGTCCAGGAATGCCAAATTGGCGTAGAGACCAGTATCTGGAGATCGGAAATCGGGGATGCCTGCCGATGTGCTGATTCCGGCTCCCACCTGCAGAAGCAGTTAGCATTGCATGAGAGAAAATGAATATTTGACATACCATCAATACAATTCGTTTCACATCATTCTGCTTGATGTATTTGGCCACCGCCTCCATGCTGCGCGCCTCCAGCACTGAAGGCCGAGTGGACTCGTCCACTACAGTAGACTCTTCGTTCCCCATGGCACGAGCACGAGGGCGCCTAGGCTGATGATGGGGATGGTGCCTAGGGTGTTGGTGGCGGGATCTGCGTCGGTGTCCTATTCTGACGAAGTGTAGCAGCCACTAATGCTCAAGGATGTAAATTGTGCGTGATTGAACGAAGCCGAGGTGATCTCACGTTGAGAGAGACTTTTTGCGTGATGGAAGAGAAATGACGTTTGGTTGCAATCTCGACGAGTACAGCAGCGCCTTTTTTAATCAGGAGAACTTCAAACCTCGCACAAACACAGCTCCCCTTTTCCTTTCTAAATAGTGTTTGTTTTTTGAAAAATAACCCTACAGCAAACAATTGATCTTTGTATAAAATCAATTCCCATTGAATTTCTCCAACCAAAAAACGAAAACGAAAAAGGCGAGGCTCATCTTCACCGCCCACCAAAAGGGCCAACCGGGCGATTTGGCTTCATCAAAACATCCCCCAGTCTTTCTTCCTTTCTTCCTCTCTTCGATCTTCTCTCTTTTATACCTACGAGTGGTGGACTCGCCCCTGTCTAACTATAGCCAGGATGGCTACTGCCACTGCCACTGCCACCAATGGGCACTCCTCCCCCTCACCTCCACTCGAGCAATTCACCTCCATCGATGCCTCCCCGCAATCCGACGTCTTCAATGCCAGCTCCGTCGCCGAGATCAAAGCTGCCCTATCCCGCCTGCATACCCAAGAAGCATCCGTAACAGCTCGTCTCGATGCCCTGGTCACCTCTCAAAAGGACCTTTCCCGCGAATTGGGCCGACTCGATCTGATGCGCGCCCACATCGGCACGCAAACCAGCACCACTCGATCCGTCAGTCATGGGATGCTCTCCGAAGCTGCCGGCACCGCAGACCGTATCTCCAGCGCCGTCCGCCGACTCGATCTCGAACAGGCCCGCGTGAAGGCAACACTGGAAGTGGTGGAGCAGGTGGCCGAGCTGAAAGCATGCGCATTAGGTGTTGCGGGGTCAATGGGTGCTTCTCAGGATTGGGAGACAGCAGCCAGCTACCTACACCGGGCATCGCAGGTTCCTGCAAGCGTCCTCAATGGACCCTTTGCTGCGGAGATGGTGCCTACAGCTGAGGTGCCGGATCCACCAAGCGTGACGCTTGACAATGCCGCGGAGTCGCTCTGTGGATTGTTCCTGCGCGAATTCGACAAGGCGGTTAAAGAGAGTGATGGAGCGAAGATTACTCGCTTTTTCAAGCTCTTCCCGCTCATTGGGCGGTCGGAGGTCGGGTTGGATGTCTACGGTCGTTATGTTTGCCAAGGTGTCTCGGCTCGTGCTCGGGGTAATCTCAATGCGGGTGCCCAGGCTAACGAGGGTTTCTTCTATGCCAATACGTTGACGAAGCTGTTTGAGCATATTGCGCAGATCATTGATGGTCATGGTGGGCTGGTCGAACGCCATTATGGCCCGAGGAAGATGGGAAGGGTCATTGAGCGGTTGCAGATCGAGGCTGATGTTCAGGGTGGCATTGTTTTGGATACGTGGAGCGATGAGCGCCATGTTGATCGCAAACTCATGGATATAAAATCCTACGCTTTTACTTTCCTGGTTCAGAGCTTCCTCCCAGCGCAGCGCCCGGGTCAACAGCACTCCAATTCGCCTGCGCCTGGGGCACATGCGACCCCTGAGGATGAGGGTGTTGATATGAAGGAGATAGATGGCCTTCTGAACGAGATGGCAATCATGTTGGGTCGGTGGTCGCTATACTGCCGCTTTCTGGCGGATACATGCAATGTAAGAAAAGCGCTTCCATCACATCCATCCGAGGACAGCTAACCTAATGACTTATAGCCTCCTGCCGAAAATAAGGAGTCTGAAGATGATGCGCATTTCACGCCTCCGGCCTTCCTATCGGAATCTTCACTCGCACGGAAAGTTGGTGACAAGTTAATCGTGCCATTCAATGCAATGACCACCTTCTTCTTCCGCCGGTCCGTGGAGAAGGCCTTCCAACTGGACGAGTCGCCATCAGGATTGAGCCTGAACATGCACCAGCCATTGAAGTCCGACCCTCCTCACATTACATCCGCCGTCGACGACATCATGTATATCGTGAACAAGGTCATCCAACAGTCTCTCGCAACCTCGCAAGAGGGCGTAGTGACCAACGTCGTCCCAACCCTCTCCCGCGTGTTAGGCTCTGACTTCATCGGCATGACCCAGCGCAAGATGCGCGACGAATGCTACCCACGCGCCGCAGTCCAAGGCGGCCAACCCCCAGAACAGATCGTGATCGCCTTCCTCGTGCAAATGAACAACCTCGATATCGGCATTGACTACATCCGCCGAATCGTGGCCAACAACACAGGCACACAGCAGCAAACGGGAACCAGCAGCGAAAAGCCCAACGAGCAAGTATCCGAGCACCTACGCTCGCTCTTCCCAGTCCCCAGCTCTGCCCGACGAGTCTCGCAAACCTTGCAAACATTAGCCACATCCTTCGAAACGAAAGTAAACGAACTCCTCTCCGACGGTATTCAAGTCGTCTTCAACAACGTCATCAAACAACGTCTCCGACCCATCCTCGCCGACGCATTCAGGGACATAGAATACCAACCCACCAACACCGAAGAAACAGAATACGATGAAAACCGTAGCAGTAAGGAGATTGTCCGCCCCCGCTTCGCAACCGGCTGGTCCGACCTCCTCCTCCCCATGGCGCGGATTCTCACCCAGCAAGCCTTTGCCCGACTGCTCACAGTGACAATCGCCTACATGGCCCGTCTGCTGGAGAAGAGACTCTGGTCTTACCAGGGCCGAGTGAACCCGCTCGGTGCGGCACGACTCGAGCGCGATATCTCGGGTCTTGTTAGTGCGGCTGTGGATGTTGGGTTTGGGGTTGGTGGGGCGACGGGAAGGTATAGACATCGTGAGGCGTTTGTTAGGTGTGTCCAGATGACGCTTGTTATGAGTATGGATGAGGATGAGTGGGATGAGGTGTTGCATGGTGGAGACGCAGCGGATGTTGTTGATAAATTGAGTCGCGAGGAGAGGATTCGTGTTAGGGGGATGTTGAGAAGGGGGTAGATTAGATGGTGTGATTTGGTCTACTGTATAAAGCATCTTCTCTTAGCATTTTACTGTTTCTTTTTCATCTTTTGCATATATTTATTCATCTATATTGGCCATTCACATCTTTCAAGGCAATAGCTTGGAGAGTATCACCTACGAACATCCGGAGTACTCGCGGTCCTCTCCACTTACTTTCTGCATCATACTTTTTCAGAAACTTGGTCTAATTGGTGCCCAGCCTCACAGCCTAATACGAATTCAGTACCTATTCACGAGGCTCGTAAAACCCAGCGCTTAACCCAATCACACTCCTCGCTGACAAGGGGATAAGAGCCTGCCAAGGATCTCGCCAAGGGGAGAAAGCGGGATATACTCCGAAGTACACTCTAAATCAAAGAGGAGCCTCAGCGCTAGGCGTATTTATACGAGAGCCACCTCCTCTCGTCACCTTTCCCATAAAATCAGAACATAACGTACTACTCTAATCCATTACCCCAGCCCTGAATTAACTTCTCAAATCAAACCGCAATCCTGGATATCATAACCTCCAAATCAGCCGCCAGCGCCATGCCCAGCGCCTCCACAATATCGGGGTATACCTACGAAAACTGGGGCCCAGTAACAACAACCTTCACACCACCAGCCAGCTGCGCCACAGCCTCCAACAAGATCGAAGTCGGCCCCAGTGATTCATCTCGACCTATCTTCCGATACGGCCTTCAATGCGAAACTGTCGGAGGCTGGGAATGTTATCCATCCGCTACGATCGAAACGACTACAACACCCGATACGAATCCTACCCAGTTCTTCAAGGCGCATTATTACTCGCCTGGTCTTTACTGTCCGGCTGATTGGGTTACTGTTGGTGTTGCGTCTTGGGATGGGGATGGGGATAAGTCGTTGATTACTTCGGGGGTTTTGGCGCCGCCGACGACGGCGGAGATTGTGCAGCGGGATGGGGAGGTGTTTCTGGGTATTTTGGATAAGAGTGAGACGGCTGTTATTTGTTGTCCGAGGTAAGGATTAAAAGAAGCATATTTGACCTATTTCTCATTTTTCAGGCTCTTTTCTAACTAACAAACTTGAACCCGTCTTTCAGGTCATACTCAGCCGATGTGCAATACGGCTGCTGGTCCACGATTTCAGATTACAAACCCTCCTCGGCGTGTAACTGGGAAATTCCCAAGGTGGATTGGTTAGGCAGCTCATCGATAAAAACAACAATAAACGGTACAGCGACGACAAGATATCTCCAAACGCTCGCCGGTACTTCCCCATTCATTGGACCGGCTACGACGACTTTTGATGCCGAGGATAAAAAGACCTTGGTTGGCATGGCTGTTAATCCTATGTTAACTCTTATTCATAAGAAAGCTGATTTTGATGGTATGTAATGAATTTCTTTCTCTCTTGTTTCCCATCAAACCTATCGAGGGGAGGGGGTTTTCCAGATGAAAGACATGTATCTCTTTCAAAAGACTATCTTGTTTTGAAATTTAATTGTGACAACCCAACATCTAATCGGATGCTGACATTTTCATTCATAAGATGCCGGCCCTACTAGTACGAACCATGCAGCGAGACTAACTCCAGGATCATCTTCTTGGAATGGGTTTGGTTCGGTGGTTGGTATTTCCGTCGTTGCGATGATGTTGGGAGCTGCTATCGTACTGCCATTGTAGATTGGCACCTGGTTAGTTGAGACAAAAGGCGCTGGATTTTACAAAGGATACCTCAATAATCAAGGCTGGACGATGTGGAAGATTTCAAGTTAGTTAAATAGTTTGATGAATGTCTCTTTGGACCAATCAATTACGTTGTTTGAATGGAAGGGAAGGATCAAGTTGAGTGAAATAAAATCAAATTCTATACTGCGACGACAGGAATGATCCAACTCCTGGAAAAGTAATAGGCAAATATACACCCCGATTCATAAAGGTTTGGTCCAAAGTTTTGAAGAAAACGCCTTGCTTGAAAGCTCGAGATTGCTTTTGCTTGTTGGTCTCGCTGTATGAGCGCGATGACCGGAACAGAAAGCGAGGATAGGTGCGATGCGGTGAGGATGGAAGATGATGAGAGTGTTATGTAGATCGGATCGGATGATAGATGGATGAATAGGTTGGAGATAGGTATACAGGAAAGAAAAGCCCCAGGCTTTCCGAGTAAAAATAGAAACAGAAACACGCTCAGGGATATCGAACAAAATGCGAAAGCGAAAGCGAAAGCGAAAAAAAAGGTGAAGTGGAAGGCTGAAGATGCTGGATGATCGAAGGAGAAGATACCGAGGGTAAAGAAGATGAGGGTATATCAAAGAAGCAATTAGACATCCTTTTCATCAACAGGTCGCAAGACAACGGGTGTCGCGGTCGGACTGGGCGCACGAATCTGCGTGTCAGGAGGGTGCGACTCGGCGACTTGTCGAGGGGCTTGCGCCATCTTGATTTCTTGAATCGCCATGTCTCCCTCACTGCCACCGCGAGAGCTCTGGCTGATCTCGCCCATGTTCATGTTCATGCCCATAATGGGCGGTTGGCCCTCAAGCATCATCTCCGAGTGCTCGCCGATACCGTAACGCTCATTAGCGGGGATGTGGTGACCGTCCTCGTATTGATCCTTGGCCTGGGGGGTCCAAGCAAGGTAGTCACGGCGAACCTCAACATAGTCATAGGCGAACTCGCCGAGCTGGTCGTCGTCCATGCCGAGGAGCTCTGCCTCTTCCGAAGCACGTAGGTTCAGGCCAGGGATGGCGTTGATGGTATAAGCGATGATGGCAGACATGACGAAGGAGTAAGCGGCAGTTGCGACAATATAGGCGATTTGAATATAAAGTTGCTTGTAGTTGTGGATGACCCAGCCACCAGTGCCGGCGCCTGTGTTGACACCATCCAAGCCGACAATAGCGTCGTCGCCGAAGAACGCGTTAAAGATGAGTCCGACAATACCGGCGATACCGTGCTCAGCCAGAACATCCATGGAGTCATCGATGCGAATCCAGTACTTGATCTTGGTTGCGTAATTGCACACGATGCCAGTGACGACACCCAGAATGACACTGGCCCAGGGGAGATAAATCCTGATGCTGGCGTCGCAGCCACAAGACCTGAGATAGTGCCGGAACACCAGCCGACCATCGACCACTTTCTGGCGAGGCGCCAATCAAGCAGAACCCAAGTAATAGCGGCGAAGGCGGCAGTCAAGTTCGTGTTCCAGGAAGCCATAGTAGCGCGAAGGTTGGCACCAAAGGCAGAGCCGCCGTTGAAGCCTAGCCAGCCGAACCAGAGGAAGACGGTACCGAGGAGGATGAGAGAGACGTTGTGTGGGCGGAAGTTGAGCATCATGCGTTCTTGACGGCGACCCAGGACCATCGAGTATGCCAGAGCAGTGAAACCGGATCCAATTTCGACGGGACCACCACCGGCATAGTCCATAACGCCATATTTATAGGCCCAGCCGTTGGAGTTCCAAGCCCAGCAGGCGAGCGGACAATAGACGATCGTAGCCCAAATGAAAGTGAAGACCATGGCGGGAAGCAGGCGACCGCGCTCAGCGACGGCACCCATGACGATAGCAGCAGTGACACCTAGGAATTGCATCTGGTGGCAGAGGATTAGCAAGGAGTCTATCAATCGATCGGAAACTCAGGATCGTACTTCATAAAAGGCGAAAAGGAGGCCAGGGATCAAGGGTGAGCCGGGACTGGGATCAGCAAGGGTTTTCATGAGGCCGAAGTTGCGTAGATTGCCGATGTAGCCGTTTGTCGCGGTGGTGGAAAAAGCAAGCGAGTAGCCCCAGAAATACCATTGAAAAGTGACAACCGAGAACGAAGCCATACAGGCCCAGATCATGCTAAGAGCGGACTTGCGACGAGCGAGACCAGAGTACAGGAAACCTAGGCCAGGGATCATGACCATGACCATTGCGGAAGAGACGATGATATAGGCCTGGTCGCCGGACTGGAACCATTTGTTGACATTTTCGGTGCCTTTTGGAATTTGTTAGTAATTTGTTTCGATAGCAGCAGTGCGAGAATTGGAGCTGAGAGGCTTGATGCTGAGCTCTCACGTACGGGAATCACCGCCCAAGTCGGTGTTGGTGGAGAGGTCATAATTGGCGGGAGCACCGATCCAGTTGTAGGAGGCGTAGTCGGGGGCGTACGGGGATTTCCCGTTAAACGCCGACATGATGAGCTAGCTAGCTTTTAATAAGGTGTAATCAAGGCGTAGGCGTAGTCGTGAGTGTGGGTGTACAGGGTGTCGAGGGCGTGGGTTTGATATGAAGGGCGCGGGTGTGAGTCGAGGGGGGTGTTGAAGATGGAAAATTCCAGAGTCGAGTTACGTCGGAGGAATTGAAGAAGTAAATGTGGAGAAAGAAAGCGAGTTCGCCACGGGGAGGCCAGGTATAAGAAAGAATCCTGCAAACGTTGCGGAGGGCCCAAAATGCAGAGATAAGTCGGATCGACGGGGGCTCCACCGGCCTGAAATCGGAGCTGCTCAGCCTTCCAATGGTGGTTGACTCGTCTGACTGGGGACCAAGGACAGATAAGGGAAAAAGAAAAAAAAAAGGAAATTACCCTTAGCCCTTATTAGTTTTTCCCTAGCTTGAAAAACGCAAGGATTTAAAATTCCGGGGGAAGCGGCGGTTATTCTAGAATTGAAATGCGTGGTGAGGTTTGCTGATGGGGGTGAGAAATGAGTATGACAACAGTAATGGGATAAGCCAAGGTGATCGATTAGCGTGCTAGTAGTAGTAGGGCAGTGATAGCTGGTGAGGAACCAATAGGAATGGTATTATCAGTGTTTTAAAAAGAAAGAAGAGAGCAAGAACATAGAGAAAGAGAGGCAATTCTAGTGGAATAGAATAGAAAATATGTAAATATGGCTCAATTGTCCTAATACAATAGTGTGTAGAACTATTTCCATCCTGCTATCAGCCAGTAAATACTTCATGATGAATCGCGCGACAGTGATGGCATGGGTCGTGGCAACGGGGACGGGGCCGGGTCCCACGTCCTATCGACGAGGCTTGGCTTGTACTCAACGCGATTTGTTAATGTGAATCCACGAGCCCCGGGATTGGCCCGGGGGGATCTGGAGGAACTGGAGACACCTGGAAATGGAACTGGATCAAACTGGGGATCACTCCATTTTTCTGCAGTGGCGGTTTCGCTATACTTTATACTGGAGGATTCCTCTTCCACATGTCCCTTTCCCCAAGATAAGCTATCATCTACCCCAAGAAGATGAGATACTTAGATTGTAGCATTGCCGATATCTGTGTAAATTCTCCCCCATTGCCCTTTGACAGGATGTGTTTCCTCCTGCGTTCTTCGCTTGCTTATCATGACTCTATCATTTGCAGACAATCTCTGCATGCTAATTCGCCACAGATAAACATTGCCACCGGTGGAGCCCTGAAGCATGGCCGGAATAGGCTTAGTGTAACGATACAGTTTGATATTCACGCGCGCTCTGATTGGCGCCAGATAAGCAGCGCAGTCGGTCGCTGTCCGTCTTCCGAATTCTCCCGGCTCGGGTTATTGCACTCTTCTCTTCTGTCTGTGTCTGTGTCTGTGTCTGCGGTGTCTATCTCTGCGTCCCAGTGCCTTTTGCCTCCCGAGGCCGAGTATCGGGCCCTATTCGGCGTGCCCGAACCTGTCCGAATTGTTTCGGTGGCCTCAGGCTAGTATCTGGGTTAGCACTAAGAATAGCTTTTTTTTTAAAAAAATAAATAAAAAATAAATAAAAACAAAATAAAGAGAATTAAAGGAATTAAAAAACACCAGCAGCAATATCTCAAAGTGCCAACAAGAAGTCTTTGATTACAGTGCACTAATAGCAACATCGCAGAAACCACTTGGGCAGGAATGGTCATCGATCCACACCCGTGGGGCCGGGTCCGCTGTGCCACGGAGGGTCTGGCCTTATCGTAGCCTCCTGTCATCGCATTAGATACAACTCACAATCACGTGAAATCAATGGATCCCCTTGCAAACTTAGATTCAGCGCTTGGACGTTGGAATGATCATGATTCCCGGATTCTTTTCGCTGGACGGACTACTCTTAACCGGTGCCGTGAGTGTGATTCATCCCGGGAATCAGGGGAAAATGTATATCCTAGGTTTTTCCGAGTCATCAGGGAGCCCTGGAGAACCAGAGAGTGGTATGAACTTGAGGTAGTTAATTGACACGCAATTACTAGGACTACACGTAAATTGATGAAAGACTTAGCTGATAGCTAGTTTAATCGCGAGATCCTTCTGCTATTCTCCACCAATCATAGTATGATATGCACATTTCCACCCCGTCTCCTAAACTAGTCATGCACCCCAGCAAACCCATCACTAGAGTGCCGCGTGGGTCACACCACGAGCTAGAAATGGAGTATAGGGGCCCGGGGCTCTATTCTCGCCGTCATGTCCTGCATCACGCGACAATCAATAGTTTCGACTAAGACTTATAGTGGGCCAAGCCGCATATTCCGGGGTAGCTCAAGGAAGGATCGAGATGTGGCGCTAACGTGAAACATGTAGCGTGGATGAAGGTTCTATGAGATATTTATGCAAGCTCATCCCAACTATTGGAAATATGCATATCACGCAACCCAAAGGTGCTAAATAACTTGAATAAGTTTGAATATTCATTTCTTGTGGTCGATCATCCCATCCCTATGTCAAACTACCAGCGCATTTAAGCTTTTCGAGCTTTCTAAATATTTACAATAGATAACGTCATATTATGAGTCCAACTAGCTGGTCTGAGACCACTCATAAAAGTTATTTTCTAGGGTGGTAATATCTGAACACACTTCAAGAGTAATATACAGTCTTTTCCAAGTTGATTTATCCCCAAAAAAAATACAGTTCCGCCAAAATCCCAGTCGTCTGATACTATGTACATTCTGCCGAGATCAGGTCTAATTATTCGCTCGTTTATGAGCAGCTTGTAAAGAGGTCGAACGCCGCTTGGTCTTGCCACGCCATTGGCCACTGTTAATACTTGTCAGTCCCAATGTGAAGCAGACATGGCTATTCATGCACTTGCCCGTGTAAATTCGCGCCCTTTTCCAGCCCCCCATTCTCCGAAGTCTCCGGCGCAACATGACCATTTTCTTTTCCATCGCGAGGGAACTTGATCATAACCTTAGTCTCCAACTTATCATCAAATCGGCGGTATGCCGTAGACGCCTGTTCAATATCAATTGTGGAAGAGAAAACAAAGCCAGGCTTAGCTCCGCCATTTTTCACAAGTTCTAACAATGGCTCAACTAATAACTTGCTATCCACTGTACCCCCGCGCAGGGTTAAGTTCTTCTCCCAGAAAAAAGTCATGGGAAAATCCATTGTGGGCGAAATGGTATTTCCTCGCTTCACTCCATTGGAAGTCGGCAAAGCGAAATGTACTCCAATCACCCCGACACCACCACCCACACTTGTACATTTGATCGCCTGTGCGACTACAAATGACTGTTCGTGCTTCAGTTTGCCATTTAGACATTCCTCTTCAACAAAATCCACGGTGCGTTGGACACCGTCCAGTTCCCGGGCAAGCATTTGTGCCGATGGTTCACCTTTGGTAAAGTTAATCGGAATGGCGCCAATGGACGCTGCGGCTTCGAGCCGCTCCTCGACGTGACCGACGACATATTTCCTGCCTCAAAGTCGGACCAGGTAACTCCGATCCAGGCCGCAGGGAAAATATCGGTGAGGACTAGGAAATCTTTATCTTCTATGTGATCATGCTCTTCGCCCAGTATGATCATGGATTTGTCTGCGACGGGGACACGAACAAACTCGGCTGTAAAGGTGATCCTTCCAATTGAGTCAGTGAGGTTTCTTATCATTATCATTATGAAGCCATTTCTGCCATTTCCCATCAATAACAAGATAATCCGAGGGAGCTTAAACTTACACTGACAACCTCCCAAATTCCCAAGATCCTCACCCTGTCCATAAACACTCAATGCGGGTATGATTTCCGGTTTCACATCAAGCAAGCAATTATCAGGACAATCTGGGATGAGGACTCGATCTCCAACCATTGTCACTGACGGAATATCTATCGTCCGGGCTGTACCTCAATCTCACCTGCTGTTTCCAGTATTGGAGGAATCATTTTAACGGTCAGCCTTAACCAGTGATACGGACACTCTAAAACCGCCCCCCGCCTTTTGAATAAACTCGCTACAAAATCATGGAATCTGTATTTTCAGCTTTCATCCGCGTTCTGCGGAATCTGGATACTGCCGATGGGCTACTCGCGATATTTCAAGAATTTGAAAAAAAGCCCTCGGTTCTAAGTGCAGAGTATCGTATTCGACTTCTTGACTTTCCCGATCTTGCGACGCAAGAGGCAAATATCACAGCTATTGCTTCAACAACCTCAACTAAGCAGGATTTCTTAAAAAAAGGCCGCCGAGTCCCCCAGAGACCTCACTACCCCTGAAATCGATCTATTACGAGATCGCTACTGGAGCAATCTTACTTTCGCAGAAAAAGACGCATTTGAGGATGCTCTGTTTGAATTGCCTAAGAACTCTGATCAGGAGGATGGCACGGACACTGTAAATCGCCTGAGGGGTTTTCAGACCTATCTCTACGAGAAGTTTGAAGGCCAGGCAATCGCGAATGCGCACGACGAGGATGAACGACGCCGTCAAGAAGAGTGCGAAGATGAGAAACAACAGGACCTGCAGACAATGTTGCAACACGGGCATCCATGGCTGCGTCGGCTATGGGAAGAAGATGGAGATGAAAAACACTGGGGCTATGCAATTTTTGAGAATCCCCAATGGAAGGCGGAGGATCCTGATCGGTGGGAGTCATATGAGCGAAAATCGGACAAGGCAAAGAATATGGCTTTGGGTGCGATTTCCTGCGGTTTTACGATTCAATCGAATTACTTGATTGAGGATTTAGATTGGCCTGCTGAAGCACCTACTGAAGACGACAAATTCCCTGTCGTCGTCCTTGGCGAATTACGGAAGCGGTTTAATTATTTGCGGTCCTTGCCCCCGAAAAAGGAAGCATGGCTTCTTGGCAGTGATTGTAGTGATTGCAGTGATTCGTCGGCGGGAACTATGAACAAAATTCCTGAAGGTCTCACGGTGGGAACTTTGCGGAATGTTTTTCTATATCTAGATGGAAATTCTGCAGCGTCTGTTCTGGAGAACCGGTTGGCAGATGATTTCTGGATCTGGGCTGTCGATCCGGACCATGTGGAAGATAGTGAAAACCAAAGCTCCAGTGGATACAAAGGTTTCTTGCGTGTTCGCCTGCAGCAGCTTCTAAACAACTTTTACGTCGCTCGGCGTTGGCATGCCGATGAGGTCTCTTTGGAAGACTTGTGGAAAGCGGCGCAGAAGGATCCGCACAATGGCTCTTTTGTTTCATTGGAAGATGAGGAGATATTTGCGCAGAACTTAGACTGGGAAGTTGCAACTGCTGTTCGATCCAAAAACGCATGGGAGGGTCAAGTGGTTTGACTGTACTTGTGGAAGCCCATAGAAATAACAAACGGATGTAGTAGTTAAGTGTATGCCTCATCAAGGTGAGCAGAGATACCTGCCTCCTTATCCAGAACATTAATAAACGATACAGAACTAGAAGTTAGGGTTCCTTCTAAAAGCTTCCGCCGCACAAGGCAATTGCAGCCAAAAATAGTAGTATTTCACTTCAAAACCTTCAAGTTGCAATGTACTTTGACTGCAGCGTCAAACGGGACTGACAGGGCACAGACAATCGCCCGATGTAGCTAATTCAAGTTCTACCTCCAAGCAGTGTCGATCAAAAAGCAACCGATTATAGATTATCACATTAAGCATTAAGCATTAAAGCCTGTAATATACCGATGTTCATCCGTCTCCTCCAAAACCTCCAATCTCATCCCAACCTCAATAGCCCCCTCATTCCTCGGCGCACTCAACATCCCAAAACAAGGCTTCCACTTGATCCCTTCATCGATCCTCCGATACGAAATCAGCGTATCCCACGGCTGTTTCTTATGCTTATCCGCAGTCTCAGGATCAACGTTCGGAACCTGACACCTCGCACACCTCGCAACTATGTCCAAATCAAGCGAAGAAGGACCATCATTCCCAGCATCACCGCTGACTATCCGCACCGTTTTCCACGAATCCTCCACCCAAGCCGTTTGGCCCCGAACAACAATATTAGGCCTAAATCGCTCAACTGTAATGGGATCAACATCAATATTCTGCAATCGCGCATTCAACTCCGCAAGCGAAGCCTCCGACGCAATCAAAATGGGATAAACGTCCGGAAACCCCGTACTCTGCACCCGACCTAGTAACTCCGGTGCCCCATTTCCCTTCAGAATTCGCGGTGTCGGACCCTTATATACAAGCGAGACAGATCGGCCCAGAAATGCCGAGAAAGACGCGTTAATTTTCTTGCTGTAGATATATCCGTCTGTATCATTGTCCCAGATTTTGACTGGGGCGATAGATGTATTTTTCGCTAGCCATTCTGGTGAGGGGTATGCGGGGATGCGAATAGTTTTGCTTCTGGATTTTGTGGTTGGGATGGAAATTAGTAGGTCGGAGGCGTCGGGGCTTAAAGCTGTGCTGATGCGCGTCATGTCTGGGATTTGGCGAATTGTTAGGAATTCGTTTGTTGATGCGTCGACTAGCATCCATCTTCTGTCGAGGTCGAGGCCGTGCTCTTTTAGCGTTGTGCTTTGGACTTCGAAGCCGCGGCAGGATTTTATTGGGTACATGCGTAGTGAGACGATTTCACTGGATTGTTTGGTGCCGGTGCGCCAGGGGTGTAGTTGGCGGAGGCGGGGGAGGAGTGAATTTAGACATGTTGTCTTCCATCCCTTTGGTGGTTTCAAATTGGAGAAAAATAGACATGGGAGGAGTAGGATGAGTCCTAGGACCAAGGGAGTGGTGACTGAATATACCATTGTGACGGTAGGCCTTGGTAATTTCTCATTTGCAGGGTAGGTTCAAGTTGAAAGGAACGAAAGTACTATTGGAAGGAGGGATGAAGAAAGAGAACGAGAGCTTTCTACGTATATTGGCACTGGCGTAAGTAAACAACTACGGAGAGGGGGCTGGCTCGGGCGGATTGATAAGCGGCCGTTTTTGCCAAGACTGGTCGCTGAGGAATGAGAAGGGAAATGCAGGAATTTGGACAAGCAGAGGCACAATTACCCAAGGAGGAGCTTTGAAAACACTAAGGGATGAATGTTTAATACTTCAATAATATTCATTCCGAGGTTGACTGTAACTTGAAACATGTTGAACTTGTATTTGGGGAAATATGTAGCGAGATATATGGTCCTAAAAACACCATGCAGGGACTATATGCGAGAGAGAATGAACCCGAAATTTGAAAAGGGTGAACGAAAACCAAAATATCAACCAAAAAAAAAGAGAGTCGGAGTCTGCATAATATGACGAAAGCATGCGGTGAATAATCAATTCAAGAAATCTCAGCCGTCGCACTGGTCATGTTAGGGGTGATTCTCATCAATCCAGCAAATCACCATACTCTTAATCAAAGCGATGGTGATCGCGCGACCGCGCTCAATATCGACATCCTCAGAAGCACCAGGGACGTGTAAAAAGAGAATACTCCGGTCCTGATTTGCACGATACGCCAAGGACATGCTGGTATAATAAATGAAGTCACAAAGGTAGTGACCCGCATCGTGGGACACACGAATATCAGTGTCGGGTGGCGCAAGAGCCTGCCACTGTTTTAAGAACCGATCGTTGGGTGGGTATGGGCAGCGAGCGAAGTGGAGGCAGAAGCAGCATCCGAAAGGCCAGGCTTTAGGATAGACGGAAGCCCCATCTCTCTCCACCGCTTCTCCCCGTCTTCGTAGCCCGTGCGCCCGTTGATATCGGTGATGTTGTAGTCATCGCGATGAGCCAGCGACTCTACTGAGTAGTATAGGCGTGGCGCGGCGATGCCAATATGGATAATGAGGTCTGGACGCTGGCCGCCGTGCGCAGCAGCGTACGCTTTCAGGATTGCTGGTAGGCTTTCCCGTACGGTGGCGTATGCTACCAGGATCGGGGTGGGGTGGACATGGAGGGAGATGCGACGGTTCAAGGAGCCGTCCTTCGAAGGAAAGGTGAAGGAGGAAGGAAGCGATGAGGCGATCAGGTAGGAAGCGTTCACAAGGTTAGACTTGAAGGGCTGAGTTACACGGTGAGGTCAGCCTCATTCGGGCTCGGGATCTTGAGAGATCCGAGTGTAGATCACTTACGCCGAAGCCAGTTACCAGGACGGAAATCTCGCTGGAGGAGGGGCCTGGTTGAGGGGTTCCTGCTGGTGTAGGTTGTAGTGGCTGTACTGCAGGGCCAAAGTCTCCCATGGTGAAGTTCTAGTTGGTTGTGAGCTTGAAAGAGGAGAAGTTGCGGGGAGGCCAATGATGAATGCGGGGGCGGTGGTCGGGTGGCGGTGGATTTATACTGCTTACTACTTCAGGGGAGTGGGAGTATAAGGAAAATCAGTAGTATAGATTATTATAGGTCTTCTAAAACTAGTATTTCATCAAGATATCTAATATTCTCAGCTTCAATCTTGGAAGATTTCTGGTATACACCATCCGGGTCACTGGAGCTGTCTACGTACCCAGCCCTGGGGGTACTACTAACTACCTGTATAAGTTGTACTAGTAGCAGTATTAAATATACTTTAGTAGATACCACCGCAACTCAAAATATAATAGTATACGCCCGAGATCCGTCCAACCATTTAACTACTACATGTAGCACATCCGAAACCCGGTTCTATACGCAGTTCTATACGGGTTCTATACGCTATACGGAGCACCCCTTGTCTCCCAGTCAATCAAAGTTCACCAATTACCCAGGTGTCCCCACAATCGATCGAGTGATGCTCTCTAAAAATACCAAGTTAGGAAAAAGCCCCAGTCTCGTTCTCGTTCTACTCCACGCACCACCCACACTGAATCTCGGAGTCTTCCAATGCCGGACTCTCAGACCGCTTGCTCAATTCTTCACAACACGTCTTGGTTTCGGCGCCAACCGCTTCCGATCTTCGTGGAGTGGGCCTCTGCGTCGGCTACACAAGCCCCGAGCGATCAATATTCAACAGGTCACTTCTGAGTGGTCGGTTGTTCTGAGTCCGATGGATTTCAAAGTTGTTTATATGTTAGCCCTACCGCTGGCAGCTGGGGTAAAGTCTGTCAGTACCCCTTAGAGCTTCAACTTCAGGTTACTTTCTTCAGCTTCTTCTTTCATCGCTTCCACCACCCCTTATACTAGTACCTACTAGTACTAGTAGGTATATACTTCCGACATGGCGGTCTTCGCCGAATTGATCCAGAGTCCCTACGCGGTCCAAGGTCTAGTCGTTTCCCTTGTCGCCGTGCTGCTCTCCATATTTTGGCAAGATCTGGCAGACGAAATTCCCCATCGTCGAATCCCCCTTATCGGTAAAGATGGATGGGATCTTCTCAATAAGAAGACCAGACAGCGCTTTAAATCGAGTGCTCGAGAATTGATCATGGAGGGGTTCTCTAAGGTAGGACAGTATTTCCGAAAACTTGAGAATCTTCCAAGGTTGCTAACCCGAATGGGATAGGGTGCGAATATATTCCAACTCATCTCCGAGAGGCCATTGGTGATCCTTCACCCTAAGTATATCGACGAGATCAAGAATCATCCCCATTTGGATTTCCAGGGTGCTGTTGAAAGAGTAGGCGGGGCTTTCCCTCCCCCTTAATAGCCATAGTCATGGAGCTGACACCAAATAGAACTTCTTCGACGATCGAATCTCTGGGTTTGAACCATTCCATCCTGGCGTCGGCGGGCAGGTAACTGTTGATTTGGTGCGGACCAAGTTGACCCAAGCACTCGGTATGTCACCTTTGAGATATGACAGCAAATAAATAGAAAATACTGACCGATATTGTAGGCTCGTTGACAATCCCACTATCGAAGGAAAGTGCAGTAGTTGCAAAGGAGATATTCCCCCCCTACAACCGGTATGCTATGCGCCGTCCTACTCTAGCAAGGGTTAGTTACTACCGACAACATCTATCTAACTTCTCTTCTTATCCACGAAGAATGGACACCCTACAACTTCTCCGCAAAGATCCCCTACGTCGTAGCACGTCTCTCAACCCGCGCCTTCCTAGGCGAAACGCTCGCCAACAACAAAGAATGGATCGAAATCTCAGTCAACTACACCATCGACGCCTTCAACGCCGCCCGTGAACTGCGGCAGTGGCTAACCATCCTGCGTCCGGTGGCGCAGTACTTCCTCACGACAACAAGGAAACTCCGAAACCACCTAGCGCAGGGAAAATTGATCATTGATGCGGAAATTAAGAGACGACACCAGGCCGCCAAAAACAAAACCGAAACTGAGAGCGAAAATGAACCCCGAGTTCAGGATACATTGGACTGGTACGAGTCATTGTCTAAGTCATCTGGTCGATCTGTCAATATATCGAATGGCCAGATAGCGCTGTCATTGGCAGCTATCCACACCACTTCTAACCTTTTGACGAATGTTATGTATGACCTCGCCGCGTACCCGGAATATATCCAGCCACTGCGCGATGAGATTCGGGCCGTTATAGCTGAGGACGGATGTTTGAAGAAGTCTAGTCTGTTGAAGTTGAAGTTAATGGACAGCGTGATGAAGGAGACGCAGCGAATTCATCCGGTCTCTATGAGTGAGTTTAATCCTCCCCAAACACCAACCCGCGTGCAATCCTCGGGCCTGGGGCTCCCCTTCCATATGGATTGCCCAGGTGTATGTACCTTGGAAGTACCTTAATTGACTCAACTTCTAGTCTCCCTAAACCGTCTTGCCAGAAAGGAAATCCCCCCTATCAGACGGAACGGTCATACCAAAAGGCGCAATGGTCGGAGTATCAACACACACCAATGAAGACGAAACAATCTACCCCTCCCCACAAATCTACGACGGCTACAGATTCTACAAAAAGCGCCAGGAACCCGGCAACGAGCAACGGTTCCAATTCGTCACGACCTCGCGCGAGAGTTTCGGTTTCGGTCACGGGGTGCATGCTTGTCCCGGTCGATTCTTTGCAGCGAATGAGTCGAAGATTTTTCTCGTACATTTGTTGCTTAAGTATGATTGGAAGTTGAAGAGTGGTGATGGTGATGGTGGTGTGGCTGGGAGGCCGGCGAATTTCGATCATGGGACGGAAATCATTACAGATCCGCGTGTTGAATTGCTCTTTCGCTCCAGGAGGCCGGAGATCGACCTTGCGGCGCTTGGGGAGTAGCGATCGGCAGTTGATGCGAGACATTGAAGGTGGGAAAGCTGCAGGTTGGGAGATCTTGGTGATTTGTTTATTGGATTTGATCCCTTGTTCTGGGATTGGCTTTGTTTTCTTTTTCAGTTTCCTTTTTCAAGGGTTGTTTTTGTTGACCATTGTTGCTGTACATGCATGAGCAGGTTCTCGTGTCTGCTTGCAAGCAGGATTTGCTAGGATAGGGTGTGCCAAAAAAAGCATTCAATCTTTCCAGGTTGTTCATGGTGATATCACCGGTTACTACTCGTAAGGAATAATGAGACCCTCTAGTGACGATGAAGAAAGACTCTTTTGAATTGATTTCTATGAACTTCGTACTTGAAATTAATGGATCTTAATAAAAACATACTGCCCAGAACAATTGATGTCGCGTCGGGAGTGTAGCTGATACTCCAGCATGCATACGGAGACTTCGGCAAGTGGTGACGTTCTCGGGATTTCAGCTCATCCACGACCACAGATGAGCCAGGATTCTCAAGTTCTCGGAGTCACCGAGATGACTCGACGAGGGATTCCCGTCTGGACCAGGTTAATGCGCAATGCATGTCGTGCAGCATCCCCATCTGTTGAATGTAGTGCGGGAGCAGGCTGGATGGCGATATCAGGTGACTGTATTTGATACGGTAATAAAACACATCGCGAGACGCGTCAAGTCCGCGCGACGCGACGCGACGATCCAGATGGGGTTATAGTGAGGCTTGCCTCACTCTTCACCGCACAATCAGAAATTGAAAATTGGTGGAGTTAATAATATTCAGCAATGGGAATCACACATCAAGTTTGCCTTTTTATCTTGATACATAGTGATCTTGATCTATGTCTTGATCTATGTCTTGATCTATATCACACTTTATGTCAACAATGTAAAAGTAGCCTGTTTACATAGATCAGATCTGGTACAGAGTATGGAGTACTCTGTACAGAAATAAAGAAGGAAACACCCCTTGTGCAATAGGCATTGTGCAATCTGCAACGTGCAATGCAGAACGGACGCAATGGGCATCAGTGGGCATCAGTGGGCATTCAGTGTGGGCATGGGAAGATCCGCCCTTGCAGAGTTCGAAGACTCAACGGTTTGGCTTAACCGAGACGGGGCGTGCCTGCCCTAGGTGCGGGTGCCAACTATACTTACAGAGTACGGAGTACCGTACCGAGTATACAGCAGTCACAATCACAGTCACAGCTACCACTGCGCGCATGCAGCATGTAAGGTCGCACTCTTACTCGATAAACAAACAATAGCATTAGCATTCCAATAGACATAGAGTATTACTGAGGACTTAGGAGATTGTCAAAGTCCCAGATTTCCACTTTCACTTTTTCACTTTTTCACTTTTTTTTGATCTACTCTTTCCAACCTAGTTGAGTATTTAGCGGTACGATCGGTGGGCCTAGGCAGGAGTACCTGGTACCAACACCCGCAGCTACCATACGCAGCCCCTAAAAGTACCAGTACCTAACGTACCTACCACTACCACTACCTGTACTTACCAGTACTGGAGTACCCTTCTCCTCTTTCCCCCCAAAGAGCGCCTCACTCTGGGCGCCCAACCCAACCTCCCAGCCCATCTTCACCTCTTCACCTTCTCTTTCCCTATATCCTTACCCTCCCCATTTGCCCTCCCCCCCACCCCTCCCCCTGCGAGAGTTTCGCAGTTCTCTTTCTCTTGTCTTTGGCGTTCGGTAATGATCTCCTTTTCCTGCTCTTTTGACGGGATGGGATCGCAGTGGTGATTCGGTGTCTGGTGATATTGTATTCAGTTCGCGCATTCCGCGGAGGATACTCCCCCAACACAGCACGTTTCTCTCACACGCATTTATCATTATTCGACCCTCAATCTCTTTGATATCGCCGACCTTTCGTTCGACTCTTTTTATTTTCTTTCCTATTTTCCTCACGAATCACGATTATACGCGACTCGCGCGCTTCCATTTTCGAGGCCGCGACATACCTTCACATTCACCACCTCGGCCGACGCCGACACATTCTCCCCAAAGTTTTACTCCCCCACACATTCCGGCGTGAGGTCACCCGATTCAATCAACATGGCTCAACGTCAGCTTTCGCGAACCCTCCCCAAGAATTTCACCTTCCCGTCTCTAGCTGCCGATGGCGTCGACGAACCGCGAACCCCCGAACGCCCATCTCATTATGTCGATGTGCCCAAGGCCCCGCGTCACTCCTTCTCCAGCTGCCGTCTTCCTCGCGTGAGAGTGCGCTCCGGAACTGACGTTTGCGCTCGAATGGACCTCGACCTGTTCCGATTCCAGGGCTCTGGCCCCAGCACCAGCACCGGCACCGAGGACATGCCTCTGCCGTCCATCGAAGTTCCCCAGCAAAGTACCTCATTCGACGCGCCTTTCGCCGAGGATCCTGCCAACACCAACGACGGCCGTTTCCTCGCTCCGCCCCATCAGCGCATGAGCTTCAAGACGCCCGAAGCTCAGATTCGAGGCACTGACTTGGAGAATGAGTCGCACGAGTGGCCCTCGTGGGACCAGACCCGGGAGCAGATAACTCGCCCCGGTTCGTCATGTTCAAACATCTCCGACTCCTCCATCGAGTCAATCGAAACCTTCGCATCGCGACCGTCCGTTGGTGGCAGCTGTACGAGCGCTGAGAGCGACTTGGATTCCTATTTCCCGCTTGAGTTCCCCAAAGAGCCCGAGATGTCATCTCCCACCCTGCCCAAGAAGCAGCAAGTGCAACGAAACCAGGTGAAGGATAAATCTTGGACGAAAGATATGGATAACCACCTGTGGAACACCTATCAGTTATACCTGCAGGATCCCACCATGACTCCGTTCAAAATGACACCGGGCAGCATCCCGCCTCTTGGAGTCACTTCTCGAGTTGCGCGCCGTGCCAAGCGTACCTGGGAGAAGAAGCGACTCCGCATCACCACTCTTCCCGGTCAGACAGCTGCCGACCGTAGCGGTAGCTCCACTCCCAAGGCCGCTGGAAAGCCATCCAATTCGAATTCGGTCTGGCCCAAGTCTGATGCGAAAACCCGCAGCCGCCTTAAGCATCTGTGCCGACGCAAGTTCTGCATTGCGCCTCATTATCAGCGCATGATGCAATCCCGTAGCCCCGAGCCCGTCGCCGACATGCTTGGTAACGCCGGGTCGCAGGTTCACAACTTCGCCGAAGGAAGCTGTACAACCTATGCTACTCGCGACCTGGGTGTGTCTCTGGTCGCTTCCGCTCCGACTCCATTGGCCCAGCTGGCCGAAGCACCTGTTCCCGAACAATCATCCGAATGGTTCAACACCCCCCTCCAACAACCCATTTCCGCCAGCCCGAAGGCCACCAGCCCCCATGCGAGCCCCAAAGCCAGTGCTCCCCAGCTTTCAAATCAATACCTCCGCCCACAACCCTACAGCATCCCGCCACGCCTTGGATCACCATTTGTGTACAGTACTTGGGGACCTGGAGGTTCGAACCGCCAAGTGGCCGATCTTCCCCACCCACGACGCGAGACCGTTCATGTACCTGGCCGCCGCATGCGCCGCAACACTCACTTCGATCTGACTCCGAGGGATACAGACGATGTCTTCAGTGATGTGTATACCAAGGATCCTTCCGATGAGGAAGTTAACCGTCGCCTGTCCGATTATATGCACGACAACAAATTCCAAGATATCGGCCATGGCCGTGTCCGGATTCGCAACCGCGGTGCCACAACCAGTGCTGCGGGCCCTCGAGATGTCAGCCAGCTGTTCTCTCCTCCCTCGTCGCTCAACTCATCCCAGGCTGAGCCCGAGGAGACGACCCCGGTTATGAAACCCCCCCGTGAATGCGTTGTTGAACCTAGGTGGTGAGAACATCAAGCGCCTGGGCTCGCCCTTCAAACTTGAAGGAGGGTTCAAGCGCCGCGAAGCTCCCAGTCGATTCATTCGACACGCACCTTCCACCTCTGACCCGTTCTCCAGCGGTGGTATTCCGCCATATACAGGCCCGGCGACTCACCCAGGCTCAACTCCCCTCCGAGAGCCCCTCCGAGAGGAGAAGCCAGCAGTACAGCCGCTGCAGAACCCATTCGAGGAGGGTCTTTCTGATGCCGAACGTATCCGCCGGCAAATCCTGAACATGCCTTACACGCATAATTAAATGCGTCTTTTTGTCCCGCTGTCCCGAGTTTTCCGTTCCATTGAGGCTTCGATTCATTTGCGAAACTTTTATTCCCTGCATAATGACCTGAACGAGATTTCGCAGCCCTTTTTTATGACAGCAACGGCCTGTGACGACTGTAACGATATGTCTTTTGAGATAGCTCGAGTTCTGATCCCGAACTTTCGAGCATCACTGAAAAATTGCAATACACTACCCCCTCTACCCGAAGAGAAAATGTGATGGGCTTTTTCCTCCTGACTTGGCTGTCGACAACTTGCTTATGACCTGCATTCACACCTTGTGTGAATTTTCGAGGTCATGGATACAGCAACCTTGGATTATCCTGTGTTAATCTTGAGTTGTTCGTATGACTGAAGATCAGTCGACTCCCTTTTTTGGGAACTACATTCATTATTCTGCCACCCCTTTCAGCATCTGATCGAATCTGTGATTGTTGTGAATATCAACCGGGCTTCAACAGAATGCCTAGCTGGCCTCGAACCAGATTCGATCATTTATGATGCCAATTCGTTCTCTACACCGATATTTCGACAGATTTTCTTTCTTCTTTCTTCACACCGTCTCTTCTCAGGTACTCAGACCTCGAGGAACAAACAAATTTTCTAAAAGACCAAAAAAAAATCCAAACCGCCATAAAACCCGACAAAACACACACTACCCTTCGCCTGAGTCGCGATCCACTCTCTACAATTTTCTTTTCTGTTATCTTGCCTCCATCAATCTAGCCGTCACTCCTCGCTTTCTTGGCTCGGCCGATATTTCCTCTTGCCAAATTTAACAGGCAGCCTGGAAACGACACTGACGACTAACCAACATCTCTCCACTATTTCTCTTCGGCTACACCCATCCGTCTCCTTCCTCTTCCTACCTGAGGAATGGAAAGGAGAAGGATGGAACATCTTCCTTTCCGCTTTCCGCTTTCCGCTTTCGAACCGATCTCATGTCCCCCAAAAAGAATATGCAAGATGACGATACATATGCGAACCACATAGACGATCCAAAATGAATGACGCACATGAACCTGCAGTTGAATACAACATTCCGAGATGCAATGCAAGCACGGTGTTAGGTTCTCTTTTCCGCCAGCGCTATCAATTTATTGATTTTTTCTCTCTTCATTATCGACCATTATTATTCCATCTTTACCATTTCCATCATCTTCTGCTTCATAATTGCATTTCCTGCTTCCGTCAAGCTGGCCTGCTCTAATTATCTCAATCTGAGTGTCAGTGCCTCACTCAACCTTGATCGGAAATGCTACAACCAAGCATGAAGCCTTCGCTCCCCGCTTCACCTTCTTCCATGCGACGCATAATGGACCTCCGGATATACTCTTATATTCTGGGGATAACCCCACTTCGTTTCTGTTTCGCCCGATCCGATCTTGTTATTTTCGCGTGTTTGTTAATTGCTCCGAGCTTTTGCTCGGCTTGTTTTTAGCTATGATCTATGATCTACGTATGATGATGGGCGATGGGCGCTCTTGCTTGGTTGCGAATCATTTTTCATCTTTTCCGCCTAGACTTGTTCCAGACAGTCCGGCGAAGGGCATTTCTCAACAGTTGATTTGCCGAATTTATTACCTTTCTCTCACTTCACCCTTTACTTCATCTACTCGTATAATCGTAGCAACTTTGTAATATCTTAGTAGTCATGAGCTATAATTAAACTCTGATTCTCTCACTTAACCGTTCAACAACGACCGGCACGTGAGATAAGAAAAAAAAAGTGGCGCTTGAATCAGTCTTAGCGCCTCGTATTTATCCTCCCAGTCCATGCCCATTTCGTACCCCGATGCAACAGTGGAGTGGGGACCCAGGGCTCTCTCTCCCGCTCCGAGATATCGAACTTTCTTTCATCAAATCTGCGTAGACTCTTCATATCACTTCCCTTTCCCTTTTCAGTATCCAAAGAATCAAGATTCAAGAGATCAAAGTAATGGAGACCGACAAAGTCCGAGTCCTAGTTCCAAGCACAGACACAGGCACAGGCCTCGTGAACAGTACAGCCGAGCGAGCTGCTTTACCAGTTCTCTTCTTGTGAGTTCAGTTGAGTCATGAAATGATATTTCGATATCTCTCTGGACTGAAATAACAATATCTTCTAGTGACATAGACAACTGTCTCTATCCACGGAGTATGTCCAAAGACTTCAAACCCCAACTCGATTCGTTTTATTACAAAAGCAGCCAAAATTCATAAGCGATGCCAAACACCAAATTCCAAAGAGAAATATCAAATCTAACCAACACCCCCTCCCACAGGCAGCAATGTCCAAGACACCCTCTCCGACTTGATAGACGACTATCTATCCCGCGAACTACACCTCCCCCGCGACCAAGCCATAGCCCTACATTCTCAATACTTCAAAACCTACGGCCAAACAGTAGAGGGCTTAGTCCGACACCACGCCATCGATGCCCTACACTATAACAGCCAAGTCGACGACGCACTACCATTGGAAACCCTACTGAAACCAAACCCGACACTGCGACAATTCTTGCAATCAATTGATACGACCAAGGTCCGCCTTTGGCTGCTGACGAATGCGTATGTTACGCATGCCAGACGTGTTGTCAAATTACTCGGCATTGAGGACCTATTTGAGGGAATTACGTATTGCGATTATGAGATTGTGCCGTTCATTTGTAAACCTCAGGTTGGTATGTTTGAGAAGGCTATGCGTGAGGCTGGGGTTGGTGATGTTGCGGGGTGTTTTTTTGTTGGTAAGTTGATGACTGAAATTTCCCTCCTCTCCCCAAATTCTGTTTTCCGGGCAAAGCTGATTAGGTACTTTGCGTAGATGACTCGTTTGGAAATTGCGTTGGTGCAAAGAGTTTTGGCTGGACGGCTTGTCATTTGGTTGAGACTGGTTTGCCGATTCCGGAGTCTCAGGCTTCGCAGCATCGGATTCAGCATCTTGAGGAATTGAGTTGTATTTGGCCGGATTTTTTTAGAGCTAAATCGGTCGAGATTTTGGCTTGATTATTAAGGGGTGTGGGGTGTAGGGAGGAGGTATTAGTTACTACTTGCATAATCAATGCTTGACAGGGAAATTATTCTATTAGAATTCTGTACTGCGTATTTCTCGCTTTGTCGTCGGGTGGCCATATTACTTACTATCTTATGTATTTTATAGCAGAGTTCACCGTTCTGAACAATATGCTACCAAACGTACATTGATAGAATTGACATTGCAGAGTTCTAGAACAGTTCAAGCTAATCCTTTCGAAGCAAGTCGACGACAACCGCCTGAGTTGAAGGAACCTCTAGAAGCAACTTCTTACCCTGGATATGCAGTCTTTCAACTTTCTCTGCCCCGTGCTGTCCAAGTCGACCATCGGCTGTCCAGTTCCAGCTAACCCCACCCCAGAAGATGTCAGATGTGGAACTGGCACCAGGTCCAATCAATCTCTTTGCTTCCGCAGAATGAACACCGGATGGCACATGGAGCTCAAATTTTTGAGAAGGACAAGGATAATGCGTGGTTGAATTCCACTCATCAAAATTGACCACAACATATTTGCTGAGAATTCCCGACTGATAGACTCCGTATGCTGAAAGATCCCAACGACCTAGATCAACCGGTGCAATTTGCACATCATGATGATGCCCAATTACATCCGCGACAAGGATCTGCCCGTAAAGTGGTGGGCGGACGTGCGGGTCTTGGCCATTGTAGGGTACAGGAACCCAGCCAGTGTAGCCGAAATTCGTGCCTTGGATAAGATTGAAACGAGATATGTTCTTTTTGATAGTGAGTGAATGTTCAGAATATTCTCAAGGGAAGAAAGTGTTTTTTCTTACTAGGCTCATTCCGTAAAGAAGGAAATCAACCAACCAAAGGGAACTTCCGAAAACGCCCTCCACCTGGTTCATGCCTAGGTTAACATAGTCGCTGTTTGTCTCTCCGAGTACAAATTCGATGCTGGGATCGGCTGCATGCGTTGCTTCCATATCGGGGATGTACTGCGTTAAATTCCCGACGATGGCGGTGTGGTTCATGAAAGAGTCTTGGGAAAATTAGAACAGAGCAGGCGTTTTCTTTAGAGAATATTCTTACTTTGAAGCCTGACCCAGTCTGAATTTCCAGCGGCATATCTTGAAAGGACATTAGACTGAACTCAAAATTCTGCGGGGAGATTGAACATACTGGTGATGCGATACCGTCTTCACATGGCCTGTCTTGTCAATTCCGTCTTTGAAGGCATCAGCCCTACACCAGGTTAGCATGAAGGCGATCCCTTGAGGAAGGTATAGAGCAGCTTACGTAGTAAAACCGTCCCCTTTATATACGAAAGTCAAAGCTTGGAATAGCTGCCACGAATCAAGTCCATAGGGGTTGTCTTGCAGAACATGCTTCGAGATGGCATTTGCGTAGTGAATCCACTCTTTGACATAATCCGCTGTGGTATAATCTGAGGGTCGAACATCACCAGGGTAGAGATCAGGCTCATTCCCAATTTCAAAAGCGACAAGGTTTTTCTTGATGTGGCTGAGCGCAATCTTTGCCTCGGTGAGCGCGTTCTCGAGCGCATTGCTCTTGTTGTTGGCAAGATTGACCTGGAAAGTCCAAGGAGTCCCGGGAAAATTATCAAGGCCTTCGAAGAAGGCTTTGCCTGTAGATACTTCAATGGGGATACCATTATCGTATTCTTTTGATAAGACGATTGACTGTGTCTGGGAGGCATTGTAAATGGTGCGATCTCTGGTAATATTGATTCGTTAGATCCGATTTGAATATTTACTACACTGTATAAGAGCTTACCCTGAGGTACCACCAACGCGAACATGTGGATGAGCCCCTGTCTTCTCGAAGAAAAGATCGAGTACATCACGGGAAAATAAATTTGGATGACTCTTGTTGCCTATTTCAATTAGATGTTGTTTGCCTCCTTCGATTGTCACCCCAGAACTTACCAGCATAGTCTGGGAAGAAATGGAAAGGCAATGAAAAGGACGCGAAGTCATGTTCAATCGTCTTTGAGGCACTAAGGGGCACTCTTTCAGGCGCACTGATCTTGACGTTTCTCGCCAGAGCAGCAGTCGCAACCGAACTGCATAGTATCAATGGGATCCAGGAGCGCATGATGTGGGCCAGGAATGTAGTAAGATCCACAACAGATTCTTGAAGTAAATGTTGTGATTTCCCCAACGGCAGACTATACGTTATTTATATTATCTCCCCCTTCGCCCCGGTATACCCCGGATTACGCATCTAATCACGAAATATGGGGTTCGATGTTGCAATCATTCAAGGCTCTCGCTTGGAACCCGAACTCAATAGGCTTTCGCCGGATGTCGGCCCGGATGTCGGCTCAATTAAGGTATAAAGGTCATCTCCGCCAGTTGTAAATGGCTGAAGGAGGGATCGGGAGATTGGGTAGCGTGAGATTGATTGTAGTTTGAAGAGTCTAGAGTTGGGAGTTCAAGTTATTGGACCGGGATGAAAGAGCGCCCACTGGCAGGCCGAGGTCGGCTAGATAGTAAATTCTGGTGCAGCACAACTCAATGATCCATGAAAACTAGCCGCTTCCACCGTAGAAAAATAATTAAAATAATTAAGATTATGTACAGGAAAAATGTATATTATATTACTAGGCACTGGTGGTATTAAACACTCAGCCAACGGTCGATGCGTTTGGCAAACGCAACGCACCGATCATCCACATATTTCGTATAACAATGCGCACAGAACACCGCAAAAGACCCCAACAGAATGCCCGAAACCCACCACGCGATATGAAAAGAGAAGGGATTTGCACTCCACGCCTGTGCGCTAGTCTCATAGGCAGTCCCACCACTCAGCGAAGAGTAGAGGAAATCCCGCAAGGGATTCCGGAACAGCTGATAAATCGTCTCATGAAGTAAATAGAGCGCAAATGAGATTTTGCCCAGATACTGCACAATGCGCGTATCTAGTGGTCGCTGCAGGATTTTGAATTCTGCGATTCCAAAAACAAGCATGGCGGATCCGAGCTCTTTCCAGCAAAAGTGATAGATATGCCACCGATCCTTCCATTGCGATGACTGAATGTAGGACAAGAAGCCGTATCCTGCTGGAAGATGGCCATCATTGCCCAGACAGAGAAGATAGTACCCACCGACGAAGACAAGGGCGATTCCAACACGCGACAGAATGGACCAGCTTTTTGGGTGTCGCCAACCCAACGCTTTATACCGACGCTTTCCACTGCAAAGGTTCAAGCGCTCAGGCAAAGAAAAGAGTGAGTTTGGCGTGTCGTCGAACTCTGCCATTTCAAGCTCAGTATCTTGATCGAAGTTCTCGCTCGACGCAGCACCGTGTGCCTTTTCCGCGAGCCAAAGACCCCAGATAAAACCAAAAATATCCCAGTTTCCCCACCAAAAGAAGAATGCTCCCAAGATGGGAAGAACAATAAGCCTCACTCTCTTCCGCCACCCCGAAAGGCCAATGATCAGTAGGTAGACAACATTTGATCCTCTGAACTCCAGGGGCATAGTCCACAATTGACCATTGAGACCACCGCGGTACTCAGAGGCGATGACATTGATACTTTCCGCCATATAGTGCATCAGCCAGGTAAAGTGGGCCCATGGATTTGACCAAGGCCTAGGCAGATCGTCGATAAGACCCTGGTCGAATTCCCAGTGATATAGGTCGAAGAAATAGAATATCTGTGCGATAATAGCAGTGATGATGACGGGTAGATAGATTCGAAAGACCCGGCGCACGATCGCAGATGACATGCGCTGCAGAAATTGTGGCCCATCGCGCGCGTTCAAGAGACTGATGGAGATAGCGTAGCCGGAGATCACCATGAACAGGGTCACCATGCCATGAGCAGAGAAGAGGATGCGAATTGGTGGCAGCTGCACGATGTGCCGATTATACTCAGGAGGTTCTGTCCAGAATGAGACGAACGGGTGCCAGACGTCGCTCATAAAATAGTGATCGAAGGCGACGATCGCGGCTGCGATGCCGCGCAGGCCGTCCAGCCAGGTTGTGCGCTCCATGGTCGTGGTTAGAAAATAGGTCACAGCCTATAGTTCATACCTTCAGTCCTATGTGTTCTGTGGAAGTTTTTTCTATTGCATTGTCGCGGAAGAGAGAGGTGTCAGCATGATTTTAGGCCACCCTGGGCAACTTTGATCAGTTTTGATATCTCGGGTCTGTTGGATCCACTTTTCAGCCCCAATCTCAAGTGAGCCAATGGCCATCCATTATACCCGAGACAATGCCATTTTTAGATTAGTGTTTCTATCATGGGTTAGCGTGGACACGAACGGGGTTCAAAAGATGAAAGAGAACCACTCCTCTCAGTAGCCTTATTCCCACCATAATGGCAGCATACGTCGTCTCTCTTTGTCAAGACGCGCAATGTCGAAAGGTAATATGATTGAAATTTACAATTTATAAACCGGTCATGCTGGTCGCTAGACTTGTAGATTGTGGGCCTCGTCTAGCGGGACGAGAACATGAGGGGTGGACGGTAAAACGATAAGGATCTCAAACAGCTCGAAACAGAGGATTCGAACATCTGAATGTGGAAAATAAAGGAAACAAACTTTGAGCATGAACGAGCAGCGAATGCTTTGATGAAGCGAAAGAAGACCATATATTCTGTGCGAACAGGAAACGCTCGTCACGAAAGTTTCCGGTGGAAAAAGAGACAGATCAATGGCGATCAGACATCAGACTTTTGAGAAGGCTAATAGTAGCATATGAAAGATGACGAGTGTCCAGCACAAGAAAAAAAAGAATTGCTAGTAATTATTGAGTATCACACACATTTCAAGCCTTGGTCAATGGTGTAAGACCCGGAAACCGACACTCTATGCCTTAGGTCTAAGGCTTTTACATCACCGTGACATTACAGGGTTATAGGTACCTTTGTTTGCGGGCACCAGATCATGAAAATTGGAAGGTGACAGGCCAGATAAACATCATCGTTCTGCGAGGAAAGCCCCAGGGCCGTATCCAGCGCGATAATGCACATTAGATAGAGACATGATGCCTTGGTATAAAACATAGACCCATGTAAAAGAATGTGAACAGGATATATCCGTTGGCCAGCTAGATACTAGGCCATTAAGCATCCACCTCTGCAAGAGGCAAACTATGCCAGTCATTCCACCATTCATTTGACATCTTCTCAGGCCAAATGCGACGCCAGATGACTTCAAGCCATTCAGGGAACTCAGATGGCAATTCATCACTTGGTTCTTGTTCCACTATCAGCTCATTCCGAGAATCATTGCGAACACACCTTGTAATCCGCATAGGCTGACTCAGGTGTTCCAGGATCGGGATCAATTCCATCGGACATCCGACTCCCCCGAACTCTACCACATCAGTCGTTTTTATACGCAATTTCTCCAATGAGACGGAGCCTTCGGGCTTGCCCGCTGAGATTGCACCGAATATGGCGCGCCCAAGGGCTGAGTCAAGCGCACAGTTAACAAGCCGCTCCCGAATCGCGCCATTGCACGCTTCAGAGCCACCGGCCGCTCGACGAACGGCCCATTGCACTTGTTGATCGAATTCATCGTCAAAATCCGTGTTGACCAAATCGTCCATGTCCCCGGGACCATCTATGTAGTCCCAGGTTTTCGAAACGTGAAATGTCAAGGAGACGCATTTTAGCCGTGGCAGGGATCCTAGTATCTTGTACAGAGCGGCCTCCTCAGAATCTCCTCCTGTGCGATCCAAAGTCAGATCCAGATATCGGAGCAAAGGGCAGCTTTGGGCAATTGCCGATAGATCATGCTTCTTAATTGACCCGACGGATTCATTGCCCTGGCTCTCTGCCAGCTTCAATTCCACTAAGCTGGTCCCGTGGCCATTCATGATGCCATCCAATACAGAGCTGAGCATCCAGCCCTTTAACTCCAAAGAGGACAATGGCCGCAACTGTTGGATGAAGATGTTGAATTGCTGGTAGTCATTATTCTCAATCTCATTGGGAGTTAGGGCCAATGTTTTCAAACGCGCGAGATCGACTTCGGTGCTCAGATAGTGTAGAAGATCGGTTTCGAGTGTCGCTTTAAGCTTGAACACTTCTAGAGCTGAGAAGTCCGTACAAGTCGCCCAATACTTGATATCGTCTTTCTTGATGAGATATGTATTATCGAGTCGAAGGTATCTTAAGGCGCCAGACTTTGAGCCTTTTTCTAGATTGTTTTCCTTCTTTTGACTAAATCCCCGCCAAGGTGGCAGAGGGGATTTTGGAGGTGTACCGCTACCAGGCGGGCGAAAGAGAGTGACCTCTTTCAGATTAGGAGCAAGTCCAGACGCCATGTGCATGATAGCTTCATTGAGATAGGCACCATCTGGTAGGGGCTCTCGTGATGGCAGTCTGCGTGGCTCTGGATAGCCTGGCCAAAAGGAATCTTCGTACTTCCCCTTTACGCTGAAAAGGCATGGAGAAGTGGCCAATTGGAACTCGTATGGATCCAACACAGGGCTCTTCAAGCTCCGTAGAAAGAAGTTGTGGATGTGAAGCTTGCATCGTGGATGATGACGGTGAAGTGCCTCCAACAGACAAGAGGGAAATTGATGATGGCATAGAAAAATCAGATCCAGTAGCCTGGGCAGTCGTTGGATCAAACTGGCCAGATGCTGCCAGGCGTCAGTGGGTGGGGAATCTGACTCCGGTGGATGTTGCGTCCCCGCCCACCGATAGAGACTCTTCCTGCTGTTAAAGCGATCTAGGGATCCATGCAGGTTGTTTTCGAAGCGATCAGTTCGGTCGGTGCCTTCTTCCACCTCTGAACCGCCACTTGCTGCTCCTCTCGACGCCGGCTCTTCGCCGACCACAAGTCGGTTCACGTATTGGAAGCCTGAATTTTGTTGAAAGAGCTGAGTAATAGATTCAACACGGTCGCTGAGTTTCTTACTTTCAGACGCAGGGATATTGAGAGTCTGATAGAGATAGGGCAAAGCCAGGGCATAACAAAATCGGCTGGCGCCAGCAAAGGCCCGGACACTGGGCTCGTGTTCATTGCATAGAGCCTGTAGAATTATTTGATGAATCTCCGGCGGTAAAATTTGAAAGCCAAGTAACATGCTGAAGGCGATAAATACGACGGAGAAATAGGTGGGGGGAGAAAGAAAGAGGAGAGAAGAGGCTATTGTTGATTAGAAAAGGCACGCGAGGCTGGCACTATGTCATCTTGAACTCCACTATGGCGATCGGAAAAAGTGTGTATCCAAAGGCGGAGAGGGAGGACGGCACGCCTCAACTACTAATGAACGGCCACTGTTACTTAGATACTTATAACTTACTCATTGTATGGTTGACGTAAGAAAAAATTATGTACGAGTACCTATTCTGAAATACAATACTGGCCCCCCAAGTGGGCCGTGTGCCAAAAATCAAACCCTGCTTTCACTATCCATAGCCGTCCGTTGTCATCGCCCCTTTCCGTCGGGTTTGTTTGTACTTGGAGGATTTGGGCCCTGAGGTCAACTCGACGATTCCATTCAATTGTCTCGGTCACCATTTTGCTTTGTTCGTTGCCTGGTAGTTAAATACCTCAAATACGCGTATAAAAATGCTATCCGACACGACGAATCTTGGATACCTAACCCCTCCATGTCGCTTTACTGGTCCGGAGGTCGACCGGTCTAGGATTGCCCGGATTATAATTCTGACTTTCATCGTTCGAGTAGAGGTTGTGCTCGTAGAACAGTCGCCAGTATTCTCTTCCATCCCATCTAAGAAGTGTTAGGCCCATTTTGACGCCTGCGATCGTAGAATGCGATACTTACTGAAACATAGTCTGTCCGTAGGCCCCTGTGTCGATGTTTCTCGAGTTTGTGCCCGTGGGTGAGCCGCCGTTATAGTTGTACATCAGTCGCTGATACAGAAATGTCTCCGTTTCAGGGCTCTCGAGATGCTCGTCAATAACAGCCTGAACCTTTTTAATTTTCTCCTTATACAATGCGTAGTTCGCAGGTGACGTTTCGCTGTTCATGTAAGCCGGAGTCATCCAGAACACACGAGTTTCGTCACAGTCGTCGTTGAATAGACTCCAGTCAATCGGATCAACATTATCCATATTCTTGCCATTGCCAAGAAGGGCTCCAATGACATAGTCTTGGAGGTTTTCCTGGTCAACAGTGGTCCACGTGTCTGCCTTGTTCCACGCGAGGCCTTCCCAGAAGTGCGCCTATACATCCATCAGCACATGGGCATTTGAGAAGGGGAGGATTCTTTCTAAAAAAGATTGGAAAAAGAATGCGGGGGCTTACCATCCAGACGGCTCTGTTGCTCACGATCGTCAGCATGGTACAACCGTGAAGGGATCCAGTACCAAATTGAAAGGCGCCACTCAAACTGGCACCATTCTCATCCATCAACCTGGACTGATGCGCTACAGTGTTCATAGAGTTGGGCACATAGAATCCATTCATCGAGCCGTCTGTGAACTGAGGATCTGCTGGATCGGGGAGGTTATTGGCCACGTAAGAGTCGATTCTTTCGGCGATTCTGGGTTTGCGCACGTTCGTCATATCCGTGGTAAAGGCTCTCTTTCCCAAGCCGTCTGGTTTCTCATCTGCCTCAGTGGCATTAAGAGATAAGTCATCCGTGTCATCGTAAGGCAGCCAGCGTCGTTTAATAGTCCCAGATTTGCAGACTGGACCGCAATTGTTCAAATCGGAAAGGTATTCGTAGGGCGTGGCGTCTGGAGACTTTCCATCGCGACGATGGAAGTGAGATATTGCGGTGTTTTCTACACGTTCTTCCCTAGTGGGTTTTAGTTAGAGATACGCCCAAAACATAAGAATAGACGGAAAGACTACAAACCTCGGAATATAATATGTCAGTGCCTGCGTGCTAATAAGGACTAGCAACAGAAGCTGCTTCAAGTGAGGGAAGGTCAACATAGCGAAGTTTGTGCCGGTTCACTCGGAATATTCAGGCTTCGGAACTGGGTATGGAAGGATGTCTTTATACAGAAAGACTTCAAAAAGCTTTTTTTTTTTGCCAATTAGGTGTCTTTTTTGTTGGCGCAGGAGCCAAGCTGGGACCTTCCGTGAAACACTTACGATGCATCTTATTGAAAGAGGCTCGCGAGGCTGTTAGCACTGGGACCAGGCAGTCTGACAAGTGGATCCTTTTTTGATATATTGTGGAATCGCCCCAAACAATCTGCGAGGCTTGGAGGCCCAAGCGTGGCGGTCCACAGCCTTAGAGCTCGGTATACATACTCACATGTGCCTCTAGTTTATCCTTACTCCGTAGTTCTTCACGAATTTAGAAGATGGGTGCTAGGGACCGCACTCGCTTGAGTTTTGGCCCCAGGCGGGATATTTGGCCCCTGATTGTACGCGCGGCCGTGCAATAAGGCTGCATGATTGTAATCCACTTCCCATTTTTATACAAGTGGTAAAATACAAAGTTTTCAAACTAAATTCTTATACCATATCGAGTGCTCAAAACGCGTTATATTTCCATACAGTGCAAGAGACTAAGGAATGATATCGCTAGTGTAAATAGTGGATTATAAATTGATGCAGCTAGCCGGTTTAATTTCGCACTGATTTCCCAAACAATTACGGAGTACCCCAAACTAGAACCGTCCGGGTGAGAACCGCATTGCAAACTTCGATATGAAAACTGGGGAAACAAATACAAAGAAGTACTACACATCACGGAACTGTGATATTCTATTCGATGGGACTTAAAGTCTCTCCTGGTTTATCCTATTTTCCTCTAGAGATCGCGGATGCAGCGGGTCCACGCTTGGCATGCATCAGCTGAAGCTTGTTGTGTACTACCCTGGCAGCAATGTGAGTAGGACGGGACGGACGTAACCCTGGGCTTACCCCATCCACAGGGCCCTAGATAAGCTTTGGGGCGAAGCAAAGTCAAGACTCAAAGGCATCCTAGCAGATTTTTTAATTGCATGTGGGGGCCGACCGTTTGGTTTCCAATCCTCAAGTTGGCACTGGGCATGTTATGTATCACGTAAGATGCCCCATGTGCCGGGATATCTTGACCAACCACCAACTTGGGACCGGGGCCTACTCAAACCACGAGGCTATCCATCTCGAGAAGGGATTTTACTTATTGTTTCATTTTGGATGACCTCTTTCCATCATACCCGGGCGGCAAGTGGGATAGAGTCTCGTCTCTCCTAATTTTTAGATAATATCATGCCGCAATATATTTTTCAACAAGGCACCTTATTTGGAACTTGAATCCAGACTTCCAAGGTTGGGATAGCTATCTGGGGGCCAATACCTAGGTATGTTCGTTCAATCGATTCCAGGGTCTCACCTTTTGTATGTAGAGTATTTCTTTCCTTCCTCCTCTCCTGCTGTTCTCAGATCAGATCTTTACTTCTGCTATCATTTGGCAATTGAATTCTTATTTCATCCATAGTTCTCCTGTTTTTTTCCCTCTACAGCTGCTACAGCTATCCGTAGCTGTTCGTGCTGTTTTAGCATCCCAGGACAAATAAAGGAGATCAAGCCTCAAAAGTGTCGCATTCAACGAGATACTAAGTATGGAGAGGGAAAAAGAAACAAAGGACAAAGGACTCGGGAGCACCTAAACACTCGCTGCATGAAGGCCTGAGACAGTAACCAGGCAATGTGTTTCAGCTATACCTGAGAGAGTGGAAGCAAGAGTATTCTCAACCCCTCTATCACCTGCAGCGGCTCCAGTTATAATTACCAGCAAACATTTGACCATTGCTAAAAAGGCACAGTACGAGTATACATCCATATATTGACTAGGTGAAAAAGAAATAATATTATTCCAAAAGGGTTTCGTAGTCGTCATAAGTCTCCAACCAGTGCTTATAGTCTAGAATATTACCATTCAGCCGACCCAGATGATCATACAGAATATAATTTACTTAAAATACTTGATTATCTCACAAGGTCTACATGATTTTAGTATATTTTATGCTCTTTTACTAGTCATTACTAGTAGTTATTACTAAAATCCCTGCAAGTTCAGCTTGGCAGGGTGTCTTCGTGGCCCCACGACCCCGTGGGCTGCGCGCTATCCTATTAGTAACCGGTAGTTATATCTAATTCTGCTTAATGAAAACAAATACTCCGAATATGTCGATGCTTGGGCTATGAGAAGCAACCATGATCATTCCGAAGGTACGTACTGGTAGTCGGACATGTTCTATTCAAGCTCCCTTGCCCATTGCTTCGTCTAGTTATAACACCCGGTATAACTTACGTCCCTGTTCGCATGGAATAGTATATGGTGATCCCGAAACAATTATTGTACTGACCAGAGAGCCACTGGCATCCCCATGGATTGATCCAGCAAATTTAATGTATTAAAGTATTATCCTTCACAAACTAAATTCGAACGATACATTTACTTGGCCCAAAAACCTTACCTCAGCCTCTCACGCTATTCTTGTGCTCGACCTCTTTAAATCCTATCATTAAGAGATCCCGGGCCATGCAGTCATTGAATCGGAGCTAGGGTTGGCAGGGTGACCCATCATGATCATCAATTGGTCCCCATGCCTCCCCGCAGAGTTCCTTCGTACTTCTTGGCAGTCCTTGGCACCTCTGGGATTCCTTGACAGGTCCGATGGTCCCTTAATTCTTAGTCCTTGGCAGTCTGCATACTCCGCACTAGTCAGTTAGTTCGCTCCCAATGGCCGCCCTGTCCCACCTCGGACTCACGAAACTTCCCACTGATAAGATTCTTTTTCCGAGTTCCCAAGACCGTATCAAGTCATCTCATGACATTATTATTCATGTCGCCTAGCAAGGTCTCCTCAACCAAATTCCTAACATTTGATAGATTATGAACAGCATTCATCGGCACAGACCTCTCGCTTAAAAAGCGGGCGCGCCGTTAGTAGTTCTTGGGGCCTGCCATGACTGGTCATGTTCCTGTCGGGCAATCTACCTGTGAGGCTCCTTTCAGCCCCGCTGGCAACGGAACTTCGGCTCAGCCCCAACCATTCTACGGAGTATGCGAGTGCCCAATTGCCAAGCCTCTTGGCCTTAGCAGTCGCGAAAGAGGACCCCTTAAGAGGCCGCCCTCGCATTCACATGCACTTTTTTTTTCTCTCTTGTAACACGCGCGAGTGGATAGATACCAGAAGCTATTGCGTCGCGAATGGAAGAACAAGGCAGCCAAATCGCCTTGCGGCCGGTTTCGAGCCGAACGACGGAACTCCAGCATGGGCCACACACTCAGGACGAAACGCGAGAGCATTCCGCTCATCAAATGCCCCCAGATTTCGATTCAACTCACCCGCTGCACGATGAACTGCCTGTCTATACGCGAGCCCCGCCAGGGAATCAGTCACTTGGACGTGGTCATAGCACAACACTTCATCGCTCTACATTCGTTCTGTTGATGACAACTTATTTTTCCGCAATGGTCATCTACTCATGGGTCATTCTGGCTATTCTGTCCTTTCGTCCGGTGGGCACCCATAGCTGGGAGCCCCACACTGACGAATATGGTCGCTACCCCAGGAAGATGCCAAACTACGCGATGGATGGGAAGCTATATCGGTCGGCGAGAATTATACAGTCCATAGCCAGCGTGTTAATCTTGCCATGGACCTCAGCTGTCTGCGCCTATGCAGCAGTAATTTTTGTTCAAAAACAAAAAGACAGTTCGAGCATGACTATGCGACAAGTCATGAATTTGGCCGACCGACGTTGGATGGATGGCTCATTGGTTCGTAATCTCATTGCTGGAAGCTGGAAGCAACATGGGAGTGCTTTTTTGGCCCTAGCTATCTTTGCTCACTTCGTCGCTCTTGTCATCTATCCGATTCAATCCATTGTGGTCAACACGAAGTCACTTCATGTTCCTACTTATCCAAATGCATTGGGTCGGATAAGTGATTTGGCATATATGAGAGCTAAATCCGATCAACACCCAGGGACCGACGTTATTCAAACCCGCAATGCTCTCGCTGGGGCAGATAAGCACACGTGGAAGCCACAGCTTTGGGATGATGGAGGCAGTCAGAAATTTTCTACACTCTTCAATCTCTCTGCCATGAACGATCCGTTCTTTTCCCCGTTGCCCAACGGCTTCAGCAGTGGGATACTCCGTCAGTATGCCCCGCGAATAAATTCAAGTACCACCGTACGTAGCATCCAGGAAAATGAGTACCCGAAAGACTGCGAATCCGACACGGCGAATCTCTTCGCCAACTACTCGTCTGTCCACGATTACGAGCCTGGAGCCAGATACAGTTTCACCAATAGTTGGACTATCTCTGCTTGCATGCTCGCGTCAAATATGACATCGCCCTGGACAGAAACCAGAGATCGCCAAGAATTCTCTGAGGTACTCTATCTTAATATATCAGTTCAAGATACACAATCCCCGATGAGTGACCTTCTTGAAATTAGACTCACCACGACTGCCGGTTACTTTGAGCTTCCGAGCTACATGAACAACCAAACTGCAGGCCCCTTGCTTGACAATGACCCAACAGTAGGTTGTGAGGACGGTGGCTATGGCTGTGTCCGCCAGACCGAATCCTACTACTATTACAAGCGAATTCGACGTCAGGAGAATTCATACGAATAATTCAACGACCACCTACAGAAAAACTCTTCCATGGGCTCCTATGTTTACTTCAAACAAGGGCCCCCTGTTGAGTACGGCACTTGCTATCTTCGGCCCGGGGTCCTTTCTCAGCACATTCTTCGCTGAATACATCACCTTAACATCAGCTATGTTTAATGCTGAGCTTTCAGGGGATGCCATTCGAACTAGTAGCGGTGGCTCAGTCTGTATTGAGATTGCCCCTCTTACAAATATGCTTTCCACTGCATACTCAGACTCTTATGTCGCATCAGATTCATGCGTCACGCTATACCTTACTGGCTCCACTGGCACACGCTCTAGCTATATTTCTGCATCCTATGACATCATGGCTAAGTGGCTTAAGGATATGTTTTCCGACAAAGAGATCTTGACCAACACTTTAAATGCTGCTGCATTCCTTGCAAGCGAGCGTCAATTTGAACTCCTACAATCCTACTACACTATCTACCAAGATCTTGGCTCCGAAATGATGGTTCCGGATTCTAGCTTGGCAGGCGTGGCTGTCGCTTCCTTCTTCCTGGGCCTCTATATCCTCATTTTGTTTGCTCTTTCATTGTATGGAAGTATCTACCCCCGTTGGACTTTACGACTGGACTCTTTTGCCATGTTCCGCCTTGGGGCCGCTTTTGGCCAGGACAATTCCACGGTCCTAGTTACGCGTGCGAATCATGAAGTCAAGTTGCTTGACGAAATTTCTGGTGTGGTTCGGGATATTGGTAATGTTGCAGATGATGCAATTATACCCATTGGTCGAGTTGGTTTAGGGGAAGGCAAGCCCCTACGCGCGGGCCGAAGATATGAATGCTATGAAGGTGACAACGAGCCTTTGACAATAGCAGAGAAGCGGAAGATCACCGGTCAATATTAATCGGTCAATGTAAATAGCTTGCGCCTGTGGAATTAGTTCTTCATCAATATATTATTTTCTTCAGAGCCTCAGGCATCCGGAGCATTGGCCAGAGATAAACGATGCATTGACAACTGTCGCACGGTGAGCAGAATGGTAGCTGGAACTTAAACACGTTCAGAAAAACGCATGAAATCTCCTTCCTATTCATACGACTAAAGTTTGACAAATAAATATGGCAAACGAAGTGTCGATTTCAATTAGATGATAGCCACCTGAATTATTGCACTTTGGTTTCTTCGGATTGGTGGATATTCCGACAGAATTCCCTGGTTCAAGTTTCTTCCTTCCTTTGTATCTCAGCAACCTCATATGCCAGCCCATTCTCGGAAATTTGAGTCACGGCCCATGGTAATTTATTTTGTTTGATTGTTTGATTGTTTGATACTAATTACCTGAAAATCACTTTGTTTTCGCTTTTCTACTGATAGCCACGCTTCCCTGCTGAAAATCTGATATGACGTCACTGGCAATTAGCTTTTGTGGGGAACTGGTTGAGGTGGTGTTGACTCAGCTGTACCTGATATAATGTTCTCGTGGTCGCCGCGTGGCGAATCATGACATAGCTTCAACATGGAATGTGAGACCAGGTATGCAATTACTTGACTAAAGCGATAAAAACGTGAGCGAAAATACCGATCCGTGAAACTCAAGTGGCAGGGATTAGTCGCTTGTCAACTAACCCGAAATCACGGCAACCATTAGGCCGAAAACATCGATAGCTTGCGAAAATTTACCTCCTCAAACAAAAATCGTCATCGCTTTCCTTTTTCGCCACGCAAGACCAAGATGTCCGATCGTGTTGCCATCCCCCGTTTGTTAAACACTCACATAAGGCAGAAACCAGGTCGTACCGGAAGAGCTTGTGACGAGTGTCGGTCACGAAAAGCAAAATGCGACGGAGTCAAACCAACATGCTCTTTTTGTGTTAAGCAGCAGACAACATGCAATTATTCAGAGCCGAAGAGAAAACGCGAACAAACCGAGTTGGGATTGGCGAGAGACAGAGCCGACGGTTTCGAAAAGGTGCTTCGTGAAATCTTGAACGAAGTTGATCTTCCTGTCTCAAAGAAGATAAAGGAAGTGCTAGTATGTTCCCATTGGCTGTATAAGTGAGATCCATACTGACTCTTCATACTAAAGAAACTTTCATCCTTGAGTCAACAAGCTCGCAAGAGTTTGAGCTTCTCTTCGGTTCCGTCCTCGCCATCCTCTGTTGGCTCCCTAGACGCCGTTGATGTCCTTGACGAAGATCTTAATCGGAGTCAAGACAGCAGAGCAATAGGGTACCTCGGGGGAAGCTCGGAGGTGTCCTGGATGCGCAGCTTAGAAATGAAATCTGCTGGCTTGTCCAACAATGAGCAGAATTCAGAAACCAGTCACAGCTGGCCACCTTCGCGAATTGCTCCCACCGCATCGATGAACTATCATATCGAACCAGCTGCTTACCCAGCAGAAGAGGTTGACAACGTCTATTCTCTACCGGAGAAATTATCCGCAGAGCGACTCCTAGAAATATACATGGACAGTGTCCAGCCATCTCTGCCAGTTATCCGATCAGATCTTTTCAAAGACCAGTTTGATTCCTTCACTTCAGGACGCTCAGGTCATCCGGGAAGAAAATGGCTGGCCGTGCTCAACTTGGTTTTTGCCATCAGCACGAAGCTATGCCAACATTCTGGCCAAGACACTCAAAATATGGGTCACCTATTTTTTTTCGCGGGCGCAAATGTTGAACATTTCCGAAAGTATTGTAGAGGATCATGAAGATCTACAACAGGTCCAAATTGAAACTCTCGCGGCTTTCTACCTCATGATCTCGTCACATGTCAATAGGCAAGTTTCACTACCACCTCCCCTTCAAGCTCCAAATCACTCCGAATGATCCTCTAATTTCACGCAGGGCATGGAAAATGATCGGCATAGCCACTCGCTCCAGTATCTCATTGGGTCTTCACCTGCGAGCAACTCACCATGACTTGAACGTACAAGCGCTCGAGGCCCGGCATAGACTCTTCTGGTCAATCTTCATCTTGGAAAATCTTCTTTCTGATATGACAGGGCGCGCCTCCGGATTGAGTAGTATCTACTGCTCAGTACCTCCGCCACTTGCCTCAAGAGACATGTGCCCTTTCACCAACGGCTCACAAAAGGGCCGGGTAGACCCAGCTCCCGAAAGTCCACCGATGAATTGGACAATGGATCAAGAACACAAGCACTTGAAAGCTCAGCGGAACCTCACAAAAACAATGGAAGCCACTCACGAGCTGTATTTTTTCTGTCTTGTCGACATAACTTCTATCTCGCATGCTGCGTCCGCAAGTGTGTATAATAGAGAAGCACTCAAGTTAGGCTGGAGTGAGATTCAGAGTCGAATCGACTTCTACAATGAAATCATGCTTGACTGGCTCTCTGGCTTACCAGATTGCCTCAAATTTGATAAATTGAATAGCGTCCCAGTCCTCTCTCCTCAACAGGCTTATGGGGCTTCTTTGGCATTACACTATCACAGTGCACGGATTGTTCTCAACAGACCGTGTGTCACTCGACAGAAGGGTGGGAAAAGCTTTAAGGGACACCTTTCCCGCACGAGAAAAGATATCGAAATGACTTGCTTGCAATCAGCTCTGGCAATACTTTCTATCTTTCCAGAAGAGCCGAGCACGAGCTGGTTCCGATGTGTCACCTGGTGGAATATTCTTCATTTTCTTGTCCAAAGCACCACCATATTCCTCATCAATCTCTCCTATCTAGATTCCACGAAATCGCAGGGTTCAAGTCCAACCAGTGACACAAGAGTCGACCAATTTCAAACCTCTGCCACAACTATCAATCCCGACACTATTATAGCAGCTACCAGAAAGGCGTTACTGTGGTTATCTCACCTGGGCCAGACAGACGCATCGGCCCGAAGAGCGTTTAACCTCTGCAATAACTGCATCCGTCGCATGGATTTGGACTATACGGACCTTGCGAGTCCTACTAGAACGAACTATCCCTCCGAGTCGCCTCGTCTCGAAGTACCCACCGACCAGTCACACCAACAATACCGCAGCAAGCACAATGTGCCGAATTCGCAGTTTGTTGGCTCTAGAAGCTTCGGCTTTGATGGAAAAATTGATACAGCCTCTTTGCCTGTAAAATTCGAAGATAAAGAAGAACCGGGACTGATATACCCCTTGATTGGAACACTTGCAGTGGATGTTGACATGTCTGACTACATTCCCGACCTGGAGTCGGCAACTCTGGACGATGTTTTGCAGTGTCTTGCAGCATGAATACCGCTCTTTAAATTATATTTTGCAGGTAGTACATTTCGGATAAAGAAATTGCATCGAAGGACATTCATAATTCATAATGCCAACTAGTTATATACTCCAAACCGACACCATCGCTATGCTAGAAAAGTAAATCATACGACATCGCGCTCAGCGCCGATGATCTCCGACTCAATGGCCCGACGAATCGCGCGCTCGGCCTCATTCGAGTTATCTTTGAAAACATGATCCATCTGCTCGAGTGTGCGACCCATAGTCTCCGGTACAAAAAAGTATGTCCAGATACCCGCGAGGATGCAGAAAACCGCAAAGAACACGTACGCGCCGTAGCCGGTGTCTTGGACGAGAGGTGGAGTGATAAGTCCCTGGATTTGATGTTAGAGGATCCTTGAAAATGCAAGTCGAGAAAAATGGAAAAGGGGTCATGCTTACGATGATAAAGTTGTTAAACCAGTTCGAACAGGTAGAGAGGGCAACGCCCTTGGCGCGCAGGGAAGAAGGAAAAATCTCAGAAGGCAATGCCCAAGGAACGGGACCCCATGATGCACCGAAGGAAATCATATAGATTAATAGGAAGGCAGCGCTGACCCATCCTTGGGTCTTGTGGTTGGGCCAGTCGTCGCTGTAGATACCGACCATTGCAGCGATGATAATATGCGAGATTGCCATCATGACGGCACCGTACATCAGCAATTTGCGTCGGCCCAGTGTATCCATAGTCCAGATACTAGTGGTGACACCGACCAATTGCAATACGTTGAGGACTCCGGACATGATGAGCTGCATATTGGTATCGAAGCCGAATGTGCCGAAGAGGGTGGGTGCGTAGTAAATTAGAGCATTGATACCGACGAACTGAAGGCACAGGCGTGTTAGTACTGATTGATTGCAAGTAGGATAGACTGAGAGTGGATACCTGTTGGAAAAATGACAGCATGACACCGACATGAGTCCGGCGCCAGCATCCCTTCTTGAAGCAGTCGGCCCAAGAAGCCAGCTCCAGTAGGAATGAATCCTTGCTAGAACCGCTCTGCAGATTCGGGTGCTTTTCCGCATTCATGCGCTGGTGGAACTTGACTTCGGACATAATGTCCAGATATTCCTGGCGGATACGACGGTCCGTGGCTGGCAAGTTGCGAAGCTTAGCGAGGCTATTCAAGGCCTCTTCGTTGCGGCCTTTGGATGCGAGCCAACGAGGTGAGAATGGCAGGAAGATCACGCCAGCAACAAGAACGAATCCAGGAATCATCTGCAAGAGGAAGGGTAGTCGCCATGACCATTCCCCGATCATATAACGAGTTCCATAGGTGATCCAATAGGCAATGACGATGCCGAGAACGATGCACCATTCTTCCATGACCAAGAGGGTACCACGGCATTCGGGGGGGACCTTGAAACGAGATGAGTTAGAACAAGTCGGTTTCACGCAGGGCTTCGGCCTAACTTACTGATTTCGGAGATATAGAGAGGCGCAACCATCGACAGCATACCGATACCCACGCCACCAATCAGCCGCGCCACAGTCAACATGGGATAGTCTCATAGCAGCAGTCTGTAGGACCGAGCCAATTGTGAAGATGATTACAGCGACGATAATTGAGTAGCGACGAGAGATTTTGTCGGCGATCCAGCCCTGATTCAAAGCACCCAGCAATGCACCCAGTTCGATCATGGCCGTCAAGAGACCCTTCCAAAATGCACCGCTTGAGCTGTCGATGCGAGGAAAGGTCTCTAGGAACTGGTCCATGACCAGAATGATAGACACAACACCTTGATCATATCCGAATAGACTGGTATTACATTGTCAGTAATTGAACTTGAAGTTCATCAATTATGATTCCGATTGCCATTGGGCCTTGGGTCAGGTCAACACTTACAGTCCACCAAGCGTGGAGCAAGCCGCACACAGCAACACGAAGGGATTCTGCACCAAGCCACGCAGGCCAGGAGGCCCATAGGGCTCGCGGTCTGCCGTTATGTCCTCGGCATGGTGAGTGAAGCCTTCAGGCGTGAGCTCCTTCGTGAGATCCGTTTGGTCGGCCATTTGCGGTGGCAGAGAGAAGATACCAGGATCAGACTTGGCAGAAGAGAAGTATAGAAGGCAAGAGTCGCCGAAGAAGTGACGGATTAGGAAGAGGATTTTCCTATCTGAGAGTCGATGAGAGATCGTGGAGGATATTTATACATTCAAAGACCGTTAACCGGGCTAATCCTTCCGAAGGCAGGGCATTGGAGCCAAAGCCCGACTCCGGACTGACTCCGCAGGTCACGGCTGCGGGGGGACCCAGTTTCGTTCCAGCGATAGCTCGGCGAGGTGACGGCAATCCGGGCACGAAACACAAAGAAGGGAATTGGTAGGGAGATCGGCAGCTAAGGTTGGGCGTGGGGGAAGTTGGAGTAATCCTGCAAGTTTCATTGGTGATATTGGGGATGTGGGGATCCCCGGAAATGGACAAGAAAGGAGGGGATTTTCGCCATTTCAAGGAGGATGACAAGGTGCGAGTAATACTCGGCGAGAAATGCTTCTCAGCAAGGTCGCACAGGCAGGAATAGTGCGTATTGTAGGCAGAGGAAAGGGAACAGCTAGCTGTTACTGTCTTTATATACCGATCCCTCCCTCTCTACTCCAATTTCAACTTCAACCTTTTCCTAGTTACGTCTAATTTCCACTTTCACTGACACTTTCTTACGTCTGCCTGTGTCTGGTTTCCCCAGACTAATCTCCAACCACTAACCACTCATCAAACAAACTTTCTCCACTCGGGCTGACTCCGACAATACTAGCAGTGGTAAGGCTATTCGAATATCCGGCAGCCCAAGCCGAGCTAAGAGAGGTTGCTAATATAGTTTATACTCTAGAGAACACTCTAGAAGATACTCTACCACCTGAGTATCACTTATTGCACTATATCACACTACAATGTGGTCTAAATCCGATCTGATGACTTCCCCCACGGGGTAAACGGACCATCTCGGGGCTTCTTCCTGCCCGACCCCGCCGAGTGGAGCCGCCGATTTTCCTCTCTCGCTCTGCTTTGCTCTGTTTGACTTGACTCTCTCTGCTCTGCATCCCGCAACTCTCGTCTCGGAGTCCATTCTCCGAACCCGCCTGCGGATTTCAGTTTCCGAACGACGTCACTTCTCACCCTCCCTGCCCAACCCCCCCCCCTAATCACCACCACAACAACCATGGCTTCCTTCATGGAAGAGCTGTGGTCCAGCATCTTCACGCCAGGCCCCACCCCTACCCTCCTGATCGCGACAAATGTGACCTTTGCTGCCCTCCAACTCGTCTTTTTTGGCCTCCTCCTCGCTACCTACAGCCTCCACTTCGTCGCACTCTCCCTGATCAGTGCCGGCCTGTGGTACTCCATCAACTGGTTCGCCCATGAGGTGCGCATAGCCCAGGACGCCCAGAACGCCGAGAAGGAGAAGGCCGAGGCAGACACCGCCGACAGGAAGAAGGAATCCGGGGACAAGGCCAGTAGCCCCAGTCCGGGTGCAGGCGCGGACGCCGACAGTGAAACAGAAACCGAGTCCATCGCTCGGGGCAAGACGGGGCGATCCGCCACGGCGACAGGCAGTGCCTCCTCGGCCAGACTCCAGCCTGCTGAGCAGGATCCTCGAAAGCGTGTCAGCTCTGGTGGAGATAGTTCTGGGTATGGGAGCACCGACAGCGAGTGGGAGAAGGTGGATGACAAGGCGTGAGGTGAAGTGAAGTTAAATAAAGCAGGTGAGGCTGCGCTACGTTTTGAGGTCGTACCATCTGTCGCTGCTAGTCCTTGGTCCTTGCGGTGTAAAGTGAGACGCGGCAGCCTCCTGGACCTCTCTTTCTCTCCCTCGCTTTGGCTGTCAACATCGCTTTGTCCTTTGTTATTCCCCTACCATGTTAGCTGTTCATCTCAGCGTGGACACGCCACGCCACGCTCTGGGTGGGAGGTGATTATGCGATTCCATAGAGCACATTTTGTCTATTTGTATACCCTTGGAGCAATCTATTACTATTATTCATTATTATTATCAAGTTTTCTATTCCAATTATGCTCTTTTGTATACAAAAAGACCGCCAAATCGTCTTGCGGGGAGGTGCCCCACGTGACACGCGGCAAGCAAGCAACAAACAGCAACAGCAACAAATTCCAACCTCCAACCAACTTTCATTCTTCCCTTCTCCCAATTTAGCCCTCCCTTTTCCAGCTAGATCGGCTTGATATTCCGCTAATATGCCCTCTCCGTGATCACAATGTTATCCACCGTCCCTCTCAATGCGGGCCGCCGACGCGTGTTCGGCTCGGTTTTCTCCCCCGCGTCTCTTGAAGCTCGCCCGCCGCTCGCCTCGAGCTTCGATCACGACCAAGCTGCCCTCGCTTCCTTCCAATCGACTGCCTCGTTCGCCACTTTGAAAGTAGATTCGCAGACAGGGTCCTTTGTGTCCGCGCATGAAACAACTGATCCACTTTCCGACCACGAAACATGGGATCAGGCATGGTCTGCCGCAACCGCCTTTCTGTCTATTCCAGATCATGGATTTGCTCCAATTTACGAAGCTAGGGATACCGATGGAAGCGAGATGCTCAGGGCATGGAACCGACTCACCCCACCATCGAAAGAGACAGCCGACTCTCTGTCCTACCTAGCGGCCGCGACACAACAAACGAACACTCTACAAGGCGGAGCCAGCTCGCGAGGTTTGTTCAGCTGGTATAGTGATGAGATTCGGCGACACTTCTTGACAAATTTGCGAGGTGGACTATACGAGGTATGGAACTTTGGGAAATTATTGAAGCAATTGAGGTGTTAATGGGTTTACAGGTCCTCCACAGCTCTGATAAGTCGGGCTTGTTACGAACGATCGTCGATTGCCTTCAGCTGGCCTTTCGGTTATACTTGGCCCCTATTCGACACTACCTCTTGCCATTGATTCCTGCCTCCGAACAGAGCCGCATATTCACCCAACTTCAGCGGGGCTTCCATACTGTTGTCTCGTATTCTTTGCCATGGCTACAGATCTCACCGTTGTTAACCCAGGAATTTGCGCAAGATGCACTCATCATTCTCGGTATCGACACTTTGCTTGAAGACCCGGATTCGGATGACGAAGAACAGGATGAAATGGAGGTCGATGGAGAGTACTCGGTATCCTACTGTGACTGGAAGCACGCCAATGCAGAGACTCGCGCCCATATGATGACAGAACACGAAAACAACGAGGTCACCATGGCCCGGGATCGTCTTCTAGCTTTCCTCAACGGCTTGCAGCTCGTGGGACTTGGCGGCGATAAGGCCCAGAAGGTATTTGCCAATGTGATGAACATCATGATGACTGAGTTTATACGCGCGGCCTATACCTCTCAATGGGAGGCCCCGACATCAGTACCGCAGCATCTGAGACATTGGGTAGAGAATGTTTTTGCCCGTCTTGCCGTTCAAGTCCTCAATATTATTCACACGCAGCCGAGCAATCAACCAGCTGGTACACTTGATGTCAGCTTTACAGATGTGGAAAAATGGCAAGAAATTGCCGTCTCTCGTCTGGGTGCGCTCCGGGCCAGTGAGCTTTTCGATGTTATTGTTGAATGGCCTACCAGCACTGGAGCCGTGGAGGATTTGAAACATTTCACCACCCATCCTGCCGCCCGCACATACGTCACCCAGTCATTTATTGCGATTCTAAACCAGCGGCTCTTGCACCCCGGTGCCTCAACGGTGGAGATATTGCAGTTGTACATATCCATCATCCGCGCCTTTCACCTCCTAGACCCGAAGGGTGTTCTTCTCGACCGCATTGCTCGGCCCATTCGACGATACCTTCGTGACCGTGAAGACACCGTGAAGGTAATTGTCAGTGGTCTCTTGGCTGAGCCCCCGACTGATGATACTTCGGATCTACCTTCCAGTCATGACACCTTGGTTGAGCTGTCAACAGAGTTGTCAAAGGCGCACCAACTTTCTCTGCAAACGAATACTAGCGAACTGGACTGGGATGACATGAACTGGATGCCAGATCCCGTCGATGCAGCACCAGACTATCGGAAATCGAAGAGCTCAGATGTCATCGATAGTCTGATCAGTCTCTTCGACTCTAAGGAGACATTTGTCAAGGAACTACAGACCCTTCTCGGCGACAGGCTTCTCCAGAAGCGCGAAGACTACGACCAAGAGATCTCTGTTCTCGAATTACTCAAGGTTCGCTTCGGTGATTCAGCTCTACAGGCCTGCCAAGTCATGCTTCGGGATATATCTGACTCTCGACGGGTCGACCACTCCATCCGCCACGACCAGGGTCTTTCCAAACCCCCCCTCACGCGCGCATCCAAAACGCCCAACATCACGCCCCTGTCCTCCAGACCTTCACGCTAAAATCCTATCTCGTTTCTTCTGGCCCGAGATACAAGACCAAGAATTCATCGTTCCAGAAGAGATCTCCTCGCTCCAAGAGCGTTACTCAGAGGGCTTCGAGGCTCTCAAGCAGTCGCGCAAACTGACCTGGCGCAACGGCCTAGGCCAAGTCACTGTGGAACTAGAGCTCGGCGACCGCTCATTCTCAAACGAAGTAACAACCTGGCAAGCAACCGTCATCCACGCCTTCAACTCAACGACCGAAAATGAACAGGAACCGATTTCCAAATCAATCCTCGATCTCTCCACTGACCTGAAGATGGCCAGCGCTCTCGTTCGCAGCGCCTGCTTGTTCTGGGTCAGCAAGCGTATTCTCGTCGAAACATCCCGCGATACATTCCGCGTTCTAGAATTTCTTCCCACAGAAGCAGAAGTCGCAGAAGGCTCTGCCAACAACGACGGCGGTGCCGGTGGTATCACCGCGGACGCAGGCGACGCAGCTGCAGCTGCCGAAGCCGCCGCGGCAGCTGCAGCAAAGGAAACCGCTGAAGCGGCAGCTATGGAAAAGATGAATCTTTACTGGCAATTCATTCTTGGCATGCTGACGAACCAGGGTGCGATGAATCTGCAGAAAATCGTCATGATGCTGAAGATTGTCGTGCCTGGTGGTTTCCCGTTTAGTAATGAGGAATTGCGGGAGTTCCTAGCTGGGATGGTTTCCAAGGGCAAGTTGGAGATTGTTAGTGGGGGCAGCTATAAGCTTGTTCATTAATGAGCTCTGTGCATTGGGTTGGGTTGGATTGCATTGTTCCTTTCCTTGCTTTTAGCCATGGCGTTGGCTGGTCTATCTTTATACCCTTTGAAATGATGATTTACTCCTTTATGCAACTTAATTGCCGTCATACTTGTAAGATCCCACTAGTTTATTAGATGAGCTTTAGGTGAATATAGTGGAGGTATAATCTAAACATGAAATCGCAGCCCCAGTTGTAACATCATGCTTGAATCCAGCACAGGCCGTTGGAGTACCATATTCGGGCTTTATCCTGGTCTCCCCGAATCGATCTACAGCCTCCACTTTTCATCCCGCTTGCTGATTAATTGCACGTCGCCGATACCAACCGGTCGTAAGCGGGGTGATATCATCAGCATGCGCCTCGAAGAGCTTAATTGAAAGTTTCCCTCGGAGGCTAGACTCGTTGGGATTCGCGGTGAGGTTAAATGAATAACTGGTTGATGACCTCGGTATTGCTAAATGTTGATTTCAAAGCCCGCAAACGGGCTTCTCCAATTTCTTAGTTTTCAAGATAAATGAAAGCCTCGAGAAGCTGAGTATTAACATCGATCCGTAAATTTGATTCCCAATTTTTCATTCTTTGCAACGATTTGTTCAGAGTGAATGACACAATACTACTATTCAACTGTTCAACATGGTTCAATTACCTGAGCCGTTCGCATCCATCCCTATCTATCAGATCCGATACCCCAGGCCCTCTCCTATTCATGAATTCGGCACAAATCTAAAGGCAGCTACGCGGGTCCCAAACCACCCCGAGTTGCGAGTATGGATGAAACGCGATGATCAAGCAGCGCCCATGGTCTGCTGTGGCAACAAATACCGAAAGCTGGAATACATTATTCCAGACATCCTCAGCACCCCAGGAGTGACTACCATCGTAACAGAAGGTGGGCTACAGAGCAATCATGCCGTCCAAGTTGCGGCAGTCAGCGCAAAGTTGGGACTTGAGTGTGTGCTGCTGTTGGACGAGCAGGCTGGTGGACTTGACGCTTCAGAGAACCCAGAAATATTCCGCTCCACTGGCAACATCCAAATCTGCCAATTGCTTGGTGCTGATATCCGTGTCTTTTCGGGATCTTATGACAAAGATAGTGTCTTGGCTGAGCTCCGGTCTACGGGAAAGGTGCCCTACTGGATCCCAATGGGAGCTAGTATGCATCCCTTAGGTGGATTGGGATATGCTCGTTGTGCTTTCGAAATTGCCACGCAAGAAGAAGAGCTTCGATTGGAGGGAACCGGCAGGTTTGACTATATTTTTCTACCCTGTGGAAGTGGGAGCACTCTGGCCGGACTTATAGCAGGATTTCGACTGCTCGAGAAGAGTTCAACGGGGGGAAAGCGGCTCCCTCCGCGACAGATCGTTGGCCTCACGGTATCTCCGAAGGAAGAACAGGAGAAAACGGTCTTGGAAATTGCACGTACTACCGGTGGACATATCGGGCTCGATCCACAATCTGATTTGAACTTGAGCGATGTTCGGCTTGACCACCGGTCTCATGGGACCGGATATGGTATTCTCGACACTGATACTGAGAGAAGCTTGAGGGAAATTGCCATACAAAATGGCGTTCTCATGGACCCTGTTTACTCGGGAAAGGCGGCAGGTGGAATGATCTCATTCCTCAGAAGCGGGGAGTTGGAGGCAGATGCTAGAAAATGGGGACACGCCGGGGCAGGGTCTCTGAATATTCTTGTGCTCCATACGGGTGGTCAAACTGTATACTCTGCCTATGCCACCACTCCGACTACGGCATGAATATTGGATAAGTCTTTGAATGCCATCTTCCAGCTATTTTATTTAACATTCCCATATGGAAGCTACGGACGCTGCACATAACGATAACCTAAAACCGATTCCATATGTGCACTGGCAAAACATAGGCAGGTTTTTCAATGTTATCTTTCTCAGATTTAAGGTAGAACGGGTAATCTTATAGGTCTTAGACAATTGGCCCCATTAAATATCCTACCAATGACCTCAAACATGCAAATAAAGCAGATCTAAAGAGGGATATCGTAAGTTTGCCCACAATTGTTCTCCTAGCATACGCAAATTCCCCGATGGCCGATCCTATTGGTCGCATTCCTCATGAAGTCCCGCCACGCCACCACTCGGACCCACCAAGATTGTCTCCGCTTGGAGCGCACATTTTTCACGATCTCAACATCTACCAGGCCGGCTGGCCCAATGGCAAGGCGCTTGACTACGAATCAAGAGATTGCAGGTTCGACCCCTGCGTCGGTCAATTTTTTGGCTATTTGATGTTATTTTTGCCCTATAAGTGAGAAACCTATCCTGTCGTCTTTCCATCTAGCCCAGGATGCAGGTTTTGATTGTCGAGGAAGTAGGAAACATTTGATTGTGTGGACTAGAAGCATAAACATTGTCCAGCACCACCGAGCTCAAATCACATGTCGATTCAGTCACAGCTTCTTGGAAAATATGGATTCAAGGAAAGTTCCTCAAAGTAGTTTCCGTCAGGTTATCCGGCCCTGTACAAAAGAGGAGCTTCGTTTCCTGTGGAAGGCTTCTGCATAGCTCAATCACCTCTTCGAAAATAGTTGTATGCTGTGGCTTTCCGCAAATTCACCAACCGACCAGGACGCCATCCCAATGCCGATGCAGCAGTTTCTCCTTTAATTCACCCATGGCGGCCGGTACGTTCTCTCCGTCGGAATCAAAAGCACAGTGTTGAAGCGTGTGACTTGGCCAGAGGATTTGGCCCAATCCTTTTTTAATCACGTCTTCGAGTCGATGGCCGGTCAGATAGTAGCTCAAGCTGACAGTGAGGATCTGGATACGTTCGTCGGGCATCTTTATCGGGAGCTCTAGAATAAAACAGTCAGTGAATGAAATTTTTGTGCATTCATTAGGCTGTAAAAGATGGAGACACCAGCATTTGATTGTAAAGGTAATTTGTTAAAAGTTCACTGGCAAATTTGGAAAAGGTAGACTGAAAGTTGCCGTATTCCTGGTGAAATATGCATTTATAGACTACATCTTTCCAAGGTTACTGCGGAGTAGACTTTGATTTTAAATCCAGTTTCGAATAATGAACCTGTGGACAATTTCACCCGTGAGGATGGATGGTTCCATTCAAGTTCCTATTGGGTTGGCTGAAGCCACAGGAAAACGGTATTCGCAAGCCGGATATGACTGGGGGCATAGGCCCCACCCATCGGCCGCCGGAAGTGTCGCAAAGCCACCTAAGATATGACAAGGAGATCTTTTGTGTGTAAATTGATGGCTTTCAGTTAAATTTTATTTCTTTTGAAGAGGTCTGGAGGAAGATCCCTTTCATATACTGCAAGAATGATTCCAGATTTCGACCCTTTTAGGTTGGAAACTTGAAATCGCCTGGCAACTTGAAGCTGACTGTGACCACCTGAAGCGGTAAGGGAAAGTGGTATATTACCATCCCTCTTCCGGGACCGCCTTTGCACTTGCCTACGTGCCAGTACCCGGGTGGGTTCTGAATTTTGATATTTTGCCGATTAAGCGCATTTTGTCCCAGAGAAGGTAGCTAAGTGACCGAGGTAAATAAAATTCCACTCGGTATGTCAAGATGTGCCATGAGTCACTTCCCTGAACCGCCATGACTAATTGCACTCCACTTTGAGAGTTATATGCCAATCTGCAATTTTTTCGTCCTACAAAGCGTCTTGTGTTTCCATTCCGAAGGGATCATCATAATATCGAGTTCAGCAAAATGCATAGCATCGCCTCTTTTGAGCTGCCAACGGTAAGCACACAGCCTAGTGCCATTCAGACATATCCAAACTCACCAGGAAATAGTGGCTTCAAAAGAATGAGGACGCAAAAACAATCCTATCCGGAAGCGCAACACCGGCCCTTTCAATCAAGGACCTAATAGAGCTGTCAACGGATAAACCCCAGTCAACGGAAAACCTCTCCCTAGACAATATCCCTCTAGCCCTGGGCTCAGGAACCGGAAGCGAAGCACTTCGCAGCACAATCGCAACTTTATTCAACGACAAAATATCAGCCGCCAACATTCTCACAACAAATGGCGCGACCGGCGCAAATTCTCTCATCTTCCAGACTCTCCTTAGAGCAGGAGACCACGTCATTTCAATGTACCCATCATACACGCAGCTCTTAGACATGCCTCAAGCAATAACCGGCACGCAAGTCTCACTCTGGAAACTAAATCTCGATTCAACCCATCAACAAAAAGACCAAGAAGCAGCGGCCGCTGCTGATGTCGCTGCAGATCTTCTCGACATCAACGTCCTAAAAACCCTCATAAAGCCAAACACAAAGATAATCGTCCTCAACAACCCAAACAACCCAACTGGAACCATGCTCTCGCCAAATCTCCAACGAGAAATTCTCTCCTTAGCCCATTCCCACGGAATATTCGTCGTTGTAGACGAGATCTTCAGACCCCTCTACCATGGTCCCAAAACCACCCCACTTCCACCCTCCTTCGCCGAAATAGACTCCTTCGACAACGCCATCATCACGGGCTCCCTGAGTAAAGCGTGGGGCCTGGCCGGTGTACGGGTTGGATGGATCGCAACGCGAAGCGAGACTTTTATGCGCGCTGCGCTTAATACGAGACTATACACGATCAACGCTATAAGCACCCTTGACGAAATCGTTGCGAGTGAGGCGTTGAGTCCGCGGTGCCGGCCGCAGATCCTGGCAAAGCATTTGAATATGGCGCGGGTTAACTTGGAGATTTTGGATGGGTTTGTTGATGGATTTTCGTCCGTTGTTAGTATGGTTAGACCCTTTGCCGGTGCCACGGCATTTTTACGGATTGTGCTTGATGGTGGCCCTGTTGATGATGTGGAGTTTTGTCATGGGCTTAAGGAGGAGACGGGTGTTTTACTTGCGCCGGGGAGTAGGTGCTTTGGGGTTGATGGGTCAGGTGAGGAGTTGAGGGGATTTGTGAGAATTCATATTACCGGGTCCTCGGATGTTTTTCGGAGTGCTTTGGCGGCTTTTGGTGGGTATTTGGAAAGAATTCGCTAGGGGGTAAAGAGTACACGAAAATTTGCTAGTTTCTCTTTTTCTCTCTCTTATGTTTCTTCTTTCTTGTAGATGGTAATATATCGCTATTGAATATTCGGTATTTTCTACTCTGGAGTCCCCACTTGTGGTAGTTATCCTGTAGGTGGATCTTTTGGGTTGGATGTGATAGAAATAAAATAGAGGTATCATTCAATAAGAAACTTAATATCTACACAGAGTCGTCATTAATCATCAGCCTAGATCTCACTCGTCTCGAGGCCCTTTTTACTCCGCATCCAGAGGTGCGACAGGTGGCTGGTCATCAACCTGGATTCCACCACGCTTCTTCTCATTACTATCCCAGAATGGCAACTTCCAGCCACCCTCATGCTCAGGCGTCGCCAGCCACAGGCGCATCAGGTGGCGACGAGGAGTAGGGGGCGCGTGGTCGGTGTAAGAGGTACGCGCGTGAAGGATGTGGGAGTTGGCCAGGAACTGGATGTCGCCGACCTCGAGGATCATGTGGAGGGAGAGGCGGTTGCAGGTTGCCTCGAGCACGGTCAGAGCTTCCTGCTGCTCTGCGGAGAGAGGGGGAATAATGCCCGCATCGGAGAAGCGGGTCAAAGAGCGGACGTAGTAGGGGTCCCATCTAAAAGGTGTTAGTTGATTTGGATAACTGGTGAAAACAGTTGGCGGGAGGAACATACTTAGTGTAGACACGACCGTTCTCGCCGCGCTCTAGGTAGACCACGCTAGTTCGGATGTACTCGTCCTCGCCCTTGCTGGTCTCACCCTTACGGTCGAAGTACCAGATAGGCTCAGTGAGGGTCTTCAGGACATCAGGGCGCTCGACGGCGAGAGTGTTGTAGACGTGGTGGGAAGAGACGATATCAGACTCGCCGCCCTCGAGGGCTCTGGCGATGCAGAGCAGACCAACGATATCTGAATCATCGGCGTGGAAGAATTGGCTGGGGTATGTCAGTTATTGTCCAATGACAAGGGGTATTTGAATGTGGACCGAGTTAGACCTACCGAGCGTTTGTACGGTAAATGCGGACTTTGTCGATCTGGGTAGAATCCTCGCCCAGGTCCTTGACATGGCCTAGGACATGGCCGCGGCTGTTCTGGCTGACGAAGTAGCCAAGGTAGGTACCAAGACCCATGTATGCGACAGCTGATTTGTGGTTTCCCCATTCCTCGACAGGGAATCCCTTGAAGAGAATGAAGCCCTTGCCATTGACGATATCCAGGCGCAGAGTCTCGAGGTAATCTGCCAGATTTGGAAGACGGAAGTTGCTCTGTACAACGGTTAGCATTCAGCATGGCGATCTCCACCAGTCCTTGGTTATGCCTACCTTTGAGATACCGGTCAAAGGAATCTTTGAGGTAAGGAAAGCATCAGCTGCGGTGCTGAGCTCGGCAACCTGCTCGGGAGTGAACCTGTGAGTCCACTTCTCTGGGTTCTCACGATAATCCTCGGGCTTCCAGACGGTAGGACCAGAGATCTCGCGAGGAAAGCGATCGAATGGCCGGATGTGCTCGTAGAGAGGGGCATGTTGACCAGTCGTACGCAGACCATCGGGGAAAATGTCCAGCGGGGCAGCCAGGTTGTGAGGTGCCGTTGGCAGAGCGTCGGTAAGCGCAGGAGCCATGATGAATATCGTTGTTGCTGAAGAGCGGGGAAGAAATAAGTATTGAAGAGCTTAAAATGCACGACAAGGTATTAAATTGTACAGATAGGTCACCAGTAACTATTTATACTGGTCTTTTTGCTCCCGGCCGAGATCCACGACGATGTCGTTATTGTTGCTGAGGAATCGAGTGGGCAGTATGGCGTGCGAATCCGGCGGGAACAATCTTATAGGATGGGGCATTTCTGGGCAGAATCATGAGGTACTGCGGAACATTTGTAAAGAAATGGAGGTTTGGGGTTGTGGCGGTGTTGGCTGATTGGAAGAATTTGGGAGATGGCGCAATTTGCGGGGGTCGATGTTGTGATAACCGCGGCCGATCGCGAACTACAACAGTTTACAGTACATAGTAGACGGGCATATATGTCAAAGAGAATTACTCAAGAAGCTCAATGGACTAGTCTTAAAGCATTGAAGAGATTATTAAAATCTAGAAGAATTCTGGTAAGAATAGGAGTTGCCAGTTAATACTAAAGCAAAGTACGGAGTGCTGTTCCGCATACTCCAAATGTAACCGTGGAAGCTTCCGGGTCATCGGCACGAGCTTTCCATTAGAGCAGACATCTGAAAATCGAATCCTCGAGCTATCTTGACTCAGCCAGGTCTACTCGGCCGATACTATGCTCTATATTTGAAGATTAACAATAGAGTTGGCTGATCTTGCATAGGTAGTAGGCCGGGGTTGCTCGAACATGGGTTCATACTTCACCACCCCACCAACTGCAAGGGCAATACCTAGGTACTATATACTAGCGCCTGAGCAGCCCACTGGTATCCCACGAGAACCCATGATACCTAGGTACATGAAAATACTAATTTATTAAGACTCTATAAAATACCCTAGTTTATTGGATACATTTCTTCGTTTTCGTTTGAAAAAAAGAAGAGTTTTCTAGCTAAAATAATGCAGCAATGAATCACATTTGCCTTGGTTTCCTTCATGCCTTAGGCATCATCGATCCCGGCATTCATCTGGATCTAGTTGCTGCTTCCTTCTTCTTTCTCTCGAGCTACACATTGCCTTATATTGCAGTCGTGGTATCTTGATATTCATCGTAACCGAGCTCATCACACTACCTCGTATTTCTACCTACCTAAATGTGCCCTTTTGGATCATCTTTCATCCAAGAGAAAATCAAGCAAGATATGGAAACCCACAGAAACAAACGTCTACTTATTCAAGATCGAAGATTATCAAAAAATCCTGGAATGCGACCGTAGTGAATATTGATAGTCGTGAGGTATAACTATAACTCTTTACCCTGAAATGAGGGAACAGAGTGAGAAAAAAAAGTTACTGACAGTATGCCTGCGCGACCTTTGACTTGAATGTTCCAAACAGCACAGCGAAACACAGCTAGCTCCCGCCAACAATACCTAAACCACAAGCCAAGTACACCACCAGCTAACTTGAACTATCTGAATACTAGTTAGCGATATCTAGAGAAGACCAAAAAAAAGCCGAAACTAGGCGAATATTGACAAAGCCTGTATTAAAATTATACATCGAACATCCATTTTATGCACATCTTGCTGTACCAAGCACCTCTAGGATATAAGAAGCTGAATAAAACGACAGTTGACGATTAAGATAACAGAAAATATTTGTATCAGGACCAGTCCCACGGCTGATGCGCCCAGGCTTCACATGCTAACCACGTATGGGTGTTTTCCCACTAAATTGCCCCCTCAAATGCAGACTGGAAGCTTTGAGGATCGTATCGAGTTTCTGGCTCGCAAAGCGCCTTTGAGATCACGCTGAGGAGATTGTCATTGCCGCTGAATACACCATAGTTCTTCTCTTTCAGAATGTTTGCGACGTCATCGGCTGAAGGCCATAGCTGCCCATTTGGCTGGATCAGATTTCTCCAAAGATCGAAACGGTTGTCTTCGTTCTGCAGATCTGTCACAGACATGACCAAAAATGTCATTCCGATCGAGAATGTATCCACTTTGTTGCTGTAAGGACCTCCGTTTGGGTTGCTCCCAGACTTTGTTCCCCAAGAGACAATTTCTAGGTCGGGAATGTTAGTTTCGGGCTCAATGAATACAATCTAGAGATCATTACTTACCAGGTGCAGCATAGGTTCGGGTACCAACGGTGAATGCGCTTGAGGTTGTGGCCTTGACCGCGGTATCAAAATCGATAAGCTTCAGTGTGCTACCATCAAGAAGAAAGTTCTCAGGCTTGAGGTCGCGGTGAATGATGCCTGCACTCTGGACTGCTGATACTGCGTTGAGAATTTGCTTGAATGCACTATTGACTGAATTTTGATCCGTGAAAGAGCCAAAGTTTTGCTCAAGTGAGCTGCCCGAGATGTAAGGCATAATCGCGTTGCCAGCATCACCTTCGTTAGAAGACACGGCTCCAAGAGCTCCAAGAATGTTGTCGTTGTTGCCAAGTTCAATCTGTAGCGAGGCTCCGTAGAGAATTGCGTTTTTTGAATCTTCGAGTCCTCGTTTGACAGCCACATCCTGCGTTGACTCTACTTCGCCGTCCTTCTTGGTCTGGAGAGTGCCTTTATAAACAGAAACCTCGCCTTTGGCGATTGGAACTTTGTCCCAAGTCGCTACCATTTCTCCGCAATCGTCAGTTGTCCAGGTAAGTGTCCTTGTGCTTCGATCGAAAGTTCCCACATCACCGTCAGCGGCTTCTTCGCAAAAGTAAGGGTTGTTTTCGAGTTGGTAATTCCAATCATTGTACAACTTCCAATCTGTCGGTAAACGTTTGGCAAGCTTGTGTCGATGGTAAGGAACGGCGGTGCCCGCCGCAAAGAGCAGATGCGTGCTCAGCAGAGCGAGAGAAAGTCGGCTGAAAATATTCATCGTCGCTAGTGTACAGAGCCAGTTCGATAATTATGAAAAAGAATGAGGGATAATCTGGCTCGGAGAGGGAAGTAAATCCAGGGCGCTGTTATCCTTTATTACAGGCACCTACTATAATGGATTTTCATTTGGACCCTGAAACTCGACAATCTCCTAGTATGTACTTGAAAGGCCCAGTCGAGATCCCACGCTAGCTGAAGGAATAAACCTTTATGGCCGTCGCCCCCACCAAGCTGACGGGCTTGCCCCTGTAATCTGTAGAAGGTTTCGGCCCTAAGATTCTATCTCCGCCATTGGCCACTTTGGAGTCTTCAGCCCTGAGACTGATGATCCTTAATGTCATTCATTAACTTGAATTACGCCCATACTTGGGGGCTGAGGAGCCTCAGGGTTTCTTGAGACCACCTACTAGTTGCTTATCAAAGTATCCCCTTGAGTCTTGTTCTCTCAACGCTTAACTATCGGGTGTTTCAACTTCCAACAGCCCTATAATGCTTACCTAGTACAGTGCGAAAGGGCCCCGCTAGAGTGTGAAGACTTTGAGCCCTCCCCTATTCCCCAGGTACACCTCGTAAACAAAAGATCGGCTGCGTTTCTCGCCCCCAAAGCATGCTCTGCCATTGGCAGTGATCGGCGTTTTATTCGTGGCTGAAACGATCTTCAGCTAAAATCTGACAATAAGCGCTGTGGAGACCTTTCAGGATGCTCAGCCTCGCCAAAGGATGCTCTAATGTCTGTCATCGCAATGAGACCCGGCTCCGGGCAAGATGAAGCTGTCAGGAACAGCGTCCACAGCCAACTTCAATTCTTCATAGGAAAAATAGATGATGTTGAAATTCAATCCTAGTTCGATGGGGTTGGGCAAATATCTTGAGAAATAAGATGTATCCCCGTCTGATTAGCCAATGATTATTTGTCACCATGGGAAAGCTTAATACATCTCGCAGGTCCCGTCAAAACCCTAACGGTAAGCCACCAGCGGCAGCAGCCTCGAGCTAATCTGCGACCCCTGACGAAAGGGGACTCATTCCACTTTACTCCGAACTGGTTTCTCAATCCAGTACTCCGCACGGAGTATTACCTTTAAAATTAACCCCTGAAACTTGAATTGGCCCCATAGACGAATACTGCCCAGATGGGGAGCAAAAAAATAACTGATATATTTGCCCCAGTCTCATCCGCTCTTCTTCCTTACCTCCACTAATTCGTCAACGCTTCCACGCTTTCAATATGGTGTCTAAAAGCGCGGTTCTACTGCTTTTCCACCTCTTAGAGGGGGTCAGCGCAGACTGGACGACAACTATCAAAGCCAACCTCACTGTGGCGAACGGCTTCACCCCCGTCATCGACTTCACCACGGCACCTCCGCCTGGTGCATCGAGTCCGAGTCTCTCATCGACTCCCCCAAGCAGTCTTAGTCGACAGCAGGCTCACCGGGAACATTTTACGACAACTATCACGGTACCCGATGGTATGATACCGGTCATCCACTACAGCACTATTTCGTCGACCCCTAGTGCCTCTTCCAACGCTGTACCACCCCCGGACACAGCTTCTTCAGGAAGCACCCAGCCTGCTAGTAAACCTCCTTCGAGCTCAACGCCTTTAATTCGGCCATCCCCATCCTCTACTCCTGTGGTCACTCCGGGAATACCGAGTGTATCAAATCCATCATCTTCTCTTGTTCAAACACCGCGCTCCTCCACTCCCAGTCAATCGGGTAGATCGAGCTCTAGCAGTGGCCCTTCTGGCTCGGCAACCAGCATTCCTACTATACCAGGCCAGAGCGGCTCTGCCTCAAAGACACCAACAACTAGGCCTGCTTCATCCCCCTCTACATCTTCCGGGTCATCTTCTCCCCTCCAGAGTGGCTCACCCAGCACGGGTTCTCAAGCACCTGGTGGCTCTTTGACAAATGTGCCACCTTCATCTGGCCAAAGTCTATCCACCCCCAAAGCCTCATCGACTCCAGCTTCATCACCAGCCAGTGGTTCGGTCCCATCCCAGGGACCTTCGGTGCAACCCTCATCGGCTGATCTTTCTTCTGCCCCGGATATTATCTCACTCACCCCAACCGGTACCAACTCTGCTACGGAATCTGCAATTCTTGAGTTTGGCCCCACAGGTCCTCCATCATCGCAGCCCTGGGGAACTCTTACTTCTGCGCCATCGAGTGCTACTACCGGAACAGCAGCAATCTCAGAGGCCACAGACATTGCAATCTTCTTAAAAGGGCTCTATAACAATATTGATCAGCTCAAGACAGACCCTGAAAACTACAAAAAGAATCTCGAAGACGTTGAGGATAAGTCTCAGGATTACCTCTCTAAGATTGGATATCCCTCGACCAAGTCCCCTTGCTCTGGGTCCGGCTCTCTGCGAAAGAGGTCTCTGTTCGGTGCTATTGGAAATCTCGCCTCTAGTGCAGCCAATGTTGCCAAAGGTGCTGTAGATACTGCCAAAGACATTGCAGAGGATGCACTCAGCTGTATCAAGCCTATTGCCGATAGCATGATCAAGACGATCCCCGATGATGTGACTAAGTTGACGGATGACATTGAGAACACCATTAAAAAGGGTTCTGAATACCTGGTTGAGATCAGTAACATCGTGACCAACATGGAGAACAAGATAAAGGATGATGAGGATAATAACTCGTCATCTGAATCTGAATCCTCGACATCCTCTTCCTCTACTTGCACGTCAAGCACAACCTTTTCTGACTGCACGACAACCACAGTCTTGATTTCGACTTTCTCCACTGGAGGAGATGGTTCGGCTACACCGTCAACTAGCACGTCTAGTACGGTCACTTGTACTACCGAAACTGCCTGCAATGCTTCCCCCACCTCGACGACCGTCACCACCACTGAATATGGTTCCTGTCCGCTCAGACAGACAACCAGAATCGTACCTAGCAAGACGAATGCTCCTATGTCGATTCCATACGTTCCAACCACCTCGGGTTCAGTTGGATCGGCATCTCCTGGATCTACTGTAATCGTCTCGACAACCCCCGCCAGCTCAACAAAACCTGAATCAAGCGTTCCGCAAAGCTCCCAACCCCGTCCTCAACTCCCGGCGCAAGCAACTCTTCCAATACACCGTCGCCTTCCGCATCAAGCTCATCTCCCTCAAATACCTCAGCCCCTGGAACATCATCCACCCCTAACCTGACGACGACTCCCAGCCTGACGACGACTCCCAGCCCGACGATCACTCCTAGTCCGACGACAGAGCCATCAGTTAGCTACTATATGTGTTTGAACAAGGGAGGCCCAGATGTCACCAGCCCTCATTGTCAATGCTCAACATACACAGAGGGGCAGACATATTGGGCAACGGCCTCCCTTATCTCCGGCGCGTGCTGGCAGTACACAAGCTTTCCATCCCAGATCACCCTGACGCCAACTTTCACACCCACAACGCCAACACCAACACCCGTGCCTTTCGTCACCACCTCAGCGAATGGCGAAATTATCTCCTATCCGTCCCAAATTTTCACGGATTTTGCCACGCAGGGTGCCGGCACACCCGTGACACTGCAGACTCCTTCGCCAAGCCAGACAAGCAGTAATGACAAAGGTTCAGCCCAATGCCATAGTATCGATGATGCCTGCGATAGAGCTTCTGAGCAGTATGTGGATGACACGGTCTACTCATCCTACACCTCTTACACGGCCAATATAAAATCCGGCATTATCGTGGCGGCAACTTTAGGCCAAGCCGGATGTGCGGCCATGTTTACTTGCGACAATGACGATTATGGGTTTGGCATGACTGGACGCCAGATCAAGGATGCGTAAGTCAATACCTTGATGAAATTTTCTGAACTTGCTCTAACAACTTTACTAGTATCGCGTATATGAAGGACAATGACAGTGTCGATAAATGCGGAACTATGTATTTGTCGAACTCTTGTCATATCACTCGCAATTACTGCACCAGTTGCAAGGCCACGCAATAATTGGGTGTTCTAGTACTTGCAATATCATAGATTTTCCCGGCATTTTGCCTCCCCCTTAAGATTCTTCATAACTGGTGTTTAGATATTTTACTTGAGTGCTTCACTTTCCCTTCAAGAACTTTCATTTAATATTCATATATTTGGCACTTTGCCTGTTTATTTATGAGCTCGTTCACTTCGTAAAGATTTATTTCATAGATACCTTAGGCCTAACCTATGGGGGTGCATCTAATGGGACCTGTTGGATTCATTTTTGGTTGCCGGTTGGATTTGGCTTCGAAGACTCGAAGGCGCCAATTCCTTATAGCATGTTTTTCTTTGGCTAATTAACTACCAATCTGCTAGCTTTTAGATATAGACCACAAATTTGAACCTAATCATGGCGTAATCTCAAAAGGAGGTGCGACCGCGTAAGGATACGGAGAACTTTGGAAGAGCCACCTGCCAGAGGAAATTTGCTACATAAAGAAGACATCTGCATGAACTTCATAGTTCTGTTTTTGTATGCATGGACATACTTCATCTAACTCGCAAATTATGCATAACTACAACGCAGACCAGGATCCGGCTTCCTCTTCGGGTTTGTCCTCTCCACCGGATTACTCACAAAAACCCACATCAGGCATCCGGATCCGACCCCACGCCCTATCGGGGACATCAAGAGTATTTTTCGAGCAGACTTCGACAATATTCCGCACTCACTTGATCTCCGCAGCACCCTCCTACACTTTCATTCATTCATTCACTACACACTGATATCACCACTTTTTGATATCAATACCATCGCTACATCCATCTATATCAACAACCAACCTTGCGCATACTTACATACTCCCCGCATATGATATGGCCCCGCACCACATCCACGTCGCCGTTCTAGACGCCGATATCCCCTGTCAATCCGTCTACGCCAAACGAGGCCTCTACAGCTCCCAATTCAAGAACCTCCTCCAAGCAGCCGCAACAAGGCTCAACAAAAATGATACCAGTGGCTCCTCATCCCCACTATCCGTGCACGTCACAGCTTTCGACGCAGTGGGCGGATCCCTCCCACCACTCGAATGTCTTCGCAGCACATCGCAAACTGCAGCAGAGCCTCCAGCTTCAACTCCACTAGCGTTCAGTGCTATTGACGCAATCCTAATTACCGGCTCTTCGGCATCAGCCTATGACCCGCACCCGTGGATTAGCTCTCTTGCCAGTTTCATTCAAATCGTGCATAAAGATTACCCGCTCGTCAAGATCTTCGGTTCATGCTTTGGTCACCAGATTATTGCTCAGGCTCTTCTCTCTGCACAGCCAGCTGGAGTTGGACTCGGGCTTGTTGGAGGTGATGCCAATGCCAATGCCAATGCCAATGCCAGCGCAACCGCAACAACTCAACCTCAACCCTTCCACGTGAAACACTCACCAAAAGGCTTTGAAATGGGCATCCAACCCATAACACTCAATCCAGAATTCACAGCGCACTTCCCACCCCTCGCACGCGCAAATCCATTCCGCATCCAACTAATCCACGGCGACATCGTTGTGCCCGTCCCTACATCCACCGAAGACTCGGACTCGGACTCAGGGAAAGAAGCCAAACTCCCAACACCGTGGATGAATATCGGATACAGCGATTTCTGCCAAATTCAAGGCCTGTACCTGCCTGGTCGAATCTTGACCTACCAGGGACACTTTGAATTCGATGCTTGGGGGAATGCCGAGCTTACGAGGTATTTTGGGTGGAGGTTTGGGTGGGAGGCGGGTGTTGTCAGGGATTATATTGGGTTTATTGAGCGGTCGGTTGGTTCTGGGCCGGATGATGATGATGATTCTAAGGCTGCGGCTGAGGCGGTGGTTCTTTTGTTTGCTGGGCGGGATGGGAGTGGTCAAGTTGGAGGTGCTGGTGGTGCGAAAGGTGGGGTTATGGAGGTTGATGGGATGTTGACGCCGCCATTGGAGGGGAGTGGGTGATTTAGTAGGTAGTAGTTGAAGTTCACTGGAGCTCAGTCAGATTGGCTGGATGCCTGACTTTCAAGCACTTATATAGTTCTTTTCTCATTCTTTCTCATGGCGGCATTTATAGATCTGATTTCCAAGGTTCCTGTACCGGTTGATTTTCATTTCATTTCATTCTTTTTGTTTACTTACATACTGCTACTCGTAGTAATAGTTAATTTGTTTTCCATTTTTAGCACAGCAAGGGCTGAACAGAACTGAAACAAATCGCACTGACCAAGTCGTGAGAGACCCCTCGGCAGTGGCGATGAGTTGCCTAGCGTGCGTGTTCGCATGCCGCAGGAACCGGTTCGTGAGGGAGTAAGTATGCGATACACCGTAGCAGTATGCAGTACAGAGAATAGAATCTTTATTCATTTCATACATTTTATTCACAGAATGCGAGCTCGTTAGTACCGACCATCGAAACCGAGTTCATTGACAATTTCTCAATTCCAGGTTGGGTACTCCGTACTCCGTCGGAGTGCCCAGGGGATAGCTAGGAACCTGGCCCTGGCACTCCACTCACCGGGGCCATGGTAAGCTACCAGGTAAGCTATGTATCAGGAGCACTTGTACTAGTAACTATAACTAATCACGATCACCTAAGAGAAAACGGCAGGAGATCGCGGGAGCAAGTGGGAGCTAAGTTACAGTACTGTACACATACACATTACCATACGTAAGACGGAGCTACGGAGTGCAGCTCCACTCGGGGTTTCGAGAGCACGGGGGAAATTAGCTGGAGATATGGGGAGATAAGTAGAGTACTCGTAGCTGAGGATACACGTAAGTACTACACCTTAGTATTACTCGTAGTACTCCGTACTCCGTACATATCGCCAGTTCCCCCACTGATGTACTCGTAATGCAGATTTTTCCACAAACCCCTCCTGCACGGGCGTCCCCATGCGGCATGGCGCCCTTGCCGCAGTCAAAGTGGACGAATGGCAGTGTAGGTATTCGCGAGGTCTGCCCTCCACTTTTGGCGATGGCCAATCAGGCTGCTTTGAGATGACTTCGGCATGTGCGCCGTGCCGATACCGTATGGTATTGACTAAGGCTTAACTGGTGAATTGGTGGAATTGGAATGGAATACTGTAGTAAAGAGAGGGAGTGATAGTCAGGGACTCACAGGTAACTCCAACTAATTTTAAGAAATTAATGGTTATAAATAAGAATATTCTATGTATACTTATCTGTAGATATTACTAGGCGTACTAGTATAAGCACGTAACTTGAGTTCGGTTGTACTGCTGTACTGCTGTACTGCTAACGGAAGCCTCGGCCGGTGCCACTCCGAGCTCCGCTCCTTGAATGCCATTGACTTCAATGCTCTCTCTGTTCCGATTGTACATTCTGCCTGTGCAGTGGGTGGCTAGTGATAGCTATACTAATAGTTATACCTATACTCCCTATAGTTATAGCAACTCCAGGTAAAGGCATATTTTAATTATAGCTATGACTACCCATGGTTCTCATTGCGCCCCGTATTGTAGTAATGTATGGTAATACATTAATACGGTACATAATACCATTTGCCACACCGTCGAGCTTCTGGAATCTTGAGCTTTTTGACTCGGAGCTGGGGAGAGCTTTGGAGGGGCCGCTGATAGCGCCTATCTGCTTCCAACGGCGCCTATCGATAACTCGGTGATTTCCAGCTTCCACTGCGATGAACTACATTGCTATATCCTCATATTCTAGGGCAACCGTGAGTATCGCCAGCTTTGCACCGTATTTGCCGGTGGAAATACTAAATACTGTGCCCAGTACCGAGTCTGGGTACCACTACCAAGTTAGTTACAGTATATACTTACAGTACACTTCCACCAGGGGCGCCCAGCTCAGGTCGACCAGCTGATGCCCTGCATATCGTACGAAGTTATCCCGGACATGGCGCCTCAGCTGAGGAACAGTGCCCACGCGGAGTAGTTCAAATCAAACTAAAATCAAACTAAAACTAAAATGTAAGAAAATGAGTACTAAGTAACTAGGTAAAAGAGGATCACTTCCCTTTTCCCGACCAAATTCGGGGATACCGGTAATACACTTACGTTCCAAACCCCCAGCGCACTCTCAGTACTGACACTGACACTCTCTCCTCTTCTACTTTCCTTTCTACTACGCTGCTTCTTCTTCTTCTTCTTCCTTTCTCCTCCTCCCCACCAGAGCATGCATGCCAATCCCGGCCTTCAGTTCGTTTCTTAACCTGGTCGAGAGTGCCTGTTCCGATCTTCCTTGTCTTTTTCCTCTTTCTTCCCTCCCCATCCCACCCTCCCCATCTTCGACCTCGACCTCGCCTTCGCCTTCGCCCTCTCACCATGCCCCCCCAGAAGCTCGCTGACCAGCTCCTTCTCGGTCACTGATGCCAACAATGAAGTGGTGTGTCCCTTGAAGAATAATGATGGCTCCAATTGTCGCAAGAGATGTCTCGGAGTGAGTATCCCACCTACCTGAGCTATCATTTCACCAGCACCCACAGCTAGCACAGCTGTCTCTCTGTTCGCCCCCCTCCTCCTCCGGGCGCCCCACCCAGAGAGAGTATTACTCTGTTCTATCCAGGGCTCTTCTCTACAGATTTGCCATTCTATATGACTTTTCGATCCCTCGAAGTTCAGCTTTGATCGCAATCTGACCATATGCTGCCCCACAGGAAAAGCGCTATCGCTCCATGCAGGAGCATATCCGACGTGCGCATCCGAACCACTACATCCCGAAGCTCCCGGCTACCGAAGAGAGCTTCCTTCTGATGGTCAACACCCCGCCGGACCAACGGACTCAACTCTCACCACCAGAACCTGCTCCACCCCGTCGTCGACATGGTCACCACGGTCATGGTCACGGCCACGGTCAATTTCAAGGTTGGTTTCCCCTTTGTGCTCTGGTGGCTGAACGCTTCTTACCCCGCGACAATCGCTGACGGCTACCCACAGATGTGGCGGATAGGGACATCTACGTCGCCGACGCCAGTTCCCCGGCCACTCCTCGAGCTCTCGATGAACCTCACCCCGCTGCTGCCACCGCTGCTGTCGCCCTCGCTCAATTACACCATCATCGCCTAGCTTCTGACTGGGATACAGACATGGTTTGTCCCGCTTCCCCCCCTTCCCGACAGCTCAAGATATTAACCCCGCGCTTTTTTCCCCTCCTTAGGATACCCACTCCGACACCGAACTCCATCCAGGCCCGATGCGCTCCTCTATTGAACTCCCATCGCTGCGCGACCACTTCAAGCAGGAGTCCCTCCCACCATTCACGGCACCTCGCCCACGGGAACTTCTTCCGTCCATTCTCAACCATTCTCCCCCCGGTCGCTCATCCACACTTCCTCCAATTCAGCGAAAAGACAAGTTTTCCCGGTCGCGCAAATCCTCGATCTCACAATCGGCCCGGAAACCCAAGCACGAACGACCTAGATCGAAGGAATTCCCTCGGCGACCAAGTCTTGGTGATCGCAAAGCTCTTTCGGCAGAGCCGCAAACGGCCGCTTGGGCCCAGGGCAAACGCTGGGAGGATTTAATTGAAGCGGCGACTTCTGCGACCGAGGCTGATGATGAGAGATACTCCGAGGTAAGCTTTTTGCTCATCCATGTTGGCAATATTGCCTGGCTCTAGATTCTAAACTCGTCTCCCCCCAGGCTGGTCGATCGCCTACGATCGCTCCACTTCTTGCCAATGTGACATCAGCACCTGGAGCCAAGAATCGGTCTTCACTACCCCCAGCTTTCCAATCGGGACCCGGACTTCCCCCACTGAGCTCGCACCGACAATTCCCGCCTCATTCTTATGCTGCTTCGCCTTTGCACAAGTCACTTACCCCACCACCATTTGAAGGCCACCGCGGCCGAGATAGCGATCTTGAACCATTCCCATCCATCGAATCTTCACTTGATTCCATGTCCACAGCATCTGGAAAGAACTTCCCGTCATCCGCATCAGGTCCAGCCCACTCCGTCAATTCCGATTCAAGCCCAGTCTTGAATCTCATTCCGCCAGTTTCTCAACGCCAGCACCACCGCTTTTCCAACCCTACACCAGCCTCTTTCCGCAGTAAAGAAATCCAAATTTATTGCGCCCAGTGCAAACGCCCTTGGGCGCTGAATGAATGCTTCGCCTGTACAGAATGTATCTGTGGAGTCTGCCGTGAGTGTGTTGGCTTGTTCATCACAAGTCCACCCACCTCCTTCCGAAGTCCAGGAAATGGCCCACTCAACAACATGCCGCCTGGCCCAACGAGCTATCCGACTCCGAATGCTGCCCGGGGTTGCCCGCGATGTCGGACAGTAGGTGGGAAGTGGAAAGCTTTCCAGCTAGACATAAAATGATACGAAGCACCATGTCAGCAGGCCCCTCACGCGCAAAGGGCCCACCGATTTATGACTCACGCCTGATACACGTTCTTTTTCATCCCTCTTCACTTTATATTCACCATTCACGTTGCAATACGGCAAGATCGCCACAGCCTCGGCGTCAACAGTACAATTTTTCTCACGCCACGCAGTTTATAATTTATCATCGGTGCAGGTTGCCGAACAAAAACCACAAAAAAAAAAGCTGGTCTTTTTTGGTCTTGGTCTTTTATTTTGGTTCATTGATTCATTGGTTTTTGGTTTTTTGGTTGTTTTTTTTCCTGGTGGCATCCTGGGGCGGCTGGGGGTTTCTTCTTCTTTTCTTCTTTCCTTTTCGTGTATATGCTTTCTGGACCATGACTTATGCGCTGATTCCTGACTTACATGCCTCGTACGAAATGCAAGCTTGTACTGCACTGCAATGAGTTACATTTGGTTACTTGGTTATATCGTTTATAGAAAGAGGATGGTCGCAGACATGGAACAACAACCGATCCGCGATAGTCGCACCATCTTCGCAATGACATTCAATTTACATTCACTCGACCTGGCCTCACCTCACCTCACCTCATCTCTCCCCTTTTCCCAGGTTATCCACTCTACTCCTCCCAAATAACACTACTCAAACCTTCCGCCTGTCCCACCTTCCCAGGCTCCCCAACCTGCAAAACAGCAACCTTCTCCCCAAGTTCCCCTGAAACTCGATCACGACGCACAATCGCCACATTAGCAGACGCCTGATTCCCAATCGCAACAAGATCACCCGCCCGATTAACGGCAAAAGTCCTCGGAACTTTCCCCCAAGCATCACTCTTCCCAGAAACCTTCACAGCTCCACTCTTCGCAGACCGATCAAGCGTAACCATCGAATCACTCGGCGCAAAACCCTGATCACTCCGAACAGATACGTAGAATTTATCTCCGATCAATCGAATCTCAGCCGGCGTCGCGCCGGTGGGGAGTTTATGGTCTTTTTGTCCGGATGCTGGGTATGGCACTAATGTCTGTGTGCGCTGGAGATCCAAACATCCGCTCCGCGCGTACGAGACGTCGAAAACCATCACCGTACCACCGATTTCGTTGGCGAGGTACATCATTGTTTTACCGACAGCGGCCATTTCTCGCTGATGGCTGACGCCGTTGTCGCCATTGGCGGTGCGGTTATTGTCTGTTCCGTCGGTCCAGAATAGACCATGGCGAGGTCCGCTTCCGAATGTTACGTTTACTGGTGGGCAGGTGGTGAGTTTGCCGGTTGTTGAGGATATGCTGTAGATTCGGAGGAGGTCGGCGCCTAGATCTGGGCTTACTATGAATGAGCCTGTTGGGTCGAGGAAGACGCTGTGTGGGTGTGGTGAGTCTTGTTGGGCGACGGCGCCCGGGTGCGTGAGCTTGAAGTGGAATTCTTGCGATGCGGTGCTTGATGGGGTTAGGGGGGAGTTTGAAGGTGCTCACTGCTGAGCCTTCGCTGGGGGGTTGTTAGTTTTGTTTTGTTTTATTTTGATGTGGTTCGATGGATGTTGTGTAGTATAGCTCTAGCTATAGCTATACTGTTTGATATCACGGGTAAGGGAAGGGTAAAGGGAAACATACTAATGCGCAATAGCAATCAACTTCTCCTTGCCCGCTTCATAAATAACACTATCAACACCACCACCGACCGTCTTGACGGAAGAAAGCTGGTGCAGTTTACCCTCTCGGTCCGGGTGGTATGCCGTGAGAGAGCCATGCGTCGAAGGGTCGGCGGTACCGTCTTCGTCGGAGCAGTAGACGATTTGAGACTCGGTGTCGAAGGTCAGCCAGCTTGGCATCTTGCCGCATGTCTTTTGCGTGTCTGTTATTGAGAGGTTGTTGGTGGTTTTGTCCAGGGTGAGTGTGTAGACATTTCCGTTGTAGTGGGTTGCCCAGAGACGAGATGGTGGTGCTGATGGTTTTGCAGCGGTGCCCGTTATGGGGAGGGATATTGAGAGGAGTGGGAGGAGGGTTGTTAGACGCATGTTGGGTGGTTTTAAGTTGGAGATGTTACTCCTTGTGTGAACTGGGGAGTATAGGATATGCTAGCCCTGTGTATCAACTGGGTACAATTGGGAGTTCTGAGGAAATGGATGTATGATATACGCGACACGCGAGTGGGATGATCAACAACAGCCCTCGGAAAAAGGAACATCGCTCATAATGTACGGAGCGCGTGCCGGGGGAATTGGAATGGATCGACAGGTCGTCTTGCTTGTTGTTTGGCATTGCAGTGGAGCTGGTGGGGACAATGAAGGGGGGGGTTGGGTGGGAGTCAAGGGGGGATTGGGGGAATTGTTTTGGCAGCGTTGTATTTTGGCGTGGGGGTTGGGTTGAGGGGTTGGTGGGATCGACTGGAGATGTCTCTTTAATGGGTTAGATCTTCTGCCGACTCTGCCGATACTGATGATGCTAGACGTAAAGAAGATGTTTCCTCCGGGGATTTTGTGGGGTTGGAGTTTAAACTGGCGATGATACCGCGACATTTATCCGATGTGTCCAGAGTACAGCGCAGTGCAGTGCTACTGTCGATCACCCTTCTTTTAATTTAGTCTGAGTCTGTGCAGTCAAGCTTGCTTTCGTTTGGCCAATTGGTCGGGGGTAAAACGCCAACTGTCCCTGCATCTGGAAATGCAATTTGGTGGCGGTGTACAGAGTATGGTGCTGCTACTTCGAACATGCGACTATGACGCTGTAAATTATTAATAGGTGAGGAGTATGTCAGTGGATGAGAGGCGTTCAGGCAGATAGAAAGCATTTTTTTTCACTTTGCCCTACCACCCACCAACCATTAAGCTTCATTCTCATGGTTGGAAGTGGTTGGAAGCGCTGCTGTGGGGATCATGCAGGGATCAAGTACAGCCCTGCAGAATATGACCCTAAAAATAAATCCTCGCCATTCTCACTGTTATACGTCGCTGTTAACACCCATAGCCTTGCAGAACGCCAATGCAGAAACGTCTCAACCCTTGGAATGCTTTCATTTTCTACCAGGAAGCAGGTCATACAGCGGTAGCCAGCAGGTCCTGGATCATAAAGCTCAATACCAACTGAAGTCTATTCAATAAGCCACCGGATAAATGCTTTTACATACAGTCTAATGCTCAAACCAAGGTGATCCCTGTGTAGCATCCGTTATTGCGAATCAACTCAACCTTTAACCCATCATCCAACGAAACCGTATACAAGCTGCCACCCAGATCGGCAACGTACACAATGTCATGCACTTTATCCAGCTTCAACCCAATCGGCTCATGGAAATGCCGCGCCACAATCACTTTCTGGAGAAAATCCATCTTCTCTCCTCCCACATAAGAACAATACAGCGCACAGCCCAGGGGGTGCTCGCCCCGGTCCGTCCAGTATAGAGTCTGCGTCTCACTATCGATCTCAATATCGATAGGTTCTGGTAAATCTTCCCACATCATCTGGATATCTGAACGATTGTCTGCCGTATCTCCAGGTGGAATGTCAATTCCAGCGCGAAAAATTCGGCCCCGGCCACCCTTGCTGGGACCCTTTTGTGTCCAATACATCAAGGCGTTTTCATAGTCGATCGCAATGCCAACACACCACGACCGCATCTGCTCAAGCAGCGACGCTTCTTTGTCCACGTGCCGCTGCATGAGGATATCGTGGTTGCTTCCGTCGAATTTACAACGGTGTACGCTAGTGCCCTCCCTGTCACAGAAGTATACCTCCTGCCGAGCGTCAAGCGCTGCGATCTGCTTCGGGGTATGCACTTGGCCCTGTGGTACAAGGCAACTAATATAGCTTCCATCGATATTCGCCGACCAGACAGTTCCATCTTTGGCGGCAGTGCTGCGGCCCATATTTGTCCAGAAGATTCGTTGTGTGCTGAGAGAGACGTCGATTCCATCGGGCAGATTTTGCCCAACCATAACAGGAGTCAATCTCTGTGTTGCCAGGTTCCAACGCAATATCTTTCCATTGTGATGAACTTGAGACACGTCCCTTGAGTTAGAGCCAAGTCCTACGTCCAATACGTAGATATCCTTAGCCGCAGATTGTGGATTCGATGGTGTCGTCTTGTGTGTTGCGGACCGCGTAAGTGGTGGATATAGGCCGCCTTTCTCACTCTTTCTTCCCAGTCTACCTTGGTCGATGTATTCTTTCTGAAGCCAGTCAATTGTTCCTTCGCTGTCCAAGCCACGCTCATTTACATAGGTCTCTTCGGTAAAGGCGACCTTGTCAAGACCAATCTGATCCATGAGCTGGCAGGGCAACGGTCCGTTTTTGAACATGTGTTCCCAGAGTAGATCGATTTCGCTGGGGTCGCTGACGCCTTCGGAGAGGATTTGGACAATTTCGCGTTTGACGGCGGCCCAGAGCCGATTGAAGACGAATCTATCAAAGTAGCACACGTGAGATGGTGAACTCGATGCGTTGGGTCGTGTTACTTACCCGGTTGATTCACGACGAGCAGTTACTGGCAACATACCACACTCCCCTAGCACATCTTCCAAGTAAGTCACTATTTTCGGATCAGTCTCACCATTGGTCATAAGCTCCACAGTCCGAATAGAAGGCGGCATCGTGAAATGAACATTGAGAACCTTCTTCCTCCGCTCCGGCGAGACCTTCGAGCTCAGCAAACTAGATTTAAACGACGAGCTATTCGACGCAAAAACGCAATCCGACGGCGTCTTAGCATCAAGCTCCGCCAATATCTCTCTCTTGAGCTCCAGCTTTTCTGGCACAACTTCCACAACGAGCCAAATATCACGCACCGCCGGCTCAAGCTCGGTAAATGTATTACAAGAACCGAATGGAGCCTGCTTGTAGGATTCCAGATCGATCTTGGTGATTGCCGTTTGGGTTTCTCTCTTTGTATCGTTCTCATTCTCCACACCGCCGATTTCCTCTTTCTCCTTGCTGATCCGTGGCATCAAGGAGAATTCCTCTTTGTGCGCGTCAACGAACAACACTGCCGAGTCGACCACTTTGGCCGCAATATCGTAGATATGCAGATTGTATCCGGCTGCCACGAAAACACAGGCAATACGCCGGCCCATGACTCCTGCGCCGATTATGGCGATAGGACGATCGGTGCGCGGCTTTACTACCATGGCAGGTATATCGGGCTATAATTTCAAAGGGTAGAATTTGGCCATGTAAAATGTAAATATCCCAAGTTCTTTGCATGCGAAGATGTATATATGACGTACTACTAGTAGTATAACAGGGAGGCGTACCAGTCAGTATACAGTGGATAGGGCCCCGGTTTAACGCAATCTATCCTTTTGATATAGAAAGTTCTTTCGAATATCTAAAAAAAGGGCTCCATTGTACTCACCGTATTGACATGTTCACATTTCTCTATATTCCGTCTTGATTAACACCATCATAAGATACGCAAATTGAGCCCGGGCGATCCGACTTGCCAGAGCATACTATTTACTAAGTGTAAAAAAGAACGGACTAATTGACGACAACCAGATGAGCTATTTTGAAAACAAGGTTCCCAAAACTTATTCCACTGATCTCTGTTAAAAACCAGTCAGATAAGGATCCACTGAGTGGTATTTGGCTGAGGAAAGAAAGTCCGGCTTCCAAGGTCGGCTCGGAAATGGGACGGACACGAAGCGTGTGTTCGGACGAGCCTTGCGGACAAACTTCCCGAAGGTCTCCGGCTGGGTGAGACTCAACGTATGATTCTTTACAGGCATGGCTGTCTCTATTATTCGTAATGTTAAGCATAGGTGCAAGGATTATTCATTGAGCCAAACTCGGCTTATTATGAAATGCATTTGAATCAAACTTCAGAGCTAAAGTACACTGGTGGGAAAATCCCTTCCTCGAATTGAACTTCCGAGTCCAGCTAACGTTCATTCGTCACAGCATCGAATTGTCGGGTGGAAGTCGATGCTCCTATTAAATCTATCGCAGTCCACTTTTTTCTATCCATATCCTTCCTGCCTTTTGGGTAACAGTAAAAGCCTTCGCGGCACATGCTCAAAAAAAGTATTAGAAAAAAACGCGATCGCTATCAAACACACAAGTAATGTTCGTCAAATCCACAGTCCAAACCCTATGACTTAGTCGATATACTTGGGGAGAGATTTGATGACGCCATCGCGCGCGATATCCTCCAAGGCGATGGTGATAGTCTCCACGAAGCGCTTGTCGCCGCGCAGATCATCACCGAACAGGTTCTTGATGCTGAGCAGACCGTTGGGGTCACCGGGCTTAGCAAGAGCGCGGAGCTCATCGAGCATAGCGTCCTGAACCTCGAACTTGTTGCCATTGTCATCGACACCGTGGATGTAGTGGAACCAAGTGGCGGCGGTGAAACACAGACGACGGAAGGGACCGGTCACCCAGATAGCCTCAGCGATAGTGGGCATAATGAACTGGGGAATCTTACCGGTACCACCACCACAGATGCGGGGGAGCTGATCGCGGATCGGGGGGTTGGCGAAGCGCTCAATGAGGGTTTCGCAGTACTTGTTGACGTCGTGACCCTCGATGTCGGGGAGTGTGTGCTTCACTTCTTGCTGCATTTGATTCCAAACGAACTTGGCGAACAGGGGGTTCTCCATCACTTCGTGAACATATTTGTATCCTGCTAATTGGCCACCGTAGGCAATAATGGCGTGGCTACCGTTGAGCAGACGGAGCTTGTGCTTCTCGAACTCCTCGACATTTTGAACGTTCTTAACGATCTGAACTCCGACCTTCTCGAAGGGAGGGCGACCGTCACAGAAGTGATCTTCGATAACCCACTGCATGAAGGGCTCGGTGACGATGGGCCAGGCATCCTCGATGCCGAACTGCTCGGCGAGGGAAACCTTATCGGCGGGGGCTGTGGAGGGAGTAATACGGTCGACCATGGCATTAGGGAAGTGGCCCTTGGTGTTGATCCAGTCTGCAAGGGAAGGATCGATAATACGGGTGAAGGAGGTAAGCATGTTGCGAGTAATAGCACCGTTGCCCTGCATGTTGTCGCAAGACATAACAGTAAATGGGTTCAGGCCTTGCTCGCGACGGCGGGCCATGGCGTGGTGAAGGAAACCGAAGGTAGTGATGGGGAGGTTCTTGGTATCAAGATCGTGTTGAATGTCGGGGTTCTCGACCTGCAATTGATGTGTGTTTTCGTTGTAGAAGTAGCCACTCTCAGTGATGGTAAGAGAGACAATGTGGGTATCGGGGTGAGCCATCTTCGCAATAACAGCCTCACGGTCATCGGGAGCAAAGAGGTATGAGTTAATGCCACCCATAACTTTGGCAACACTCCCAGTCGCGGAACGCTCCTCGACGGTGTAGAGACAGTCCTGGGAGTTGAGGGCATCGCGCATGCCAGCATCGAACGGTTGCAAGCCAACACCGCAGATTGCGTAGTCGGTCAAGCCATGGTGCTCCATCAACTGGTTGATGTAAACAGCCAGATGGGCACGGTGGAAACCACCCACGCCAACGTGGACGATTCCCTCCTTGACAGCATCGCCGCGCTTGAATGTGGGGATCTCAATGGAAGGGTTGGCGGCCTTGATCTGGGCCAGGTTCTTGGAGTTGAGCTTCACGGCACCCATTGTGAGATGATTGGGAGGAATTGAGGTGGATGATAAGGAGAATAGATGATGAGAGAAAAAAAAAAGTTGGGATGGGTAGCTATCATTTAATACCAAACGCAAGCAGCCCTACTATGAAAAAGTCACCGCCACTCGCCGGCTTTGGGCAAAATCGGAGATGTGGGGGGCCCACGGGGTAAAAACCAATGAAACCCGCACGATTGTGGATCATGCGGATCTGTCGCGTCACGCGGAAATTTCTAAAATTCTAATATTAGTCGGCAGGGGGGGAGGGGGAAGGGATCCCGGTTCCGGATTCAAGGTCTAGTACATACTTCAACTGAATGCAAGCGAGAATTATGCATGTTAGCGGCAAAAGAAATTCTGGTCATCTGTGATTGAAGGGTTCTCTTTTAGTTCTAGATCCCTGTAAGAATCTGAGCACTAAGAAAATTTCTTACAATGGAGGGGCAAATGCAAAGGCAAAGATGGGGGCGAGTTGGAGATGATCGGCCCGATCTAACCTATAACGGAGATCCCGGAGATCCCGCAGACTGTACTCAGAGCTCTTGATGCCGGAAGAACGAGGCCGACTACGCCACACTACAAGACCGGGCTAGACTATTCAATATTGAACCCCATGACCAAACGCTAGGATAACAAACTACCCTTCCAGGAGTTCTTGTTTTGATCCTGGTTCAAAGGCGAAAATATACCTGTTTTAAATCTGTCATTTCAGTGTGTGCATCGGTTATTCGATGCCGATCGAAGAACATTCCTTTCATGGTAATTCCGAAGCTGCTGTGGATACAGCGGATACACTGAGGTGGATGAGAATCCACAGTATGACCTCCACGTCTGAGCCCATCAGACCCTGCGTGGCAATCTCGATAGGAAAACCCCGCCCGCGAGAACTGTCATATCTACGTGTTCTTTATTGACATCCAATGGTTGAATAAACACATTAGCAATTGGGGTCTAGAAAGTTCAGTGGGGTAATGCGTTGTTCGTCATCGACAGGAAAAAAAATCAAACTATGTATGAGTTTATTCGAGATTGCATGCGTCGCTTTCATCCCCACGTTAGCACTGCAGTTTGTCCTCGGAAGGACCCCGGTCTACATCCGCACCAAACAAAAATGTGATTTTTTTCCACTTCATTGATCATATTTGAGAAAGGCTCTCATGGGGGCGTCATAGTAGTATTCTCTTTCACCTGGTCGGGGTCAAAGTCTTCCCCGCAATATCTGAGTCCGCAAATTTATGGTAGTCATCCTAGACCTCCGCGGCTATTGAAAGGATAGAAAGGACCCAGAGCTTGTTGAATCTCTATTGAGAAAGGTCTTCCAATCGGTGTCGCGGCAGAAGTTCTCCCATGATTATTGGTGATCTAAAGGGGAACAGCTCGATGACAATCTGATATTGCAAAACCCCCCCACTAAAATTATAGATCAGGTAAGTACCTCAAACCTCGGATTCGAATCGTCTTCCAGATAAGCCCCATGGCTTATGAAATGAGCGCGATTGCCGCTTTCCAGTCATCAAATCGATATGCTCCAAGTACAAAATACTGTACTGGGTTGCTTCTTTCAGTCAATGAATTTCATTGGTTCCACAATATTTCCATATCCCAGGGGCTTGGTCATTTGACCTTCTGGGCAAGCCTCAACTACCGGATGAAAAGGCGATGCATCTTTTGAATGGGATCGATGTGAAAGGGCGGAATGAAGCTTACAGCCTGTGGCTGCGTTCAGGGGCTCAGGGGTTAGTTTCAAATTGTTTGGTGGTCCAAAACATCGCTTGTGTCGGCCAGCCCAACAACAATGGCGTAAGCGTCAGGTGAGACAACTTCTTTCTGACTCAGGGGAAAATATTGAACTCGTACGAGTATGTTTTTGGAACTTCTGACAAATATGATCTCGTCGGCTCGGATTGCGTGGTGCGTACTCCGTACAGAGTGGAGTGGTGGCTGAGCTCCTGCTGAGCAATTAATTTAGGGGGTATCTGGCTTGCCTAACATGTGAGCAAAACTAACCGTACGATCCGAATGTATTCTCAGGAGGTGAAGCGAGGCCGCATCAACATCAGTACCAATGGAAAAAGTCCAAAGAGGTATTGTTTCAGCGGATCTTTGTGATTTCAAGTTTTGAAAATAGCTTGTCTGTAAAAGGCTTGCTGTGTTTAGATCAATTCCAACCACTTCCCACTGGCAACTAATTGGATCAAAATCGGACCTCAGGTAAGGTTCCAATACCATCTTCCATATAATATGTTGCGCCATATCTGGCCCGGGGGTTTGCATAAAAACTTGAATAGGTACATTTTGTAAGCTGTCACTCCTGCAACTCAAAAGTTCATATCGCCATATGTGTTTTATAGCAGTGATACCAGTCGAAACCTACTTGCCTACAAAACTTGAAAGATTCTCTTGGTTAATATATTCGGTATACAGTCCCTTGTGTTACTAGTGATTAATACTATTCGTGGCCCGAGAACAATCTTCCCAGCCGGACATTTGGGTCTGCGTTACGGAGAATCAACCATAATAACCTTGGAAGAAGCACGGACCGAGGAACAGGCAAGATACTTGCAGATCTACTTGCAAGTTGCCCACCATCGGCCCACATCCTTCTCGAACGAACTTCGTCCGTGCATCGGCCGGAACATCTGGCGTCCGAGTGGGCAATTAAGCATTTTCCCTAGCTATTACAAGTCATGAAGGTTATCGACTGTACAAATTTAGTAGTCCTTAGATCCCAATCATTTAACACCGATTTTATAATAATCTCAGCAAGTACTCTTCTCGATGTTGGGGCCCATGATCTCGGCCTTGCCCTGCCCTGCCTCCACAAAAGCCAAGATACTTTCATAATTCTCGCTAAATATCCAAAAGAAATCACTAGCAGTATTATACTATTGCATTTTCTCAGGCCAATTCCGCTTCAATAACGCTTTCTGCTACGCCTGGATAGTTGTGGATCTTGATCACCTTCAATCCACCTTTAGCGAGCAAGCTTCTCCACTCACCCTCCGTTCTTTCACGGACATTCAAGTGAGCCAGCATCATCATATCCATATTCGTCGCTGCTAGAGTGGGATTCTGCTCATTGACAACGATTTCATTGAACAGGACCCGCGAATACCCCCTTTTCAACGCACCGACGAGATTTTCAATGATCTTAATGCTTTCCTCGTCACCCCAGTCGTGAAGAATAGAATGGAGTGAATAAGCGCGGGCACCCTTAATTGGCTGAGGGGTAAAAAAGTCATGAGCATGTGCTTCAAAGAATTGCCCGGTAGCACCAACGTCAACGGTGGCGATGACTGGCTCTCGGTCCTGAAGTACAACCTTGCCAGGGTGTGACTTGTACCGTGCGACAAAGGTAGCGACATCGTGACCTTTACCACCGCCGACATCAACCAAAAGAGCGTCGTTGGAGGAGGAATCGAAGCCTTCAACCATACGTTCCTGTACAGGGTAGAAATCGAACCAATCTGGCTTCCCGTTGCGGTATGAGGCCATGAACGAACTGAATTGTTCAAGGTGAGGTGGCGTTGCGACTAGCCAGTCGAAGAAAGGCAAATCAGTCTTATGTGCTGATTGAAAGGGCCCGTCCGTTCCACTAAGAGTCGGGGGTTTGTATCCATTCTTCTTGAAATGTTCCGGGAATCCATTGAAAGATGGACGCGACACATCGTAGCAGAAGGAAATACTGTGTTGGTAGTTTTTTGCTGCCAAGTTGTTACTCAATTTGGTTGCTAGGAACACCCCATCATTGAAGACCACGAGATTCATAGCCACCAGATGTCTTGTCAGTCGTTGAACGAGAGTGACATCGATGCCTGTTTTTTCGGACAATATTGAGGGGCTCAACCCCTCGGATCCTGCTTCCTGCAAGCGTTGGAAAAGCTGGACATCGACGGCCATGCGAACAATTGCGGTTTGGGCAGGCTGAGGTTTTATAATGTCTCGAGTATAAGCCACCATTCTTGAGGAGAAAGAAATAGAAGAAAAAATGAATTTCCATCCTCACCTCTGCTCAGAAAGTGCGCTGAACGAACTCGCTAGGAATTTCTAGTGACGCAATCAGCGCTCGACTGTGGTCAATCAAAGCTTCTCGTGAACCAGCTTCATTTTTATCAAATGCGACACGGGCGGCCGCAATCTGGTCCAAGATGTCTGATGGCGTGTGGGACATTTTTATCCGGGCGAGTGAGGTTTCCAAGGTTATGTTTTGAGTGAAAGTGCCGGGGGGGAGAAGCCTCCATGGATGTTCGTTAAATACCCAGGAAAGTAGAAATGGTGGCCAGACCTGGTCAGCGTATGTCGCACTTCCTTCTCTGTTCATGTGAAGTAGTACTCGTGCCCCTCTTGCTTTCAGTGTGGACTTGACTTGAGATTGACAATTCCGATTGGCTTTTCCGTGTCTTCGTTAGATGTCGGTTAGTTGAACAGCCAATCCAAGGCACATGGCGACACCAAGTGGCTCTTCCGGGCCCTATTTTACCGGCATGAGGTTAGAAGCTTAGTTTGAATAGGTTACCGTCCGCTTTGACCCTCGGTGAGGACAGCTAGTTTGAATAAGTGGACATCATCGGCAAATCATCTATGTACTCCAACACGGTGGAGGACCGTGTCCGGCATATGTACAGAATATCAGTGCCAATAAGTTTTCCATGAACTAGTAAGAGGCACCTTGAGTCTTCCAGTAAACATTCTTGTTTCCTGTGCTTGCTAGCCGGCGAAGTTCTCGGATCGAGGTTCGTGAGTTCGACACGCTAAAAACGCCATGCATTGCCAAGAACTACACGGGCAGGGAATTGCTATCTTCAATGGTGCCCCTGCTATCCAATTATTCCAAGGATAGTTCAATGTTTTAACTCAATATCTAGATTCGTATGCAATAGGAGAGGGCATCTTTTTTGATGTTCCTCGTGGATGTCTCCGCGGGGAACCTTTGGAGAAGTTGGATTGATTGCCCAATTCCATCCCGCTGTGGGTCAATTTATGACCAGCCGATCAATCTATTTGATTTTTTTTGTCCTATTGCATAACTCTAGTGAACACCGCATGGGCAGAATGACGAGCTGCGGAGATCAATATCACACAGACTGAACTTGTATTGCAATTTATTAGTTGAGAGAATTATCAAAACGTTGGCTTAGTCCTTGACAACGCCAACGCAGAAATTAAGCAAGGCGATCACGCCTGCTATATTCCAAATTTTGAGTCTTCAACATAGCAAAAGTACCATTTGGCCCCCTTTATGCAGTTCGTGAATTATCCAAGCGCCCCTATTGATGCAACTCCTGCTTATTTCCGAGCTCACTTGTATTGGTATAAAACTTTTGAGGAGACATGTTTGCTTGCATACGAATTTCCCGACAAAGAGGTACCGTCTAGAGTAGACACAAATGATATTGGAAAGTACTGAAGTGAGCCACTGTTTTCATTATGGGCTCCTTTTTGTTCAGCTGGGCTTCGATTGGCCTTGTTGTAACCAGGCTGGACGACTGATCTTCATAGTGGCCGCAGCTAAAAACTACAGAAAGTTGAGGGACCCATTGTTCAGGGAAGGTTTGTCCTCATGGGGAATTGGATGGTGCACGGGATGACTCAGGCCTCTGAACAGGAACTATCTAAACTGCAAGCTCGGGTACCAAGGAAACCAGGTAATTGTTTCCTCAGAGCAAGCTCAAGTCTCTCGCGGGGCCTAGAAGGGCTGAATTCTTCCACAAGTACTGTAAGTTCCGAAGGCGATTATGTGCCTGTGGGTAAGATGCCTGATCGGTTCTTCCACTGTGATAGAGTTCAAAAGTATCGCCACGGAATTGAGAGTTTGCCATTGCCAGTAATATTGGTTTCGAATGTCGATGAACTGGCCTTGTACGAGTTTAGCTGGGCATTGGTGACCTGCCCAGGGTTCACATTATATTGAGCCACAGCGCGGGTTAGAAAAGAAGTGAAAACTCGGATCTCAGTGGCCAGTGGACGGTTGAACCATCGATGCTTGCGATACATTCCAGAGGCCAGTTTTCCCGGGATAGGAGGTACTTAGTAGGTTCCTCAATCGTTTTAAATATCATAAATCTCGCTTGGCAGTTGAGCTTCCTCCCTGCGTGGAAGTCCTTGTTCAGAGTGTCAAAAACCGCGGGATTGTAGCGTGTCACTTGTTTTTCGACCACAACATGCTGAGCCACAATGTTAATATCCTTCTCGATCACAGTGTAAAGTCGTTGAACATTCGATGGTCGATAGCCCTCATTCCGGACGTGATAGTCTTTGGTATTCGGAAAGAAACGGAAAATCAAGAAACCGAAACTCACCACCCAGGAGAGTGGAGGGGATCTCATCGGTAGAGAATGGCTTGAAGCTTCTGACGAGTTTCCTGTATATTCCAGCGGCCATTTCTCCCTTCAATACAAGAGGTTTGAAGGAGAGCGTACATAGTTGCGAGGAGAAGCGTGCTGAACTCCTGGACGAGATGTTTGAGTGATTCGTCGATCGTGATCGAAATTGGAAGCCTCGCCGCGCAATTGAGAATACTTTAGAGGCCGCCAAAAGGTATTGAATGAATGAGGACCCGACGACTGAGCTTTATCCATTCATGGTACTTCTTGTTCAGAGGATCGGCGAAAGACATGGTGGATTGAGCAGCAGCGCGTGTGCAGTTTCATTGGGCCGTGATGGTAAGTCGGCGCTGACCCGAGGATCACGAGCATCGAGGGCCATTCGTAGAGTTGCTGTTCGAAGAGCAAAGTTGGATTCGCCTTTGGGTTTGGGAACTAGGATCTCATATCTGTAGGGCTCATATTGCAGTGTGCCTAGATACCGGATTTGTGTTGTTAGTCAGGTGAATTTAGCGCGAGTTGCGGAGGGGGTAGCGTACGGCAGAGTCACGATTATCGACTAAATCTGTAAGCCAAAAGAGTCTTTCCCACCAGCGAGAAATTTTCAGAGAAGGTTGAACAGCTTGGGTGCTCAGTGGGACACAGTATGCGCGCAGTGGCATGGGGAGAAGCCAAAGAACAGCACGGCACAGGTAGATGACAAATTGTGTGGAGGTCAGAGTAGTGATAAGTGTGGGGTGTAAGGAGTGGCTGCCTAAGATAGTTACCACCGGCAGATATGATTGGATATCTCAGATTGGTCCCAGGGGATGTTTGGTGTGGATGCATAGTTTGGTTGGGTTTGAGTATTATTGTCGCGACCTTAGTCCTTTACCCTTAGAGTACTCCAGAAATCTGGGGCTCCGATGAGATACTCTAGTGGTCATTAACAAATATGGAATGGATTTATATGAATGCCCCGATTAAAGCTATTATATTGAAGCTGTCGAACCTAATACTATGAGGTAAATAAAGCGTGCATAACTTTTCCCAGTCCTTTTGAATCTCTGTATTAGTGTTCATTTCCTAGGCATGGTAGCCTTTGGACCTTGAATCATCGAAAACAATCATTTTGGGACCTATGCTAGGATGCTCGGATACTCGCAGGCCAAGATAATGAAATACCCGTGACAGGCAACATGCAATAGTGGTTCGACGAAAGTAATTAGATTTTCTGGGCTGCACCAAATTGGGGCCGAGATGGTTGGCATACGCTCGCCTGTAATGACTCGCCATAATTCCGGGTTGATATCATCAAGAGCTGATTTGAGGGCTGCTTCCCACGGGTGAAAGTTGGTTTCTCCCGTTAGCGTAGGCACTGAGTGCCTGACCGAGAGCATCTGCCCAAGGTCCATGTTGGAATCTAGATACCAGGTTAGCGTTATTAGTAAGGAGGTTGTACACAAGCTAGCGAGGGAAGTTGAACACTTTGGATACTGAGCTTGATGGGACTTAGTGTGCGTGCACTGACAAATCTGAATATTGGGGCAGGAAAGTGGTCTGATGAAATGTTTTGACCATCCCAATGTAGTGATGAATGTTTCGATGCGGCGCTGCAGCGAAGTCTGCAATATGGGTGAGATGAGAAGGAGATGTAGTGGGTTCCAAGGTTGAGCTGGAGTTGCAGAAACAGCGTGGGTTAGACGGAGTGAATGTTATCACCGGAATGTGCAAAGGGTTCAAATTGAGAACATTCACGCAAATGGGACGTACCTTCCAGGGGAGTCTGCATTTTCAAACTGGTTACAAGTCACTAATTATCAGTTTGAAAACTGTAGTAATATAGCCGTAAGGTAGTAAGTGTCATTTATAATATTTTTTTATATAAACCAGTTGGAATGCCGTAGTGCATTGGAATAGAAGGTAGGACCGTCTGGCGTTTAGTTTGACCCAAAATCGGTCTGTCGAAGAAATTGTTATCACATAAAGCGGATGTTCGTATGTCGGTCTCACACCTTCCAAATCTCCATGAAAATGCCTATCTCCATGGGATGACATTGGAGATGTTGGACTATCGATAATCGACAGCTTAGAGTTATAGATGCACCAGGTGTCGCGCTACCTCGATGTGAGACTCGGAGTATTTCCCATATATCAGTTTTTATCTATAAAATAATTAGGATATAGAATGAAGTAAATAGAAGTAGATGGTTAGAATAGTAATATAGTAATATAGTAATTGTAGAATAGCAGCAAACAACTTGAATAGAATGGGGGCAAACAACAAACTAGTAGCAAACATCTTGAACAAAAGGGTAGTAGACAACCTTAAAAGGACGGACCAGGAGATGGCTGGAATTACGAGTAACGATTTTGAGCCTTTGGCTGCGGAAATACTGTACTAGCCTTACATTTTTCACAAGAAAGGATGCAGAATTGGATCAACCAAAGAAAAAAGAATTATGTATGAACAAGTCTAAAATACTTTCATGGGTACAGAGGGCGCCAAGTGATCGGCTCAATATCACACATTTGAAAATGGGGCGCCAGGAAGGCTAAAACATAACAAGAAATAATAGAATTTGAAAAACCCGAACAGGCTTAAAGCATGATCATGAAAACACCAGTGCCGATAGCAGCGAGGGTGTAAGCACCGAGCTGCCAAGCACCGACGTGCACAGCCTGGGGCTGGTTCATGCCAGCGGCAATACCAGAAGAGGTGGCAGAGGAACCGCTGCCGCCACCATTGGAACCACCATCGGCAGCACCGCTGGAGGCAGCCAGACCGGCGTTGATGGTGTTGGAGCCAGCAGCACCGATGGAGCTCATCTGGGTAGAGCAGGATCCGGAGGCAGAAGTGGCGGCCTTGGAGGTACCCTTGCCTTGGAAGCCACAGGCGGAGGCACCACCGTTCTTCTTGGCGTAGCGGTCCATGGCCCAGGCGACACGCTGCTTAGCGTTACACATAGAGTAAGCGCCGTACACACCCTCGGTACCGTTGGAGTAAACACCGCTGACGGCATCGATCGTGCCCTTGGCCTTCAGACCGTAAAGGTAGTCGTAGACTTCCTTGATCTTCTTCTCGGAAAGGCCATCCACGGGAATGCACTCGAGGGACTGGTACATGCACTCGCACAGGTCAGAGTTGGGCGAGGGAGGAAGCTTGCTGTTGGCCATCCAGTCGGGGCCGGTGGTAGGGCAAGAGCGGCCAACGGTGGTGGTGACCTTGTAGTCAGCACTGTTGACACCGGTGACGGTGACCTTCTGCATTTGCGAGGAGAGGTTGTCGAAGTCCTGCTTCTTGGAGACGGAGCTGCCCGAGGTGGAGACGAGACCGTAGTGGTTGCCAACCTCGAAGTACATGTAGACGATACCACCGCTCCAGACATCGTTCATCTTGTCACTGTACAGGATAGGAACATCGTCGAATGGACGGGGCTTGGTACCCTCAACGCAGCCGTACTCCGAGAAGAAGGCGGGGACGGGGTAGTCAGCAAACTCCTCGGTGCGGTCCTTGTAGCCGGAGCTGGCGTAAGAGGAATCACCGCAGAACTCGTAGATGTTGTAACCGAAGAAGTCGATGGAGTCCTCGGCATTGTCGCAAACCAGGTAGTTGGAGATGGCCTCACGAACATACTGGTTGTCATCAGTAGCGTAACCGACAGCCAGGGAAGAACGGTAGTTCTTGTCCTTGATGTAAGTCTTCAAGTCACGGACAGCAGCCTTGACGTAAGCCATGGACGCGGTGTTGTTGACCGCATCTGCAACCTCGTTACCGGCGAAGAAACCAATGACGTTGGGGTAGGGAGCGAGGGTGTCCACGACCTGAGAGTAACGGGTGAACAACTCGGCGTTCCAGGAAGGGTCGGATGAGACGATGGACTCATCGGGGGAGGACAAATCACTGATCACGTAGATTCCAGCGTCGGCGAGAGCATTCATGCAGTCATCGTGAGACTGGTTCGGGTTAATGGCGTAGGTACGAACGACATTGGTACGGAGCGAGAGCAGGTATGGGATATCACGTTCGCAAGTGGCGGCATCGACGAGGGGATCGACGTAGCTATCGCTGCTACCAGACTGGGCAGTACCATCGTAGTTGGCCTGGTAAGCAACACCACGAATGGAGAACTCGGTGCCATTGTTGGAGTAGAAGAACTTCTTGCCCTTGACCTCAATGGAGGGAATAGAGCTTTTAGCCAGGGCAGCGCCCACAAGGGACAAGCCAGCGAGAACGGAATACTTCATTATGTATGGTCAAGCTCGAAGCGAGTGTCGAGGAAGACAGCAAAAAAAAAGAAAAAGAATGACTAAAAAACAACGAGAGTCGAGAGAGATTCTGGGGGGGGAAGAGGGAGAAGAAGAGTAAAAAAAGGAAATGGAGGTGGAAGGAAGCGGAAGGGAAGGACCACCACTGACCACACGGCGAGACTCTTCAGACAAATCCACCACTTCCCTTCCTCTCCTCTCCACCTCCATCCATTCACCCATTCACAATTCTCTCCCACTTACATCACCTTCTGGACGCATCATCAAGTGGGCTGTGTCGGTGGGTGCACCGCAAATCACTCTGCAACAAATTCCAATAGAAAAGGCTTGTCAGAATCCCGGCCCTGTCTCCGTAACGTGGGTACGCTACTCATTCATGCTCCACAATGATATTGATCCTTTCTCTCTAATAATTGTGGATTTTATCCAGGTCCCTGGTTTCTTTCATCCAATCATTTCAATCCCCCCTGAGACACAGTGGCTCCATATTTATCTCCACTTGGATAGCGCCAGGGACCATTCAGGGTCTTTAAACAGGGCAATAGTGGAGATGGAAGAACCCTGAATGGCTGGGGTCGCAAGAACCCGCCCGTCATTGTCGACGCTGGTTGGCCACTTCGCCTGGTTTTGCTTCCTTCGAAAAGGAGCTGGACTGTTCTCGGGAATGCCACTAAGCCCGATTACGCACCATGCCATACCCATTCGGGCCTTGTCTGCCCCCTGCTCCCATGCATGGGTTATTGATGCTTGTCTCGCCAAGGGCGATCACTGCGTGTATGATGTCGACTGGAATCCACCAAGCATGGTTCGGAGCGTTATTTTCGTTCGCATACCTGATGACTATCTACAAAGCTGGTCCAGCTCACAAAGAATCCTCTTAAAAGGAGAGACCAGACCCCGACACTAATTTGACTCAAAAAGTCACACTCGCTCACACCCTAGCGCGGAATAATCTTACATTCCCCTCCTGGGATAGTGTCCGTGCTCTAGTTAATCTCGACGAGACAAGACTGCCCAGCAAAGTCTTAGAAGGCTTGCAGAGCTTGTCTCGGTCGCACGTCCCCGCCCACTTCCAGGACGAAGTACGACTATTCGCGCATTTATTTTAGATGGCATCTCCCGTGGTCCAAACTTTCAAATGCTCCCGAGTCCATGAGTCCCTGCATCTGACCTAACCTTCTACCAGGCAGACACTTTTCTTTGCTCATACACTTGGACCCTTCAAAAGCCCTGAGAAGGAAAAAGCCCGCAAAATCACAGGCACGCAAGTCAATGTGGACACCCTTGTGGGCTGGTCCCGCATCTCCCGCTTCCCCGGGAGAAGAAAAGGCTGAGCGCAAAAGAACAATCCTTCGTCTCTCCGTACTCCATACTGGGTTGATCATGAAGATGATGCCTACGGGAATGAGATTGCGCAACGCTCATTCAATGATATTCAGGCGACACAGCATGCGTGGCCCGAGAAGCAAAATATAACTGGGGGTGTGGCCACTTCCCCCCTGACGATCGCGGGTCAAACGGGCCAGCCAAACAATCACAAAACATCGAATCTAAAGAATTCGACACCGCGTGCGTAAACACACAGGCCCGATCCCTCGAATATGGTTCGATAGCCACAAATGAGGACTCCATCGACTCCATTTCCCATCGACCAAGCTTTTTAGCGTGGGAATGGTGCTGCCTCGCGATCCGTTTTCACGGCTGATCTGTCAGAAGTGACGTAGTTTCGCCTTGTTAGGGGTGTGCTGTTTTGATTTCGATCGTCAGACTCGGTGGCGATGCCACTGTTTCTCTATCATTGCCCCTGTATTTCTTTTTTTGGTCCCGGGGTGAACATCGCCTGTTCAGAGGTTCGTTTCACTCAATGGGTCTGCCAGCATGGTTCAACCTCGTACGAAAGAATGATATCTCCTATGGATCTTGCCAGCCACCATTAGTTCGATCAATGTGATCAATATGCGGACAACAGCAATCATTCTACGCGGCAGCACCGGCACCTACGTCCGAATCAGACACGGGATAATATCTTATGAAGGATCCTGTTGCCCAAGTGTGCGAGTAAAGCTTAGACATAATGAGAAATCATCCATCCCACATCTTCGATCGCGAATAGTCAATCTCATGCAAATGTCAAATTCAAGGCAAGAAACAATAATTTGAGAAGGACATTGAAGGATATATTTCAGGTTGTTCGCTTCAATCCATGGATGCTAGCCGGTGGAAACCGAGGGTTTGAAATGGATGGTCTTCAATTGATGCTGTCCTGGTGTTACGAAATCCGAATTATCTCCGGACCTGCTAGTAAAGGAGACACATTATCTTCAGTTCCCTGTGGGTAGAGCCGTGACATTATTGATAACTTGAATGGCCACTAACTAGTAGTAGCAAGTCATAAGGTCCGGTAGAACACTCGTTCGATGGATCTTATCATACTCTATGGAAGCATATAGTAGGTGCTCGGTGAAGTTGTCCGATTATTATTGAACTCTACTGCCCAGGTGGGTTTATGGTTTGATAAATAAAGATTGCTAAAAGGACCCCCCCCCCTGGATCATTTTTCCTACTTGGACCATGGTAACTTCCAACCCTGGATTAGTATGTATTTTCTATACAGATTTCAGTTAAGCTCTTATAATATCCAATATATCCATAAACCCCAATGCTAAGTAATATTATCCTTGTTCAATAAGTCCTACTTTTAATAGCTTCTGTCCTATTAGATTATAGAAAGATTCTATTAGATAGCTAAGGAGAAATACTCAAAGCAGCATAATCAGATTGTACGGATTGAATAGCACAGAAAATAGTTAGTGGAAGAGAAAAGGTTTGGCCAACAAGGATATATTGGATCAGACAACATGGAGGGCAACACTAAGCTTCGGGGATACATCAGAAGTGGTGGAGGTGTATCTAAACTTTGTATGGAAAATACATGCCAAGCAAAAATATGCAGGGGGGGGTTGTCCTTTTAGCATTCCTCTGATAAATGTATAACAACTTGAAAGATGATATTATTCGACTTGTTCATAGGTCCGAGTCGATTTAAGTCTGCTCCGGGGCTTTCGAGTTGGAAAGATTGCGCTTGTTGTTTGTATTCCAAAGTCGATTTTAATTTGAACTTTGGAAATTCTGTCAGTGGCTTGAAGTTCGATCAATTAGCCCGGGGGACTTGCCCTGGGCAACTTAAAGGACCTTGAATATATATCGGCCCGAGTCGCAACTTGAACCTTTCCAAAGAAACCACCCGAGTGATGATCACACCCACGATTTCAAGATTGTCATTGGAGGTTAAGATCGTGTAAATTTTTGAATTAAGGTGGATAGTAAATAAATCTAGGGATGGACAGGTCTCTTCATGCTCCCAAGCCCTTGAGCACAGAACTTCTACATCTGCAGGTGGGCAGTATTCCAACCTTGGAAGGTTCAAGTTGAGGATATTCATGGGTTGAAAACCGCAATCGCAAGCTTGCGCGAACAAGCCTTCGGCAAGTAGTAGATAAACACCCAAGTGATCAACTCCTTTAACAAACACAAAACTTTTGTCATACCCAACCAAGGTTTATATTCATGAGGATATACCACCAGGGAAGAGAGCATACGGGCACGACAACTTGAACTAGTACTAGTAGTACGAAATTTGCCAGAATATTGTCTACGTGTTCCAAAAGCAGAGGTCCTAAATCCCTTCAAGTTCGCGGGCAGAGGACTTGCACGAACCCTGGAAAAAGACGAACTTGAAAATGCAAGAAAAATGCAGTTCTCAAATGATTTTCAGGCTAAGACTCCTGAGAAAGGCTATACTAGACTCTTTCTGGCAGCTGATGCTAAGGGTGGGGTTTGCCTGGCCGCTTGGTTGCCTCTTTTCATATCCTAGGATCGCAAAGTCAGAACCTCAAACCAAGATGAATTTAAACTATGTGTCTAAGGTTGTGGGGGCTAGAGCTAGGAATCAAAAAATCAACGCCAAGAATAAGCGACTGTTCTAAGGAGAGCGTTAAAAGCAAGGCATTGCAGAGACCAAGCTTAAACATTGTTTCGTCTCCGCCGTAGGCAGCAGCAATAAACAACAACCAAAGGATTCCTAGGGCAAGCCCCAAGCACCACCAGGATAAAGATGGCTGAGGCACCCGGTTTTATTCCCTAATAAACTCTCAGCCCTACGACCATCCTCCCACCCCATCTAGCACAGCAGCTTCATAGGCCCCTTCAACGAATTTTTTAAACTCCTTCAGGCTCCGATGGGCACTAACCAACCCAGCAATGCAGTTGCTGACACCGCTGATTCTCACTCCAGGGCATCCAGATCCGCAACGGCCCTTCACCGACAGGAACAGCTCAGTCCAGTCCAGCCAAGCCCAGCACATGTCTGTCTGATTTTCCCCAGCGATCGTGATCGTCGAAAAGAACAGCCACCGACGTACTCGTATTGCGACCGATAGAAGCCTCCACTGTACCCCAGTGGACTGGGTTCCACTGCCTGACAATCAGACATTCAAGTTGAGTCTCTGACAATATATTGATATCAACTTGAACGGCCAATCTATGCTTCATTCTGGCATCGCTACTATGCAAAGCAGCAAACAGAGCAGCAAACAGCAAGCGAATACTTTCACGTGATTCCACATGTGGCGCGCAATTTCACAGATTTTGCGAATTTCCACGATTCCACCTGTGGCAGAGTTCCAGGGGGGACAGTGCACGGCCTTGGATTCGCTGAAAGAGTGGGCCACGAAATGAAGGGCCATCTGTCCATCGCCAATCAGTGTGGTTCAATCGGGGACTGCCGTGTGCCACAGATTACTGTATCGTCATCATCATCACCATCGGCCAGAGCACAGTCGCAACGCCATCGCATTGTTTGCTCCAAACAGAGTGCGATCTGATGTCAGAGTGTTGACATTGAATGGTGCCAAGACAACCCCGATGGCAAGCTTCATCGAAGCATTCATTGCCCGTCTTGGGATTCTTGGAATTGTCAAAGTTCCTTGGTAAAGACATGTTTCGCCTTGTTCTTTCAGGCTTGGCTTGGCTTTCTCTTTCCGACCTGCCAGCGCATCCCTCGTCCACCAACGTCAGAGCAGAGGAAGTCTATGAAACTTGCCAGCATCTACAGCATCAGGAATATTCGCATTCAGATCAGTTAATTAATACAGGCCTTTCATCCTCCCACTACTATATACAAAACTTAGCCAAAATCTCGCGAAACCAACTTGTTCCATGCCAAGCTTCTTTTCCCCCACATCACTGCGATCGCCCCTGATGATTGTGGCTGTGTCACCTCGCGAATAATTGAATTCCACCAACTCGAACTCTCTCGTCCTGCAATCTTGCTCGCTCCTTGACTATCCTCTCCTTTTTCGCTTTGATCGAGTTCTCTTTTCTTTTTCTTTTTTGCCGCTCTCTTTTCCCACTCGCCCACATTCATTCTGCAGTCACTCGCTTGTCTTTGTTGACTTTCGCACTCCCTCTCGCACTCCCCTTGCTTGGCCTGCTGCAAAACTCCACACCATCTTTTTTTCTCTGCGCCCAAGCCAAGCAACAAAAAACAAGAAGAAGAATTCGATTTCCTTTGAACTCTGCCCTCTCCGAATCCTTTTAGTCCCCGCTTTCTAAGAATCGAACTGTGGCGGCAGCTGAGCCACGCTGAGACTCCGTACCTTCTCCACCAGTCCACCTCTGTATGGCTTTGTTAGGTTGAAACTATTTTTCCAAACGCGTAAGTGACTCGTTTCAGCCCACGTTGATTCGGTCTGGCACTGGTACTGGTCGTGGCCGCCTAATATTGGCTCAGCGACGTGTCTTTCAACTCTTCCTTGTACTCAGGCTCGGCTGGGCTGGGCTTGAACTGAACTCAATCAACGCCCAACCGTGTCGCATACCAAGCCTCATCATCTACAAGGAAACAAGACTAATCAACCACACTCTCAGAATCTACCAAGCCATCAAGATCATTCAATCCCCGCCACTACTTTCAAAATGCGTAAGTTCACAGATGCCGAGGCAGATCAGATGCAAGCCCTATATCAAAACAACCAGAGAGAAAGAAAGAGAGGAGAGAGACTACATTGACATGATCTATCTCCCCATCGACCAAAGACTCAACCAAACTCACAATACTCCAGATATCTACCGCCGACAAGCCCGCAATCTAGCCTGGTATGACCAAGATGGCGAACCATCCTCGCACAACCCATTCAAGAAATTCCGCCGTCGCCCACGCCGCACCAACTCAATCCAACTGGAAGAGCAACGCGGCGCCTCCAGAAGCATGGGTGACCTAAGCACAACCGAAGACCAACGCCGCCGCGCAGAGATGAACAACGGCCTCTCCGGCCCCGAGCACTATGACACATTCCCTCCCGAATCTGCAGGAAGCGACGTGAGCCCTTCATCGTTGCGGCACGCTGCAACGGCCGCCGGAGCAAAGGATCACCAGCATCAATTCTCAAGCCCCGAGCAAGGACCCGAACCGTCTATGCGAAGCCAGGATCCGATTAATGTTTCTTCGTCGCGGGAGTTGGATCTCGAGGGGGAGAGCGGCGTCGGTGCTGGGGCGGGAAAACCAAGATCGAGGTTTTTGGGCAAGTTTAGGCGCCAGAAGACTGAGGGCGATGCCGAGGAGTTCAAGGATGGAGAAGATGTTGAGGGGCCGACTTTTACGGTTGCGTCGCAGCTGCGCGCGACTATCCTCAATTCTTGGATTAATGTTCTTATTTTTGCGGCGCCGGCTGGAAGTAGGTTTTTCTCTTCTTATTTTGCCCTGGGATTGGGTATGCTGACTTTTTACTGTTTTAGTTGCGCTTTATTGCGTGGATGCAAATCCCATTGCCATTTTTGTTGTCAACTTTATTGCTATTATGTGAGTTCGAGCCCGCTCATCGTGGACACGAGAAAGGGATAAGAAGGAAAAACGCATGCTAATGATCGGTGGTACAGTCCTCTTGCAGCCATGCTGAGCTATGCGACAGAAGAAATTGCTATGCGGTATGTTATCATCTCCGAGTCGAATACAAGCACAGGATGGTGCAGATCATACTAACCACACACCGCAGGACTGGTGAAACAATCGGTGGATTGCTAAATGCTTCATTTGGGTAAGTCTTGCGTTACAGTCCAGTCCATTTGGATAACCCTCTAACGTCGCATTTTACAGTAACGCCGTCGAACTAATCGTCGCCATCATTGCCCTGATCAAGAGAGAAGTTATCATTGTCCAAACCTCTCTGATCGGCAGTATTCTATCGAATCTGCTCCTCGTCATGGGAATGTGTTTCTTCTTCGGCGGAATCAACCGCATGGAGCAGCACTTCAACGTCGTCGTCGCACAAACCGCAGCCAGTCTGCTCGCCCTCGCTGTTAGCAGTTTGATCATTCCAACTGCGTTCAAATCGTGGTCTGAAGGTATGTCCTGTCCTTCACCCATCACCCATTATCTATCTCCCTCCTCTTATCACTGCAAATCCGAACCACGTAACTGATCAATTCAATTAAACCAAACCAGGCAACAAAGACAAAGTCGCTCCCCTCTCCCGAGGAACCAGTGTTCTCCTCCTAATCACCTACGGCTGCTACCTCTTCTTCCAACTGAAGTCTCACGCCGCCATGTACAACGAGCCGAGCAAGAAAGTCGAGAAGCGCCGCCGCAAGCCCTCCGAAGGCGACCTATCGCGCGGACTGGCAAAGATCGGCGACGCAGCCGCGAAACAGATCGGCGGCGAGAATGCGCAGAACATGGAAATCCAGGAACCGGATGAGGAGCCTGAGCAGCCTCAGTTGACTATCTTCACCGCGTTGCTAACTCTTTTCCTGTCGACTGCGCTTGTTGCTGTTTGTGCTGAGTTCATGGTGAGTTTGTTCCCTGTCTGCTGTGTCAGATAGCATGGATGATCGAAAATGATTTAATACTGATACTAATACTCTGCTGTGTTAGGTTGACTCTATCGACGGCCTGACCAAGACCGGTGGCGTCAGCGATACTTTTGTCGGATTGATTCTCCTGCCTATTGTTGGTAATGCGGCGGAGCATGCTACGGCTGTGACTGTTGCGTGCAAGGATAAGATGGATCTGGCCATTGGCGTTGCTGTAGGATCTAGTATGCAGATTGCCCTGCTTGTTCTGCCGCTTATTGTTGTTCTTGGATGGATTATTGGTATGTTATTCAAAAGAATCACCCTGAATAGAAAGAAGGAGAACTAACAATGATCCCAGGTGTCGATGACATGACTCTTGGTTTCGATGGTTTCCAGGTCATTCTACTCTTCGTCTCTGTCCTCTTGGTACGCCTCCCTCCTTACAAACGCGAGATGATTCGTGCAATTCTAACTAATATAAAAGGTCAACTACCTTATCGGAGACGGCAAATCTCACTGGCTTGAGGGTGTCTTGCTTATGATGATGTACCTAATTATCGCCATTGCTGCTTGGTACGTCACACGCGTTCATGGGGGCACACCGACCCTTCCGTTCCAAACTATATGCGCATATGCTAATCTTCCCAGGTTCTTCTAATGCGCTCCACGAGCCATTGGACATTGCATTTATCTCTAGGTAATCTCTAAACTGGGCGGTTCATTCTCTATCTGCTCTCCTTATTTTGTACTGTGCTTTACTTTACCTTACTTCACTTCTTCCACTTCTTGGGGCGACATCTTTGAAAATACCAAATCTCTAATCTGAATACCCTTTCTCACACGTACGATTACCATACCTACCTAGGTAGGTGCCATCTACTATATATATACCTATCCTATCCTATCCTACCTACTCTACTAGTATGATCCTATCCTTGTATGTACATGTGCACCCACCCAATGAAATAAATACTAGTAGGCAGTTTTCCGACCAAGCTTCAACAAACCGATCAACGAGCGCACGGCCAGAAACCTCAATCCTCGGCATTAGATACCTAATCCATGCTGCATGTTCCTGCCAGTGCACAAATCTAATCTCACTTACCCCATATTCTTAGCCCAGCTTAGCCCAAATCAAATCACCGACACGGCCCACTACTAGTACATACTGGTACCAGTGATAAACAAGGTTACGTCCTGCATGTAACCCCTCCCTGCACCCCAACCGCCCCTGCCACAAGTCCGAGTCCGGGCCGGATGAAGCGAAGCAGAATAGCCTAAACAAAAGCACCCCGGGATAAATAAGGCCGAAGAACCTCCATACGTACGTACTAGCTCCAAAGAATGCACGTACTGATTAGTACCTTTGACGGCAGGATCGGGCCTGACTCCGAACAGGACAGCAGGCCTAAGCCCTGGTGCGCGTGAGCGTGAGCCCCAGCCTCGCGGCAGAATTACCCTCGCAAGCGAAATCAACACTGTCTGCCACCTGCCCCTACCCAGACCAAAACCAAGCCAAGCCGAAGATGGTAACCGGGCCGGCGGAACCGCATTAAGGCAATTACCGGCGGCACGATTGGTTTGGGATTGGTTTGTATTCAAGCTGGATCCGTTAGATTGGACCGCGATTAAGTACGGAGTAGTATGTACACAGCCTGAGATTAAATAACCGGGCTTCTAGAAGAATGTTAGTGGGACTTGAAGTTGGATAGATATGTAGATGTAGATGTAGATCGGTCGGGGCCTCTTGCCTCGTTGGTACACATATATGTAAGGGCCCAGAAGGTCACGGTCGGAGGGCAATTGCCCTAACTAATGATATGTACGGAGTACGGACATTTACTTGAATGGTTTGTGGCTCTGTTTGCTTTCAAGTTGATTCCAATGTCCCAGGTACTCCTTCCTAGTTCTGCGTTTGTGTGTGCGTTTGCTTTCGCCGGATGATGTGCGGCATATCGTACATACTAGCCACACATACATACATACTCCCCTCGCAATTGCAATCGAATCAACTGATCAATCTACTAGTAGCTGCTTGTGCGCTTAGTTTAACTAGTAGCTGTATTGTGACCTCACCTGTACCCTCTATGATGATTCCAATATATGATATCATTCCCAACCCAGCCAAGATCAGGAACGAAAAAAAAGAAAGCAAAAACCAGGAAATCAGAATCAGACACAGCACCAGAACCACAGGCAGAACCGGAATTCCACCTCCAACACCCCTTTTCCCATTACACATAACCCCCCACGGGGCGGATGCGACACGGCTCACTCGGGGTGTCACGGGTCCAAAAAGACCATCGGGCAGAAATCGGCTCGGTCGGGATCCCACGCAATGGAAAAAAAAAATCTTTCTTTTACCCGAACCGATGTGGGGTGGAATCTTGATTCCGAGCGAATATTGCCGTTTTAAAACATAATGTCTACATAAGCTGGTTATGAAGGATGGGGGTGCCAGTGAGAGAGCATGAGCATGAGCTTGAGCATGGGGGTTACAGGGTCCAATTTTTGAAATTTATCGTGGGATGGGGGGGGGGTTTTTTTTGGCTCCATTCAGGATTTTTCGGGTTACTTTTTCCAGATTGTTTGTGAGTATGAGTATCGGGGAAGGGTACAGAGTGCCTCCCTCAAAGTTCTCTCACCCTCCTATGTACTCCGTACCCACTGCGTATGCTCATAACTCCCTTTGATTTGAACAGCGGTTCTGCTACCTTGAGACGAGATCAGATGAAGCCAGAAGGCGGGGTGCAGCCCAACCCCAAACCCCAAACTCCAAACCCAACCCAGCCCAACTCAACTTAAACCCAAATCTAAATCCCAGAGGCAAAGAAAGCCAAATCCGAATTTAAACTCCAACCTCCAACTTAACATGGACATCAAGCCGTGTGAGGGCGGATATGAAAGTAAGACTAGAGTGGGAAAGGAAGGCTTGGCGCGGCTTCCTTTGCTTGGCTCATTGCGGTTTGACATTGACTTGTTTGGTTCTGGGTCAGATCTGTTTGGCTCTGCTCTGCTCTTCTCTGTTCTGCTCGGTGATGATCCGATCGGTTAAACTATGGACAAACTAGGAGAAGTGCTCGTACGCACATCATTGCAATTTACGGGTCGGGGGATAAACGGAGAAACTTGAAGGGACGGAAAAATCCAATTGACATAGGCTACGACGTGGAGGCTTTGGCATTGGCTATGGCTTTGGGAGGAGCTCAAAATAGTTCCTATTCGGGTCAATTTGCGCCGACCGATTCGGTAGTCCGGAGCGCGGTACGGGATGCCTGTTTGATCGGGTGAAGCCGAGGGAAAGGAAGGAATGGGAATTGGAACACTCGTATGGAGTGCCAGTGATTGATGAAGGAGGGAAGGGATAGAGTGGAGAATTATGATGAACTTGAACATGTTTCCCAGAACCTGGAATACCTTGCCTAGGTATATGTACTATGACAAGGCGAAAGGGTGAACATACATACTGGGTCATTGTTCATTGGGGGAGAGGATTGGATCGATCGGAAAACGGAGTGCGAGATTGAGATTGGGACGAGCTGGAGTCAGGTCAGGGGTTGTCGGGTCTTGTGGTCAGCAGGCGATCGTATTATTTTTGTTTTTTACCTTCCCGGCATGGATTGAACAGGATTGCCTTCGTTTTTTTTTTTTTTTTCTTTTCCCCCCCCGACTCTATTTCGCGGAGTCGTCATAGCAGAGACCCGGGCCCGATGTCATAGGTTCGGGTAGATTGAAGATGGACACTGAAGGAAGGGTCAGCTGAGTGACCCCGCCAAGAAAGGAACGGAAGAATTGAAACGGCTTGTGCACGTCCCCGAGACGAGAGGCGAGACCGGACCGGAAGGACGTAGGATACATACGAGTAGCATAGCATCCTATGGCATAGTTACCATATTCAGTATCCATAGGGTAGGTACTGCCGCTGTTAGGCGAGGTGACCTCGGACTGCGGCGCACTGAGGAAGTGTATGATTCCGATGATGACCATGGCCATGGCCATGGCGATTAATATTACTCCGTACTCCGTAGGTAATGACAATGCAGTAAGTTGGGGCTGCTTGAATTTCCCTTTTAAGGTCATTGGATCCACAGGGCGTTTTTGTCCTTGCGGATTTGCATTTTCTTTTTCGTGCCTGGTCGGATATCCACCGGGGAAAAGTCAAGGGGTCCACTCTGACACGAGGCAAAAGGAATTCCCGGATTATGACGAAGTAGGAGGTTGTTGGTAGCGTATACTGGAGTACTACGTGTATAGGTGAATTGTAGTTGAGTACAGGTACTCATACTCATACACTGCCAGTATCATCGATACTGTACCTACACCGCTACCTCATTACCAAGGATATTCTCCCGCCTGAGTCTACTCGTATATGCTTCATCGGCCCATAACCGACTTACCTAATGTGAATTGAGCAAATGCGGGGTTGGCCGGGGTCGGTTCGCTGGCGCTTCGGAGGCTGGGGACCAATCAGAACTCCAGCCGGACGGGGCCGAAAGTGTACGGGTCGGCCGTGGGAGACTCGGTGTATGACTTTCCCGTACCTGGGAAAACCAGGAGCCGTGTGTGAGAGGTGGTGGTGGTGGAGGTGAGAGATTGACATTGTGTATGGTGTTTTGTCTTGGTGGTGCGTGATATAAGGGTACTACAACAGCAACAACAACAATGATGGCTAACATGAGACAAAGGAAATCATCAATACCTACTACCACCATATGTACTCTGCCTGATGCTGATGCCTCGGATCGCCGATGCGGTCGGCCTCGGCTCATCTGCAGCGACCCATCATCGCTATGTCACGATGCACTGAGCCAGCTCCGTGATGCATCGGTCGTATTCCGTTGGTCTACCGAGCAACCAATCCTCCCGACCAGAGTATGGCAAGAGGGGCGGGGGAGAAGAAGAGAGAGCCAAGGGCAGCACGGACAAGCAACCGTGACACGGCGACCGCCGCCCCAAGTTTAGATCAGTTCGGTTCAGTTTAGTTCAGTGTTCAGTCCAATCCAATCCAGTCCAGTCCGGTCGAACTGTACCTCCAACCCGTCATGGCCGATCCTGGCCGCCACAATGGAGAAAGAGGTAGCGACTCACAGCACAATTGAATGTAACTTCCCGGAGAAGAGGAACGAGGATCAATTCGCGGATCGCGGTGCTCTCCCCGCGGGGAGGTCCGGGGGGGGGGGGTCAGGGACCCGCGACGATTGGGCGCCTCCTCCTCGTCGTCTTTCCCCCCTTGCTTTTTTTGGTTGGGAAAAAAAAAAAAAAGAAATTAATTAGAATTTACTGTTCCATTCTTCATTTTCGTCCACTCGGCGCCGGGGGGAGAGAGAGTCCGGGGATGGTGGATGGTGGATGGTGCGGAATTGAGAAATGGAATACCCGAGGGATCACGGATTACCAGAGTACAGATTACCATGATGTTCAGTGGTAGGATAGGGTCACGGACACAAGACCGCTGTCACAGTCTCTTTGGATCCATCTCATCTCCAACCCAACCCACAACCCAATCCAATCCCGAGAAGCTTCCCCTCACTGGACCCGAACCTGACCCATGTGGGTTTCAACAGAGCCCTACCGAGCCTGGCGGGTATAGCCTCCTCACGAGGGAAGGGGAAGAGGAAGAGGGCTGCCGTTGCAGGATGTGGAGTGGAGTGGGCATGGAAGGAAGTACCAAATAAAAAAAAGAAGGGAAAAAGAAAGAAAAAAGTACAGTGAATGGACATTATGGACACTATGGACACAGTGTATGGAGTACTCTCCGACTTTCCGGTCGTCCCGCTTGCCTGTTCAGGAGTTCCCGACCCGGGAAATGGGGGCGCCGTGACGGGGGAAAAAAGAAAGAGAAAAAAAAAGAAAGAATTATGGAGACGGTGGCTTCTTTGGGTCCGCGTGAGAATCCGATCCAGCACAATTGCCGATCGGGCATCATCCAGCCGTGACGGGGTTTAATGGGAGTAGAAAACCCGCCGACGCCGGGGCGACCTAGAAGGAATGAGAAGATGGCATATGATGGCAAAGAGTACAAGTACATTGTAGAAAGAGAGAGAAAGAGAGATTGCAATTGGAGCTCCTGAACCGGGCTGGGTACGACATGGAATGTTCCACACGGCTGGTTGCTCTTCCGGTGCTTCGGTCGGCGAGAGGAGGGGAGAATCGGGTGATCATGAGATCAGCGGAAGTAATAGGTAATAGGTAATCGGTTAGTATGGTAAATGGTATTTGGCGGGGAGTATGAGTATGGCACAGGGTATAGAAGATATCCTACCGTGTAGTTAGTAGTTAGTAGTGTAGTATACTAGTATACTACAGTATAGCTTTAGCTATACCTCAGTATTGCTAGTAGACATAGTATACACATAGGTATACACATAGGTTGTATACCCTCACCTATACCCATCTTCGCCTGGATATGCTAAATTCCCCACAAACCGGGGCTCCACTCTCCACGAATCGCGTCCTTGCATACTCCGTAGGCACCTCCGCAATTTCAATTTCCAATGCCCAGTTCCCCAGCGGCTCTCGGCTGTCTGTTTTAATTTTATTTTAATTTTCCCTTTTTTTTTTTTTTCCTTTCCCCGATGTTCTCGACTCCGTTCCCTCCCGAGTTACCACCGTTACTGGCCACTACTGGCCACCACTGGCCACCACAACTGGTTACTTCGCTCTGCCGACGGCTGCCCCGACTTTTTACTTTCTTTCTCCCCCACACTCCGCTTCGACTTTATTCTCGGCTTTGGGTCTTTGGGTCTTTGGGTCCTTTTGGCTCTTCTGGGTCTCTTTTGGGTTCTCTTGATTCTCTCGGCTTGCTTCTCTCCTCTTTGATTCCTATTTGACTCGACCTTCCCCCCCCTTCCCCCATTTCTCTCCCCTTTTCGGCATCTTCCCTCCTGTTCAACCCTCCTTGCCAACTCGCTATAATAGCAGCCAACAGTCATAACGGATCGGTGAGTCCTGTTGTGTGTGGTCGGCATATGCAATGCTGACGCGGTGTTTCGCAAAGCCGAGATTCTCATTCCCCCATTCTCTCCCCCATTGCCGCCTGACACTTCCTCACCCCCAGCCCGGCCGAAAAGTGTCACATACTCCCGAACCACCCACCACCACCAACCACCAACCACCACCACTTCCCCTTCTCACCTACTTTCTCTCTTCAACTACACTTCACACCACCACCACACAATTCATGGGATACCGATCCTGATCCTATTCGAAGTTGTCACTCCCGCAGACCTCGGGTCTGCTTAAATCACTATGCGATCCAGCATCGCTTGCGCTCGGTGTCGGCGTAGTAAGATCAAGTGCGTCAATGCCGGCATCGACACCACCTGCCGCGCCTGCGAATCCTCCGGTCGAGAATGTGTTTACCCAACACCCGCCATCGGTGTGAGTGGCGCAAAGCGCGACTTGGCTGCCCTGGCCGACGGCGACGATCGGAATGGTGACTGGGATGGTCCGAAACGCCAGCGCTCGCGCAAACTAACGGGCTTGTCGGGCGCCTCCGCCGGTGCCAAAGCCGGTCTTGACGCCCTCGATGCCTCCGTCTTGACCACCAAGGTCTGGGAATCTGTCTTCGATCTCTTCCAATCTCACTTTGCGACTCTTCTTCCCTTCCTACATCCCGCGACCTTCCTCGGCCAGATTCGGCAGCTCTCTACACCCGCTCCACCACTTGCGCCGATCGATGGGATTGATGCCGCACGAAACAATACCGGTCTGAAGACAGACCCGTCTGCTTCTCTCATTCCGTTAGGTGTTTTGGCTTTGACGGCCCGCTTCCACCCGCCGCTGGTCGCCTACCACTCCCCGGCCTCCCCCGGACATACTTCAAACCCTGTCGCGGCATCCGAATACTATGCAACAGCACTCCGCAGCCGGCTGGCCGGTCTCGAGGGAGCTAGCCTGGCCATGCCCGATCTGGCACGGGTTCAAGCGCTGCTAATGTTGGCCCTGCATGAGTGGGGCATGTGTCGCGGCAAGAGCGCCTGGGTTTATGTAGGAATGGCCATTCGTCTGGCCCAGGCCATGGGCTTACCCTTTGAATTGGAGAATGAGTTTCCCCTGCGTGATATGTCCCGCTGCTCCCCCGGCTTCAAGACTGAGGCAGATCACTTTGGTGTTCGCCGCCGCTCAGAGGCCAAAGAGGCAACCTCCGACGATATCATTGCTCAAGAAACCAAGCGCCGAACCTTCTGGGCCTGTTTTACCCTGGACCGATGCCTCAGCAGCGGGAAATATCGCCCGCGCATGATTCGGGTCAAAGAGCTCGGAATTCAGTTGCCGAGTGATAATGCATTCGCCTTCGGCGAGCGGGTACGAACGGCCCGACTTAACGAGCCGACGGCTCGCCGACCACCAAGCTTTGGTGCACAGGGGGTTCAGATCCCAAGCATCCGCCAAAGTATAGGGGGCTTCAACGATGAGAAGCTTCCTCCTACTAACGGAACCCCGGACCCCAAGGCATGGTCGCCCATTTCACGCCGCAAGGATTCGAGCGAGGACGATGTGGATCGATGGGAGGTTGGTGCTGAAGAGTCGGTCCTCAGCCGAGTGATTCGTATCATTCGCATCTGGGGCAGCATTGCCAAGTGGTCTTGCGCTGGCGGTCGACGAAACGAGCAATATCCCCCATGGCACCCGGAATCGCGATTCGCATCGCTCCGATCGCAATTAAATGAATTTCAGGACAGCCTTTCCCGAAACCTGCAGTACTCCCTGCGAAATACTGATACCCACATCATGTACAAGACTACGCTGGCACCATACACCGTCATGCACGTTGTATACTTCCTGTCTGTTATTGTGCTTCACCGAGCATACATCCCCTTCTTGCCCCTTCGCTGCAATGAGCCATCGGGTCCCCTCGATGAGCCCTTGTTCCCCTCGGACAAGGTGAATGGCGCTCCCGATGGTTTCTGGCGTGACAGCTCCCGTGAATTGTTCAAGGCCGCCCGTCAGATGATTGATCTGGTGGCTACCTGTCAAGGACGTGGCGCCCTAGTGGAGAATCCTCTCGTGGGCTTTGCTATTTACAATGCTGCCTTCATTGGTGTATACGGTACGCACTTCACTCATATGGACACAGAGGGCTTGATGGGGCCCAAGGCTCCTCCCGCAAGTCACGATAGCCCCCAGCCCGGCGCTGCACAAGTCCGCAAGGCTCTCGATATCCTCCGGGAGACGCGACCTCGATTGCGAATGGCCGTGGGATGGTTCCGTACCTTGAATCGCCTCCACAGCTACTTCTCCAAGGTCAAGCGTGACTTCCGTCGCTACTCACGCAATCGACTGGACAGCATGTCTGATGCCTCGGACCACGCCATGGCCAATGGGGTGCGACCGGTTCGCGATGGGGGTATCGGGGGTGGCCTAGAGGAGTTCAAGCTTCTCGAGAAGCTCTTCCTGGACTTTGGATCGATCGAAGATCAACTCAACGAGCCTGGATTCGACGACGAGGGCAATGCCATTGCCATCGCCGGAGAGCCAATGATGCAAGAGCGCTCCGCCAATCTCAGTGATGCTGGAAGCAACGCAGTCAAGAGCGAACTAGGCGATGTGAGCGACCAGCCCCTAGATGGAGCCGGTGGTCGTCGCGAGTCATGGGTACCAATCAACAGCCCCGGCTTTCCTCCCCCGGGCCATGAAGGAGACCGTCGACCTAGCCTCCCTCTGCCCAACAGCCGTCCCATGCCATCACAATCACCATACTCCCTCCCATCCCTCCAACAGCACCACCCAGACGGACCCATGTACACATCTTCTCCTCCAAACCTTCCCTCCATAGCAGCGACCACCCAATCGCCTTCCCAATACCTCACTACCACATCCGGCAACCGTCTCCAGCCCATCAACTCCTGGCTCCCCTCTCGCCCCTCCGTACCACCTCCTCCATACTCCCAGTCTCTACCCCCTATCAACGCCACCGCTGCTTCTCCACACAGTCTGGCCGTCCTACCACCTCCACCCCCAGTCGCTCAGCTCGCTCCATCTCCGCCTCTCACCTCCACCGATGGGCCGGACTCGAATATGCTGTCAACCTGCTTAGCTGGTGACGATGTCCTCGCTTTCTTGGATGGCTGCGAATGGTCACAGCTTTCCCTCAACGCACCATCTGAAGTGGGTATCCCTGTTGGTTGGCTGAGTGCGGTCTGGTCGCAATTCACTCGGTAAATGCCGCGGCCTTGGTCCCAGCATCTGCTCTTGAACCCTTCCAGATTTGTCTTTTGGGCGGGCAATCGACGCCGGCATTTCTCTTTGTCTGTACTATTATTCTTACTTTTTACGACTTTCCGTCCTTACGTCTCACGTATGTACGACTATCTTCCACGAATTCGCTGGCGACATGGAGAGGATGATATGACAGGGCAGGGCAGGGTAGAGTACGTTTCGGTACATTACCTTGTCTTGCTTTATTTTGATGTGGCATGAGCAGCTCAGCTCTTCTCAGTCAACGCACAAAACCCATCAGGAATCGACGCGATGATGGTTTGGAGCCGGTTGGTCTATGTATTCTTCTATCCTCCCTTTCTGGAAAAGGAGGAGTGCAGACATCGACCGCCTCCATCAGATTAGCAAGAACTTACCATAGCTCTACTTATTAACTATGGTACTGTCTTGATTAATCCATATCATCCATCACTTGCTTCTTGCTTGCTCTCTTTCCCTCACAATCCTCCTTCCCTGATTATTGTCTTATCTCTGTCTCGTTCCGGCGCAGCTATAGCGGCCTTTTACCCTGGCCTGGCCTTCCCTGTCTCATCCTTTTGGATCTTGCTTTTTCTTCCTGTTTATCCCTGGTTTGATTTGATTTGATTTCCTTGTTTAGTACCAACGGTACCTGGCTGGTTGGATTGGATTGGATTGGGTTCGGTTCGGTTGGGTAGGAATGGAAAAGAAAACCAGCGTATATCCCTTTCCCTACCACGCTGTTCTGCTCTGCGTTCTTTGTTTCAAGCTCTTCCTTGGCTTTTTGATTCCGTTTTGAAGCTCTGTTTTGTTTCTGCCAGCCGATATCGATTGCTGTTTCGAGCGTGCGCTATCTTTTTATTTGTTTATCTTGTCAAAGTTTTCTTTTTCTTTTCCTTTTGAGGTTTCTTCAATGGTTTCCTTTGTCGGTTTGGGATCCCGACCTCTTGTGTGTCGTGGAATGTGATTATGATGAGCTACGGCGTTACGCTCAGAGGAATTTATTTTCCGGGCCTGTTGGCCTTTTTCTTTCTTACCTACTCATTTATACCCTTGCTTTCTGTGGTAAAATTTCTTCTGTTCTCTTTCATAGTAGGTATAGATCCCTACGTACTACGAGGAAGGGAAAAGTAGGCTTGTGGTCTTGAGTGTTCAGATTATTTGGGACTGGAGGCCTCCAAGGTTGGACTACTGGTGCTCAAGTTTAGGAGAAGCTCAACAGTTCCTGCCCCATTTGATAGTAGTGGGTCAAGATGAAATGAGAAACCTGTGACTAAACCAGACGCTGGAAACCATCAAATCTTACAAAGACCCTTCTCTCCATGTAACTAGTAGTCCTGGGGAATTCCTCATGCGGCTTCAAGTTTAGCTTCCCGCGGAATCAAGTCGGTGAGCATAGACCAACTTGAAGCTGAAGTTTCGCATTCTGGAAGTATGTACTAAATGCATCCAGGTAAATTGGCTATACTCCGAACTGCTCAATAATAGTTATACACTTTCCTCCGGTTTGAGCGAAATCGCCGAATAAAACATCATGTGACAGATTTCCTGACTTCAAGCTCTCTTTGCTTTCTTCTTCTAGCCAGCCTCCATGCAGTGCATTGGAACCTTCAGTTTGATCCATTTCAATGTGAAAGTCCCTATGACTATAATAATATAATGCACGATTCTTTTTCAACTCCTCAAGTCCTTCATACTTCTTCCGAGGTTCACACGAAAAAGGGATAGGTTAACGCCAAGTCCCCCTGGCCCAGTCGGAGGTAAACAACGAACCTGACCTATTCATAGATGCGAACACGAGAGCCAAGAGCTTCTAACTGTCGGAGAGTCTTGGCACAGCCATCCATTCTCTCTTAGACCGCTCAGCCTCCATTCAGCCTTGACGGATACAGAGAGTCAAGCATAGATTTGATCCTTTTGGGAGAGCACCTGATTGGACATTACATGCCAGCCGCAGCTACTCCAAATGGCTTGCAGAACTGTCCTGATCAGACGAACACGCAAGTTCACGGCTCGCTTTCGCTCAACAAACGACAGAACTTGATGATAAAATTACTGGGCATGTCCAGATTTGCTGAAGCACCGCTAGATCAAACGTTGATGAGCTAGTGTTCTTCTTTAGAATATACTGAGACGTTACGATGCTATATTTGTCTTGACTCGAAGAAACCCACAATACGAAGACGGGAACTTCAAGTTTACGAAGCTGTGGTTGACCTCGGAAACCCCTCCTAAATGTAGCAAGTTTGTTAGGCGATCGATCGACACTCATTGGCCACAAAATTAATATCGTCGATCAGGTTTATATACAATCCTTGCTTATCAAAGTGCCCCGTAATTTAGGTCCTCCTGGTTATCGCATACATACTTGGCAGCCCCCATCAACAGTATTGAAAATGGCCGATCGCTCGTGATGGGCTATTTCGGGCTTCAGCTGAGAAAAAAAACACGAGAATGAGCAGACGGAGTAGCCATATCATTTGAAACTTTACTAAAAAAAACCTCGTAGCAATCAATCCGGATTAAGTATAAATACCTCTATCTTTCCCGTCTTCAATAACTATCATCAACTAATATCAAACTCAAAGAACCTCAAACAACCCCAAACAACCAAAAGCCACATTACAAACCTTCCATTTCCATTAAACCCCCCCAAACAATCCACCAAAATGAAGTTCGCCGCCACTATCATCGCCAGTCTCATCACTGTGCTGCCCATGGCCAACGCCTGGATCTTCTCCACTACCGCCGGTCAGTGGGATGGCGAAAACAACCGTCGCTGCACCAAGGCCTCCTCCAGCGCTGGCGACGTTATCGACTGGGAGAACGAGTGGGGCTCTGACTGCACCCTGCGCGTGTACAGCGACAGCAAGTGCCGCACTCAGATTGGTATTGCTTCTGATGATTGGAATGACCACGAGCTCAGCACAGGGATGGGTAGCTTTAAGGTTTCGAGCTGCTAGTTACACTGCACGCCTGTAGGGGGGGTCAGTTAGAAGGAAAGGGGCTTTGGATATTGTTTTTCTGAGATTTCGCTTGCTTGGTTGTTGTCTTTATGTTTTTGTTTCAATGTGATATTCCAGACAAGTGTTGCGGGGAAGAGGATATGGATTTTTTGGTACCACCAGGATGCCCTAGAGAAATTCAAGTTTCAGATACATGGAATCCATAATTCGGCTTCAGGCACATTGAGAAGATATAGCTTTATCTATGGAACATATATTGAAAATTATATTAAGAAATTAGCTTTGTTCGACACCGAGGCACCCCGAGGCACGTTGCTATGACAATATACTTCAGGTATTGTACAGGAGGTAAAATATCCGACGAAATGGTCAGGTATCCGTCAACTGTTGTTGATAAGTTATGCTTCAATCTTCGTTGATTGTCTGTCGTTGTGTGTAAGATACAAGTATGCCGGTAAAGGTCTACTGGGTGCTCAACCAAAAAGTCCCTGACCTGTCCGCCTCCCTCGCAACTTGAAATTATAATAACTACTTCCAGGATTTAGAAATGGACTGTTTATGTATGAATTTATGATGACAAATAATGCTTCGTAAGGCGGCTTTGCATGAGAAGAAAATTGATTCGATTCAGGTAGACTTAACGCTCGAAGCTAAGTAATCTTTTCCTTAATAAATATACACAAATTCATCATTCTCTCGGTCCGTAAGGTCGTCTGCCACATGTGCTCCAGCGTGAACGACTTCCTGTCCCATGTCATTTTTCTGATTCTCATCAATGCCGTGGAATTTGGCCTGCATTGAATGGTCAACGACCTGGGCGCTCTTTCCATTATGCACACGGCGGCGGGCTTGCTGCTTATTGAGGAACCAAAGGTTAGTCCACTGGATAAGGACAATGGCAACCAAAGTGCAGAATATCCCCAGACAGGCACGTAGCCCAGGGTGGTACGTGGGCGCGTCCTGTGCACTGAAAAGTAGCGGGCCGACAATATTGCCAGCAGAGGACGCGGCATTGTAAAGACTCATGGCGACTGACTTCTTGGTGCTTCCCGCAGTGTTGCCGACAATCCAGGTCACGATAAGCGGGTTCCCGCCAAAAAGAAATGCGAGTAAATAATAGCCGGCCAGTAGTGCTCCTTGTTCAGAGCTGGTGCGGGGAACAGCGTAGAGTATGGCTAAACCAGCGACCACCGGGAGTATAAAAGTGGACAGGATAACAGCTTTGAGTCGGACTGCTTGGGCCAGATAACTGGCAAGAAGAATTATGATGAATTGCATTACGCCGAAGGGCATTGTAAGCAAACTGGTGGTATATTTATCGTAGCCCAGGCCGCCAATAATCAGGGGACCAAAAATATTGGTCACACTGGCACCGATATTGAGGAGCATTGCCATCCCGATCCATAGGTAGGTTTTGGGTTCCAATAAGGCTTCCACAACGTGGTTGATCTTGAATTCGGTATTTCCGGTTCCTGTCTGATTGGCACGAAGTCTCTCCATTGCCTGGGCTTTCTCTTCTTCATTTAGGAACCGAGCGGTCGATACATCGTTGTCTAAGCGCCAATATACCACCGGGGCAGAAACAATTGTCACCAGGCCGACAAAAACGAAAATACTAGAAAAAAGAGTTAGGAAAAACAAGCGAGCATTAATAATATGGGAACTCACATCTGCCATGATTGTAATACATCCGATTTGATGTGTGCCAAACCATAAGACAGCGCTGCTGCCACGATGGTCGCTAGCCCATTAGTACTGTACCACGCCGCGATCCGCAACGGCTGCTCTGCCCGACGATACCACTGACTAGTGAGAATACTAAATAGCGGCAAGCAGCCGGCCTCAAACAGGCCAAGAAAGAAGCGAGTGGCCATAAGCCCTTGGAAATTGTGGCAGGCGGCCATACACGCCTGGGCGATCCCCCATCCCAGGCAGAGGGTGGGCATGAGAATCTTCGGCGGCACTTTGACGATGAGATATGACGAGAACGGCTGCCAGGCCAGCTGAGCGATCGAGCTAATCGAACCAACTAAAGAGTACTGGTTCCCCACTAGGCCAGTGTCGGTTTTCAGCCCGAACGTCGCGCCATATCCCAGCACCGTCTTGTCTAAAATTTGCAAAAAGTAGACCCAGATCAGCACGACGAGGATGGTCCGGTCTGTTTTGCGGCAGATTCGCTTGCTGTCCTCCTCAGTCAACGGCACATGCGGGACGTCGACCTCGAACGGTTCGCTCGCCTTCGCCAACTGCGGGCTTTCATCGTGGATTGTGTGAGGTTTGGACATGGTGAGCTGATGGTCCGGCAAATTAACGAACAAGGACAAAGGCCCACCAGGATACCAGGGGGAGAGGGGAATGGGAAAAGATCCATTTTATCTCTGGCTACCCCCACGCGTCGTCCAATAGGGAGCACCCACTTCCCCGCGTTCCCCCACGTCTCCATGCTGCTTGGCAAGGAATCCAACACGATCACCTGTCTCGGTGGCGTTGTAGGACCGAGCTTGCCATTGGCGATCATAGCCAGATGCATCGAAATGGTGGGGGCTGGGCCAATCCGGGGCTGACGATTACCGGCTTGACTGTCTACGCTAGCTTGGTGCCAACTTACCGACTGGGGGGGGTTCCACGGGGAAAATGTGGGGGATCAGTGGTAGACATGGTGATGCTGAAACTTCATAGGGGATAGGGGATAAGAAAGTTGGAGTAAGGTTCCAGTGAGTGCTAACATCCGACCATTGCCGAAAAGAACCCTCCATTTTCGTTGTATTATATCATGTTTGGCACTAAACATAAGAGTGTCTGCAGAGATTCCATCTCGGGCCGGGGGGGGGGGCCACGCTCGGCTTGCTCGACTTGCTCGACTTTCATGGGGTGCGCGATATTTGGAGTAGGAACGTGCGAGCTTGTGGCACAGAATATTGGCCGTGTCAGTAAACATTCAATATGCTAGACTTTTTGGCTTCCGTGGAAGGGTTGTATTGCTTAGGGGATTCCGAGCGTAAGCTGGGCAGGAGGATGAATTAGAGAACCTTTCGCGGCAGTAGGTAGGTAGGTGCTGTGGTCACTACCTCTTGCAAGGCTCGTTCAATATTTACATAATAAAACTTTCAACTATCACCATGGCTCATCGCAAGCAGGTAACCGACGATGATTGTCATCGCCCGGTATTACCTTGGCCGTTGGCTTAAGACTGGGGATTATGTCGCTGAGCTCAGCGCTCGGATCGGCGCCCGTTAGGCCGACGGATTGCCTTCTATTACCGATATGGATGCCGACCATAGCCGATGTGCTGTCTTCAGTCTTGCATGAAGTGGGCACTCCGATTGGCCCAGCAAGCACCGGGCAGTGTCACGTCGTGATTTTGGCGTGCGGCCGCGTGGTTCCCTGAGATAGATACTCTGCAGATACTCTTACCGTGCCAAATATGATATAGTGTAACGAAAATGGCGGGTTCTTTTCGGCAATGGTCGGCCTCGCCATGCCAACACGACGCTATGAGGATGGTGCGCCGAATGGCTTCCAGCGAGGTATAAGAATGCTATGATTGCACAGGACATTGCACTACGCGTTAACACTCATCGGAACATTGCTCTAACTTTCTTATCCCCTGATTCATACATTAAGCTTTCAACATCACCATGTCTACCACTATCACAGAAACTGTGACGGCACCGGCCCCTACCCCTTCGCTGAAGGTCATCAAGAACGGATTCGGGGCAGAGATCACAGGCCTGGACTTTGCCAACGGCGTGACCGACGAAGGGTATATGTTTATTGAAGATGCGATAAAGAAGGTGGGCAGCCCTGCAGATAGCATCAATGCAAGCACTGTATTAACAACATCTGCAGCATGGATTTGCCGTAGTTCGACAGACAAAATTGGTCGATGAGACTCACCTTGAGCTGGCTCGCAAATTCGGCGAGCTTGACGACGTGACTCCCTACAACAAAGCCGGCCGTGAGCACCGTTTGAAATATAACGAATTGTTCGACGTTGGGAACGTTGATGTCGATGGCTCGATTGTTGACTTGAGCAGCCCCCGTGGCGAGGCGAATAAGGTATGTCCTCTATCAGCGCAATGACGTTCAGGGTAGCTAGACGAATCCCAGCTGATTCGCCCAGGGCAATGCGCTCTTTCACACTGACTCCAGCTTCAACCCTCGACGCGCTGGTTACTCTCTGCTACTAGCCCACGAGCTTCCTCCCTCTGGTACCGGGGGCTCCACTGCCTTTGCCGACATGAGGGCTGCCTACCGCGATCTTGAACCTGAATTTAAAAAATTGCTCCACGAGAAGAAATTCATCGCCCGTCACTCCATCCTACACTCGAAGAAAATGGCAGCTCCCGAATGCTTCAAAGACGTTGAGCCTACAGACTATTTTATGAGTCGCCACTGGTTGCTACAAGTTCATGAGCGCACTGGCATCCCTACTATATACCTCGCGAAGCATATTCATTCCCTTGAAGGTGTTTCGCCCAAGAGAGTCTCTGTCCATTCTTGACAGACTTTTTGACCACGCTACCCAGGATGAGTATGTCGTTGAGGTGGAGTGGAAAAATGTAGGTGATATGATAGTTTGGGACAATACATGTACAATGCACCGTGCTGTTAGCGGTGAGTTTGTCACCAAGTACAGGAGGGACATGAGGCGAGCCACCGTGCATGACGATAGCAGCCTGGCATGGGGCTTCAACGAAAGGAGTAACGAACGCATGGGTCTACCTTGAGGCGTTAGTGATACTTTGGGCTTGCCGTTGGCAGGAAGTAGCGTAAATGAGATCAGTAGGTATTTTAGCTCTGCATGCAATGTTTCTTCTTTCACATACTCCGAGGCTCTACCGTAGTATGTATACGGGTATCTGGTAGTTCCCCGCATTTCCTCTTCCGGAAATAATTTGCCGACTACAGCCGATCACCAATTTCAAGATTTATACAGCCTCAACTATCCCATTTTGGCGACCCGTCATCAGACTCATCACCATTGATTGGCACTATCGGTAGCAATGACCACCACAACAGGTAAAAGATCCTACCGTGCGTGCCTACGCTGCCGTCAGCGCAAGACTGAGATGCAACCTGTGAGGTCCCTCCCGCACCGGCCCAATCACATTTCCATTTTGGCTTCGCTTCGCTACCGCTCACACTGCTGCTAGTGATGGAATCGGAGAGCCGAAAAAGCCCCCATGCGTGGCATGTTACGAGTCGGGAAAGGAGTGCATTCTCACCAAGTCCCGCCGCGGAGGGAACTTTCGACACTTTCGGGCCGGGTCACGGCTGGGCACTGCAGCCCCGGACAATACTATCCTTACACAGCCAGATAAAGTATTCGGTCCGCAACGCGATGTGTCCTCTGATGACGAAAGGAGCACTGCAAGGGATGATTCCGGTGGTGTCTTGGCCATGGAGCTGAGAAATCCTTCCGATGCTCTGCATATTTTGGCCCTTTCCGGTGATCAGCCCCGAGCGCGCCATTCAAGGACAAGTCCCAACGGCGCAGTGGTCCCTATAGTGCAAGGCAGTACGACGACAGCCGCGAACCAGCCGCTTGAGTCTCAACATCATGTTCACCCCGTATGCACTGTCTTTGATGATTATGAGCTGGTGCAGAGAGGACTACTGCGGCCAAGCCTCGTGTCTGAGCTGCTCCTCAAGTCGGTCATCTCGGCTGTTTATTGAGTCGGCATTGGCTAACGTGACCAGATATGTCCGCTATTACCACCCATACTGTCCGATAGTTCCTGCGTATGTGTTACGCAGTTCGAACTTGGGCAAAATCCAGAAATCTGACTACTTTTTGCTGACCGCGATCCTCACCATAGCGTCAAGGGATGATCCTTGCCATGCGCTTACCCACCGCTATTGTTGGGACCATGCGCAGCGCCTGCTGGTCGATGTGCTTTTAGCGCACCCCTGGACCCAGACTCCGAGGACTGTAGAGGGTCTATTGCTTCTAGCCGAATGGCTACCCCATATCCAAATACAGGAAACAATGTCCGAGGCACCGAAGAATTTGTTCAGCGAAGACAGAACGGCGTGGTCTCTGGTCGGCCTTGCTGTGCGACATGGCTACCTTCAGCGCCTTGACCAAGCTGCGTTCCCGAATAACAATAGCAGTGACTCTAAGGAACGAGCGGATCAAAATAGGCTTGTGTGGGCAAGTAAGGGATTACTCTAAAATGAACATTCGCTCTTTCCAACGTTTGCTGATGACTCTAGATATCTTTATGGCTGACAGGCAGATATCAGTCAGACTGGGACAGTCCTTCTGGTCCCGGGCCCCTCCCTCGCGGCCAAATTCGCAGCCCATGATTTCCCGACTCTCCAGCCACGCCCCGAGAATGGGCATCAAGATTACGCATCTGTCCTGCAAGCGTCCATGGAGCTAGTTCAGATCCTGCACAATGCTCACGCCGTCCTCTACTCCTCCAAGGAACGAACACTAGCAATGGTCTATGAAGGGAATTACGCCCGGTATCTCGACGACTTCCGCAACGCAGCGACAACTTGGCACTCGACGTGGTCTGCCTTGGCGATCTCCCCGAGTATCAAGAGCACACTGCTCATCATGTACGAGTACATTTCGCTGTATACCAATGCCTTTTCCTTCCAGGCTGTCCTGACAAGGGCCTCGGACCCGCGCACGTCGACAGCCCCGCGGCAGACAAGCAAGGGCGCATTTGCAGGACTGTTGTCGAATGGGATTATGGCCTCTCCCGATGGCCGGTATATCTTTGATGCTATCAGCGCAGCAATGAACCTCCTCAGTCTAATGAACGGTCTCGACCCGCACCGGGATTTATGTTACCTTCCCTCTCGTTACTACTTGTAAGTAGTTGTGTGGCCGAACACATGAAACAAATAGACTATAGGCAGACGTCAGCCTTTACTAATGAGTCGATAGATACGGAGTCTACGCCGCGGTCCTCCTGCATAAAGCCAACTGTGCCGGCGCGTTCCAACCCAACCAGCGTCATGAGGTAACATCCCTCGCGCGAAAATTTGTGTCCTGTCTTGAACAAGCCCCGTCCACGGAATCACACATCTGCCACAGCTACAGCCGCATGCTGAAGCAGCTCTGGAGCGCCCGAGAAAGGAAGACCAAGCCTACTGGTACTCCCAAACCTGCGCCTCCAAGCAGTACAACGGACCTTTATCACCACCACGAAATACTCGCAGCACATCAGCAGCCTATGCCTCAGACAACTGAGCAGACGACGCCTTCCGACAGTTTTAGCCCGTCCAGGTTCTTCGAGTCTCTACCAGGAGAGGCCGACGGAACCGCCACGTTTCCTTCTATTGAAGGATACTTACTGGGGTCGTTTATGCCCGGCGTTGCGGATTTCAGTACCCCTGGCTTGGGGGCCGGGTTTGCGCAGCATTCGTTTGGTGAGGGGTTTCAGGATTGGGGCTTATATTAAGGCGGGGTGGATTCTCACGGTCCTGTATAGAACGAATGTATCAGATGTATTAGATACCTGGCCCTCTTATGAAGGCAAATTTTGCTTTATTACACAGTCCACATAAAAGACATGCGTTAGCCGCTTCCGTACCGGAACCGAAAACTACATTGTGGAAAATACTAGTATTTTATGAACCTAACGCCCGCGCGAAGGGCTGCGGATGAAGAATTTGTTGTGGAATTAGACTTAATTGCCGCAGATGACACGTACGAATACTAGCCACTGTGATGCAGTACCTCCAATATCCCATTGACGGACTGTTTTATATTGGGTTTTGGATGATCAGGTTAGGTAGGGCCAGTAATCTGATTCTTCTAGAGGTGCTTCTACTATGTAACTAACGGCCAAAAGCCGATGTCACAAATCCGTAGATAGAATCTCTCTAGATCCGATATGGTAGTAGATAGACCATCCGATAAGCAGGTTCCTAATTTGCGACTTCCCCTCACCCTCACCCTCCACAACTTGAATGTGTCGCAGCCTCGGTGCTGATTTTAAAGTCAGTTGTAATTACTAGCGTGTACGCCCCTCGCGGACGGTGAGAACAGTCCCACGCGCTAATTTGAGAATCCTCACCGTTCACCTACCAGCCGTTCCTGTATTACCAGTGTACGGATCCCCTCTGAATAGCGTCATTGGTGATCTCCCCCAGTCAAAAAGAAGAGTAAATTCAAGTAAGTTTACTTCAAGCTGCCAGTTCACGGCTTCCTCAGATCAAATACGGCCATTTGAGTTTACTATCCCGAGGTGCCATGGTAGTTGTTAACCCCGGAAACAAATGCGGCAATGCGTGGCAAAGTTGGTTAAGGTTTCCCAGATAGTTGGTACTCCATTTAGCAAGTACATATTGTACGGGAAATGGTTCCTGGTTTCTGTTTGAAGGCTCCTCCTGATCAGCGAATGTTTTACCTTCGCAAATATTCCCAGAGCTGCACCAAAGATGATTCAACTTGCAGATCTGCTGAACAAAATTTCCGTGACTACCGATGCCCGGTTATCGAATGCCCAGTGTTGGTTATCTACAGCCCAGCTGATGCTAACTAACAATGATCTTCGTCCTGGTTGGTTACTAATTTCTTCTTTGGATACCTGTTACCTTTGAAAGTGCCTTTCATTGCAGGGTCCATTTTTTGACTCTCGCAGTATATTCCTGAGCTGAGAGAGAAAAAGGAGACCATACAAGATACATGTTTCACGTTCGTGGAAATGCTAACAATTCCTATGTTATTGATAGTTGAGATTCAATTTCGGCAATGGAAGGGTTTCAACTTTGTCTTCTATTGGACCGCAGACTCTTTGAACCTGGTACGTCTTGCCTGTATTGATGGTGCGGATAACAAACCGTATGCTGGATATTTTTCAAATCCCAAAAGCCCATCCGAATAGGAGATGACTGGGAACAGAATACATGGATGATATCGTCTGCCATGCTGGAAAATGGTCTATCATGGTGGCAATCTTGGATTTGTGTGTGGATTGGTAACTCTATCGCGGCTTGCTTCGTATGTCTAATGGGTCGTATTGGCGCCGTGTACCATATTCCATTCGCCGTCGCAAATCGCGCTTCCTTTGGAGTTTGGGGTTCTTTTTGGCCTGTGGCTACCAGATGTGCAATGGCCATCATATGGTATAGCGTGCAGGTAAATATGCACCATTCAATATGGACTTCATAAATACGTGTCCCATTTTAATACTATTAAGCAGGCATATCTCGGAGGTAGGTGAATCGCTATTTATACTACAGAAAACGCCATGGAAGCTTACCTACTCTCTTCTCATCGAACTTGAAGGCGAATGTGTGACTATAATGCTTGAAGCAATATGGTCGAAATATGCTGATGTTCCAAATGCACTGCCCACTAAAAGTGGTGTTACCACTAAGAGCTTTGCCAGCTTCTTTCTATTCTGGCTTCTCTCCTTACCAGCACTATGGATTCCAGTTCATAAGGTTCGCCATTTGTTTACTATCAAATCGATCTATTCTCCAGCAGCTGCGATAGGCTTTGTTATCTGGGCAACTAATCGAGCTGGAGGTGTCGGTACTGTGTTTAAACGGCCAAGCACAGTTCATGGCGGGACCCTTGCTTGGGTCATAATCAAGAGTATCATGCAAACCCTTTCTAATTTCACCGCGCTAATTATCAATATCCCGGATTTTGCGAGATATGCAAAAACCCCAGAAAGTGCATTATGGACTCAGCTCATAACGATCCCTATCTCATTTGCCATAACTTCGCTTTTTGGAATCCTTCTTTCAACCGCATCAACTGCCATCTATGGACAGCCTATGTGGAACCCTCTCACGCTTTTACATGAATTCCTAAAAGATGCTAGCTCGGCCGAGCGTTTAGGTGTCTTCTTAATCGCCCTTGGTCTTGCCCTTGCACAACTAGGAACAAACGTCGCAGCAAATTCAGTCTCAGGTGGCACTAATATGGCAGCATTACTTCCTCGGTTTATCAATATCAGACGGGGTAGCTATATCTGTGCAGCTCTTAGTCTGGCTGTCTGTCCGGTATGTTTCTTCAAATGCCGTCAAGTCGTCCCACAAAAGTAACGAATGCATTATAGTGGAAAATAATCTCTTCCCCGCCGAATTCAACATATTCCTCACCGCATTATCTACATTTCTGTGCCCAATCATCGGTGTCATAATCAGCGACTATTACCTCGTACGCGGAGGCTGCCTTGACGTCAAGGAGCTATATAGCGCTCGGAAAAGCGGACCCTACTACGGGATCTACGGTGTTTCCTGGCGGGCATACCTGGCCTACATCCTTGGCATTTCGATTAATATTCCTGATTTCGCGGGTATTATAGGGGCAAATGTTCCTTCCGGCGCGCAGCGTATCTATGATGTCAATTTTATTTCTGGGTTTATTGTGTCTATGGGGATATATTGGATTTTGGCTCGCATCCAGCGTGCATTTTCGATAAGTGATGACTTGAACCGAGCGCAGAATAATCAAATTTGTTCTGTATAGGGTGCCCACAGCTGAGCCATGATCTACATATTCGACCAGTTCGCGTGGATTCAGCTTGTGCACTAGTTGCGAAATCGGGCGATCTGAGCGGCAGCATGCATATAGGAGACGAATCAGCCTTGAGAATTGGTTTCTACCCCGGCATTCCAGTTTGCATCTACCCTATAATACCTTATAGCCGAGCCATAGTATGTGCATACACGAGAGTGATAGATTTACCTGAAGTTTTTCAAGTTTGTATTAGTAGTACTAGTACTAGTGATCCCAAGCCAACTTGAATCAGCATACAAAGATATTCGTCGCAACTCATTTTATTCATCAATTCCCCCTTTGTTCTGCCATTCGAAATCAAAGCTTGCAATAAAGCTGGATGAGCCCTTGTTTTCTTTTTCAAAAATATTCGGCTTAATTGTTTCTACGTAGAATCCAGATGGCCTTTCCCGGCGGGGGGCTGAGATACTTGTCACTGGTGGATCTTCAGGCTGTAACCGATTAACTTGAAGTTGCCGAGTACACTGATTCCACTGTCTTTCGATCTCGTTACCAGCAGTTAAATAAGCGGTATCAGCGACATTGTAGGTCATGCAATTATTCAAGCTTTTCACGGTATAGCGTATCGCCCAGTCATGGGTGTTGAAGCTCAGCACGTCATCGCGTAAAGATGCTAGTAAGAGAAAAGAAATAATTCAATTGAGTATATCCTTACGTTGGCTGGCCTGGGAGGTTTGGGAATTCGAAATTTCTACATTGCATAGACCGATATGAGTCATGATTTCTATTGACGACTGATCAAGTTTTGAAAATCTTTGAAAAATAAAGACATGTTCAAAATTTAGATAAAAAAAGTATTACTGAAGGAAGTCCAGTTAGCCCCTTAGAAGGGTTCTCATCTTAGCATGATCTTGGGATTAATGGTTTGGGTTGATCTGACTCATTTGACCTCAATGGTTTTATTTCGATGTTTGAGGGTCGAATTGGCTTGGTCTTTGTTTTTTTTTCCTTCTCTTTTTAGATTTTGCTGAAGAATAGTTGGGCAATTCAAGCTTGATCTCTCATGGGGATTTGGAGTTTCCGAAGAGCATTAGATTGAGTATGGGAGCTCAGATGGGAAGCTTCAAGAATTCTTGTTTTCGCCCCCATTTCGCTAGGTATCGCTCTAACGTCCACAAGCGTGGTATTTTCGGCTAATATTGCTCTAGTAGAACGGGCTTTATCCTTATCTTTAAATTAATGCTCACATAAAGATCACATAAAGATTCATAGCTTATGAATGTAGTGGATTAATGTAACTTAGTCCCGTCGCTACTGTTTGTTATGTGAGACTTCCTCTGACTCACCATTGTGAGACCAAAGACCATATGAGAACAGGAACAGCCCTACAACTTCACTCCCTTTCCACCCCAAGATTCCCTACGTTCCACTCTGACCAAAAACCATTCCCCCCTCAATCATCCATCCAACAATGGAAGCAATCAAGCAAGTATTCACAACGTGCAAGGCCGAAGGCCGCGCAGCCCTGGTCACATATGTCACAGCTGGGTTTCCCACAATTCGCGAGACACCTGAAATTATGCTGTCAATGCAAGCTGGTGGCTCAGGTAAATCCCACAATGTCAAGTTTCATTCCGACACACGCTAACATGATCATCCACAGATATCATCGAGCTCGGCATCCCCTTCACAGATCCTCTCACCGATGGCCTGACTATTCAGAAGTCACATGCCCAAGCGCTTGTCAATGGTGTTCGAATTCCTACTATGATGCAAATGGTTCGAGATGCTCGGGTGCTGGGACTCACTGCCCCGGTGCTCCTGATGGGCTACTACAACCCCGTCCGGGCCTACGGAGAGGCGAGGTTCTTGAAAGACTGTCGAGCAGCTGGAGTGAACGGTTTCATTATCGTGGACCTACCTCCCGAAGAAGCCGTTCGGTTCAGAAATCTGTGCAAGGTAGAAGAGTAAGTCAGAGGACAAGACAACGATGTGAGAATTGTACACTAATCTTCTGCGTAGATTATCATACATTCCTCTGGTCGCACCATCGACAGCCGACAGTCGCATGGAGATGCTTTGCGGTATCGCTGACTCCTTCATCTATGTTGCCTCCAAGATGGGAGTGACTGGGGTAGCCAAGGGGCTGGATAGCGGGCTGGGGAACCTTCTCAACCGAGTGCACCGCTATACCAAAGGCTCTTTACCGGCTGCGGTTGGATTTGGGATCAGCACCCGTGAGAATTTTGTCGACGTTGCCCGTATTGCAGAGGGAGTCGTCATCGGCAGTAAAGTCATCGAGATACTACAAGAAGCACCTAAAGGTACAGGCGCCGAGAAGGTCAAAGAGTACTGTCTCAATGTTTCAGGTCGCAAAGAGCCTCGCAGCATCGTGCCTCTTCAAGATCTCAAGACTGGCACCGCAGAGGCAAGTCAACAGAACATCGACAATCAAAGCGCACTCGGAGGCCAAGACCGTATCACGCCTATGGGCGACATCACCAGATTCGGTCAATTCGGTGGCCAATATGTGCCCGAGGCCCTGATGGAATGCCTCACAGAATTGGAAACCGGCTTCAACAAAGCGTCCGCCGATCCAACTTTCTGGGAAGAGATTCGCTCCTACGCCTCATACACCAATCGCCCTTCCTCCCTTCACCAAGCATCCCGTCTCAGCAAACACGCCGGCGGCGCCCGCATCTGGCTAAAGCGAGAAGACTTGAATCACACTGGCAGCCACAAAATCAACAATGCCCTTGGACAGGTCCTCCTCGCCCGGCGACTTGGAAAGACATCCATCATTGCCGAGACAGGTGCAGGTCAGCACGGAGTGGCCACCGCGACACTTTGCGCGCTACTCGGTCTCAAATGTACGATTTTCATGGGCGCAGAGGACGTGGAACGACAAGCCTTGAATGTTTTCCGCATCAAATTGCTTGGTGCGACGGTCGTTCCTGTGCCTGGGGCGCATCCCGGTGATGGAGGCACACTTCGAGATGCGGTAAATCAAGCTTTCAGAACCTGGGTTACTGATCTTAAGACGACACATTTCGTCATTGGGTCTGCTTTTGGACCGCATCCCTATCCGACTATTGTTCGCACTTTCCAGTCTGTTATTGGAGAGGAGACACGTTCGCAGTTTATGGAGGAGATGAATGGGAAGCTTCCCGACGCGGTCGTTGCTTGCGTTGGCGGAGGGTCAAATGCGGCGGGAATGTTTTACCCTTTCTTGAAAGATAGCTCGGTGAAGCTTATTGGTGTTGAGGCCGGTGGCGATGGTTCTTCAAATGGTCGACATGCAGCGACATTAGCTCGAGGCTCAGTGGGTGTGCTACACGGAGTGAAAACATATGTCCTCCAAGATGATGACGGGCAGATCATTTCTACACACTCCGTATCGGCTGGGCTGGATTATCCCGGAGTTGGACCTGAGCTGTCTAATTGGAAGGAATCTGGCCGGGCTACTTTTGTCGCTGCCGATGATAAGGAGGCACTCGATGCGTTCCGACTTTTGAGTGAAACGGAGGGGATTATTCCCGCTCTGGAGAGTGCGCACGCTGTCGCTGGTGCTGTTAAAGTGGCCAAGGATCTCGGCCCTGAAAAAGACCTTGTGATTTGTCTGAGTGGAAGAGGAGACAAGGATGTACAGCAGGTGTCTAAAATGTTGCCAGGACTGATGCCTGCCGAGGCGAATTAGAGCGTACTTCGAATGATGAAAATATCTTGTCAACTTGACTTGCCGAGTCTCATCTCCCCCTCCCTCACACATAGTATTCTTCTTTGTATTGTTTTAGGCCTCGGATGTTTTTGAGTAGAACTCTGAAGTAGCGAAGGAATAATACTTGAAGTTGGTATGTAAACTCGAGATTTCATAGCTTTGCATGCTGACAACGTTGAAAGCATCCATGGATGGCTTGGGTCCACTAATAATTATATGAATATTATGGGGTAAAAATTAAATACTAATATCTTCGTGCAGGCAATGAAATTGCCGTATTTAGCGATTCCACGAACTTTTCACTCCTCGACAAGTTTCTCTCCCTCTTCGCTGGACGATATGCTAGAGAATTGAATCCCCCGAATAGCATGTCCTTTCCACATCAGCAGCATGACGAAGAAGTAAGAGAAGATGGCAAAGAACGCCATCATTCCATAAACCCAGCCAACATCCACAGCTTCGACCCAGGGATTAATATAGAAGCTGATAGTGAGGCCATAGACGATACGGTAAGCCCCGAATCACAATGCCGGCTTCGGCAGGGTATCGTGTGAAGCATTCTACAACATAGTTGACGGTGACGGGCACACTAGCCAAAGAGCCGATCGTGACTAAAAAGACCGCAAGTGCAAGCACCATGTAATGCAGGTGATACTGCAACGCAGCACCGAAGATGCCCAACCCAATAGGGTTGATGACTAGACTTGGCAGCCAAAGGACGTGCAGACGGTACTCGGGCTTCCATGAGCCACCGTTCCAACGTTTGGCTAGGGCAAGCGGGATTCGATCGTTGAGATAATGTCCATAGAACTGGACGAAGATAATGCCGATCCAGTGGCAGAAGGTGAAAGCCGCATTTTGCTTGAGCGTGAAGCCGTAGCCACCAGCTGCGACCGGTTTCTGAAGCCAAACAGGCGTGAGGGCGTTGACGCCGACGTAGAAACCGAAGGAGATGAGAGTGAATATACCCATGATTATTGTGACAGGACAGATCCCAATGAGGAAAGGAGTAACTCCGATTTTGGCCTGTCTTTTGTTAGAGGATGTGGATGTTCCATGGCCTGCTAAAGGTGCTGAGACGTACCGTTTCCTTCCAGGTTGTCGGCAATACAACACTCTGTCCGAACAAGAATGTCGCAAGGCGTTTCGCAACAAGGCCCTGTGGAATTTCAGGGTTTCTTTCGAAATTCACCCTGTCGAACCCAGTTTCCTCAAGTAGACAAAAGCAGCAAATAAGCGTGAAGCCGAGCAGACCGACTGTCCACCAGAACTCGACGGGAAAAAATGATTTAGCGGAAACGAATCCGGAGAAAGTTGGACCAGCAATAGTGCCGAAGAGAAAAGCCATATGCAACGCCATGAATGCGCGACCACGCTGATGCAGGAAGAACAGATCAGTCACGATGCGCGGGCCTAGAGTTGTCGGTACTGCTCCGAAGAACCCTGCAAATAATCGCGAAATAATGTACGGAATATAGTCATTAGGGTGGGTCATGACAGCTCCCCAGATCTGGCAAACAAGCGTAAAAAGAATGCACCAAAAGATCACGGAGCTGCGGCCTAGAAGGTGGGAGATTGGTGCAAAGAAAAATGGACCGGCGGCCATGCCAGCCAATGCAGCGGAGTTCTATACTTCTGAGTCAGTCTTTTGACGAAATTTCTTAACACAAGAGGACATAGATAAACTAAGTCATCAGGACATACCGCGTAAGACTCTTGCAGTTTCGTCTTTTTATACAATTCCTCCTGGTCAGCAAGGTTAAGCTGGCCTGATAGAGGCGCGATGGCGCCAGAGAAAGATGCCAGGCATAACACGGAAAGAATCATATATTTCTTTCCAGAGGACCAATTCTATAAATTGAGAGGTGAGCATATTTTCGTTATTATGAGCCCTATATTTGAATATTCAGGACATTCGCGAGCGACGACCTTAACATACCAGAGGATCTCGGGGGTGGGTACTGGGCTTAGGGATTAGGACGAGATGCGCATCGTGCGCGCCGGAGGCGGGCGACGACGCGGAAGTCTCGATATCCTTGGAGTCCTTCGCGTCCATGACAGTCGGTCGTTTCGAAGGTTACTTGCTTGTGTGGAAATGGATAAGCTGCATCAAAGGCGCCAACTGGGCGCAGAGCGGAGAGCTAGGTAAGGAGCTAAGGGGGGGGAATTTCCGATTCTCCGGCCAGCTCTCATTTATTTTTTATGCGCCAAAAAAGATTGACGGCTTGGCGGTCTAGTGCCGAGAACCCATTTTTCTTTTATGAGACGCGTCACCTTTGGCCCAGAGCATTCGGTCGCATATATAGAGTGCCCTGGCTTTTCTACTGATTCGGTTTGTCTAAGAAACGATTCGTGCTAATATTCTACTTCTCAGTAGATGGCTTGGCTAGTGACTTGGCCGGGAAGCTTGGCTCTCCACGAAACAATTTTGGGTCATCAATACGAGATCAGTGGAGATGCGGATACCCCTGATCGGGGTCAACTTTGGGGGATAGGTCAACCCAGCTTGGCAAAATCATCCTATTGAGTGAGTAGGTAGCACGTCGCTATGCGATGGCATAAAGGGACTGATTCAGCATTAGCCGAGATTATCTCCATCTCGGTAATTGAGGAGGCCGATCGCGGTGGCAGCTGTCGATGCAATCCACCGCGGAGAGATCCAGACCCACACTCGTGGGCACGAGACCTGAAATTGCCTCGTTTGCCAGTGATATACTCCGTACATCCATTTGAATAAGATCATACAAAGAGTCAATGAAAATTTTTCATCTGGAAATCCCTGCTCGTAGGCTGCACAAAAATATTTACCGCTTGTTGGATATAGGGGAATGCCGATCGCAGAGCAGTTGTCCTTAGTACTGAACGAGTTGTCGACCGATAGACCCCAATCATTCATCAAAACAAACCAAGGAAAAAATATGATGTAGTTGTTTCGTATATAATAAAAGTATACTAGTAGTACATCGATCTTAACTTCAAGATTAGATTTTCACGGCCACTTTGACTCAAATCAAATCGACATAGAGATTAGTTACCACTACTATTGCATTGCTGCATGTTTCAGCAAACACAACTGCTTCGAACATGAGACAAACATCAGGTAACTAAGATATCTCTCGTGTATTTTATTCATCGATCTACTACCTTTTAAACATCCTTTTGCATTGACTTTCGAGCTGGGTTCGTACCACGGACCTACTTAAATGAAGTAGTCTCTTCTCAAATACGAAACAGACCAGGGTCACACTACACAGCATGACTAGCGCTCACTAAATCTAGTCAAGTTTTACTCGGAGGCTAGAAGGACCTCAATTATTCACTTTGACAAGATCAAAGTCCTCTTCAGCCCAACCCAACTGCAACGGCAAGCTCGCAATCGGCCCGAAGTGGGGTTTGAAGGTGGACTTCGGCGTGTTGAGCCGTCGCCGAAGTCGCGCGCCCTACAAAACTGCTCGAGTCACGAAATTTGTGATCGTCTCACAAGAGTTGTAATTTTTCATTCCGAAGCAAAAAAAAAACTTGAAAACTCAAAAAAACTTATTATGAAAGTCCTGATAAGATTTTAATATTCACTTCTCCATCTTATTGCCTCACAACTCACCTCGCCAAAATGCATCAAATCGGCGGCGACACAGATTTGGAGTCCCAAAAACCCTCCCCGCAATTGAGTTCCCCTCACGATTCAGACACAGACGAAGAGCATAAACCAGCACCACCAGCATCAACCGGATATGCTCTTGCTTTCTGGCGAAAAAGTCTTATCTTGTTTGTTGTTAGCTGGATGACTTTGGCGGTTACATTTTCCAGTACTTCATTGCTTCCCGCGACTCCTGAGATCGCAACGGAGTTTGGGACTACAACAGAGATTCTTAATGTTATCAATGCTGGAGTACTGATTGCCATGGGCTTTTCTTCGTTCATCTGGGGACCCATAACGAACATTTTTGGGCGTCGGATGGCTTATAACGCAGCCATCATCATCCTTTGCGGATGTTCGGCTGGGACTGCCGTTGCGATTAACTTGCACATGTTCATCGCTATGCGACTTCTCAGTGGATTCACTGGAACTTTCTTCATGGTTGCTGGGCAAACTATTATTGCTGATATCTTTGAGCCAGTCAGTTTCAAAATATACTTCGTCCATTCCAATAACTATAGCTAACATTTTGTCAGGTCGTCCGTGGAACTGCAGTCGGGTTTATGATGGTTGGATCAGTCAGTGGGCCTGCCATCGGTAAGCTTCCCTGATACGTTTGAATAGTCGCTGCTATAGATAGACTGACGGTTTCACAGGCCCCTGTATCGGTGGAATTATCGTTACCTTTTCCCAGTGGCGCATTATCTACTGGCTTCAATTCGGCATGACTTTACTTGGCCTCGTTCTTTCCATTCTTTTTGTACCAAAAATTGGGGAAAAGAGCACCTCCACTTCAAAACAGTCCCGAAACCTGTCTCGTATCCTGAGAATGTTCAACCCTCTCCTCATTTTTCGCCCTTTCATCTACCCAAACGTGTTTCTGTCTGTGAGTAAAGGTCCCTCTCGTTCCTCTTTAAATTGTTTGCAGAGCTGACCATTGTAGCACCTCACCTGTGGCCTTCTCGCGACCTTTCAATACGCAATTCTTACATCTGCTCGCTCAATCTTCAATCCGCGCTTCAACCTGACTACTCCCCTCGTTAGCGGTCTATTCTATCTCTCGCCGGGAATAGGCTTCTTAATAGGAAGTGTTGTTGGCGGAAAACTGTCTGATCGCGCAGTCAAGAAGTGGATTGTCAAGCGCAGTGGGATGCGTCTACCTCAAGATCGACTAAACAGCGGCCTCATTACTTTGATCGTTGTACTCCCTGCTTCGACCTTGATCTACGCATGGACTTTGCAACAAGGAGTAGGCGGAATGCCTGTGCCGGTCATCAGTGCTTTTGCGGCGGGTGTTGGACTGCTAGGAACATTTAATGGGCTTAACACATATTCGGCTGGTATGTATTATTACGGAAGGGTGGCAAGTTGAACCTGACTGATAGTGTTTTACAGAGGTCATGCCCCATCTCCGATCGGAAGTGATTAGCGGCAAATACGTTGTTCAGTATATCTTCGCCGCAGCTGCAACGGCGGCAGTTGAACCATTGATTAATTCTATCGGGGTGGGCTGGACATTCACAATCTGTGAGTTTGAATTATTGTCGGCTTGTTAATAATTCGAGGTCTAACGCAATCCCAGGTGTCTTTTTTGCTCTCATCGGCGGGCTTTTTGTTTGGATCATTACGAAGTGGGGAATTAACATGCAAAGATGGGTTGAAGAAAGACTGGGCGAGGATGAAAAGCCAACATGATCACCAAGACGCATTACTTTGACCAACTTATTAGCGACATAGCAGCTGCATCATAGATTTGGACTCCAGAATAGACGGAGGGACATGACTTGACGAGATAGATGAATACAGAACGAGTATAATCCTTGAACGAAATGCGCCGGTTTAACATAATCTATGGCGAAATCTCTCAAACACCAGTATGTCAGCTGTCAATCGAGATGGCCTTCAGACTGGACAGTGGAGGGTAATGTAGCAAATACCAGAGTCTCTTTTTAGGGTTTAATGTACACTTCTTTTCTTTAAGTTTTTTCCAAAGCAGATCGAGAGATAGCCGTAAAATATCATCTGATTATACCTCGAGTGATGAGTCAATTTGCAGCATCCAGCTTGTGAAAACTATTTAAGAACATGTCGAGAGTCGCTTTTACTGGTCTCCACCCCAATACCGAAGCACCGCCGTTATTGGTGGAATGGCCGATGTCACCTCGGCGGTGACAACCGAAAGCCTCGGCGCATCTGAAAGCATCGCCGACCGCATGGCATCTCTCTTTCCTTCCATATTCGCACTGACCAATCCCGGGTGTAACAATGAGAATGACAAGATGACACAATCCGTAAGGCTGAAGCGGCGCTCACTTTTCGAAGATGAGGACGAAGACAACGGACGCCAACAACGAAGAAAGTTTGTCGCGTATGTGCTCCCATCTCGGTCTCCACACAAACCCCAGAGCAAAACGAACGATTACTCACCCATCGCAGCTGTCAGAGATGCCATGCACACAAAATTAAATGCTCCGGTGACTTGCCCTGCAGCAAGTGTCAGGCTGTCGGCTGTGCAGACGAATGTGCCTATGCCCCACGAGACCGACAGGTCAAAGTGAGCGAGAAGTATGACGTTGAGCAATGTTAGCCGTAAAGAGCCCCGCTAAAGGAATGTTCTTTCAATCTATAGTTATCTGGATCAGATTCTAGCGGAAAATCGGCGCCTGAAGGAACAATCGGTTACTTCGGCTGACGCGGCCGGCGTCAACGAGCCTCCACAAGCAGAACGGTATGCCCTACCCCATTAAAGTTCCTGTTTGGTGCCATAGTATAGTATATTACGATGGCGGAAGTAAAGGAAGAGTTCAATACTGAATAAAAGAGGAATAGAGGCCCCTCTCGACCAGCTGATACAGCGGACAACACCAGTATCCAAAATCCCATCATCGGTGACCGAGCTTGGTTCCACCGCTACGATCCCTCCTCGCCACCTATCTATATCGGCGAAGCAGCATGTTCGGCTTTCGCCACACGCTTCCGACGATTTCTCACAGGGAACAATGCCACCGCACATATCACCCGGACACAATGGGAGCGCGAGGAGACGATTGCAGCTGCTGCCAACCAGGCAGATGTCCAATGGCCGAGCTTACACCATGCGCGGTTACTGGTGCGCATTGCGATCCATCAGATCGGATATCTGTACCACTTGATGATGCGCAAATCTACTCTTGACAGGCTTGAGGAGATCTATCTAACGGGGGACTTTGATTGCACCGCGAACAAGTGCAAATTCTTTGCCCTTTTCGCTTTTGGACAGGCTTATTCGATTCGGTCTGAACCAAGCGCTGGCTTGCGAGTTCCCGGAACGGCATATTTTGCAAAGGCTATGAGTTTAGTGCAGATTCTTCCTGAGAGAACGAGTATCACGCACCTGGAGACACTGTTGACTCTTGTAAGTGTGATTAGACAGGTTTTTATCTCATGACTCCTTTCTACAGAAACCTAACCATCTGTACAGTCTCTATTCTCATACTACCTCAACCGACGACACTCAGCCTATGTTCTGATCGGAAATGCAATGCGCATGGGTCTCACAATAGGGCTTAATCACAACATCCCCGAATCCCAACTCATCGACCCGGTTGAACGTCAGCACCGCATCGAGATCTGGTGGACAATCTATATCTTTGACCGAATGTGGGGGTCTAAGATGGGTCTGCCAATGCAAATCCTCGATGAGGACATCCATGTCGACATGCCGAGTCCCATCACTCCTCGTTGGCGCCACGAAGAAGAACTTTCAGACACAGAATACATGACCGCAAATATCCAACTGGCCCGTATAGTCGGCGAGACGATCTCAAAGCTCTACAGTCGACGAAAATACCAAGAAACGTTCCTTCAACGCGTACAGAAACTCCTTAAAGCGCTCAAGAACTGGGTCGATACCCTTCCCGAAAGCTTAAGACTGAACATGGAAGACCTTGAGTCGAGCAAGAAACCCATTGTCTCGCTCCATATGGCATTTAATCAATGTGTAATTCTAACTACCAGGCCAACACTCCTTCACCTCCTCATCACCCTCCATAAAAAGAAAGAGAAGAGCAGTGTAACAAACAACGGCACCGGTATAGCACCAAACGATGCCTCAACTGGTCAAATTGAAGAACCAACCGTTTCTCAACCAGTCCTCACGCTCAGCGAAGCATGTATCCACGCCGCAAGACATTCCCACTCAATGATCCTAACTCGCTGGATAAACGGTACAATGCCGACATTCGGTTACTTCCACGCCCACTACCTCTTCTCATCAGCACTCATCCTCGCCATGTCCAGCTTTGTGCCCATCGGCAATCCAAACGACATGAGCTGTTTCGACTCCGCCCTCGATCTCTTGCGCTCGATGTCTGAAAATGGAAATCTCGCCGCAGCCGAGTTCTACCATAACCTCGAGCAGGTGAAAATGTGTCTAGACACGTATCGCGGTATACCACCTCGACCGCGACGCAACGATGCTGTGAGTGGTAGTAGCAGCACTGGCAGCGTTGCTGCTGGTATTGGCGGTGGCAGTGGCAGTGGTATCGGCATGAACAGCGGCGTTGGCATCAACAACGCGGAAAAATTGCCCACCGAATTTACCAGCAACGCCATTGGAAATCCACCAGGGGCATTCCCTGCCATGCCATCGCTCTCGCTCTCGCTCTCCGAGCCCGGGGCTGGCGGGACCAGTATCCTGCCCCCACACCATTCACATTCTAATTCTACACCCACCCAGACAGCTGCTGGAGCAGGGGCAGGTGCAGCATTAACACCAGGCCTATCGGCAGAAAATGAACATTTACTCAGCGGATCCGCACTGGCGCCACCCCCGCCGTCATCCACGCACACAACGTCGGAGCCATATACGTTCCCGGCGCGTGAAACGATAAGCGGGTATACGACACAGATGGCATTTTTGGAGCCGACGATGCAGGACTTTTTGGCGCAGTCGGATATTGATCTCGGGCTTTTGCATCCGGTTGATACTTTTCTTAGCGAGGCGGAGAATTTGTATACTTGTCATGAGCTTTGAAAAAGTTGGCGGTTTGGCGGGTGGGCATGTATAGTGTACTAGTAGTACATCTATGGATACGGACCCGGGAGTTCGGAACTTCTACTACTGAGTAGTATGGGTACCTACCCGTGAACTTGGTAGGGGTGGGGGAGGGGGAGGGGGCTGGGGACTGGGGCTGGGTCTGGGACTAGCGGTCTGGTTTCATTGTGGACCGTGGACCGCGGACCATGGACTGTGGACTACTCCGTACTGGGCGAGCATTTGTGATCTATAATATCTATTTTTGCTTTTTTGCGTCCAGGGTATCTCTTTGTACTGAAGCGAATTTACAGTCGTTGTTTGGCAGGAGACTATGCTTATACGTGTTGGATTGAATTATTCCAAGTTGCTTCGATGCATGTAGTGCAAGCCAAAGATATTCCAAGATTAATGATTATGGTAATTAGTGAGGTCGTCGTTGATGTGTTAGTGTATCTCGTCAGCCATGCACGCATGTCCCTGCTTCTCTCGGGGTGTTTGAGAAGAGGAGTGGCAGTGATTTGCACAATCAAGCTAGTTGGATAGGCAATGGTCGGACTTTACTATGTAGAGTCGGTTAATTTGATGGTTACTAAATTTAGTATGCCTGATAAACAATATTTCAGTATGGGGCGTAATGATATCGCTGAATAATGCACTAGTTTTAACAGAGTTTTCAAATGGGCAAGAACAGTCCAAAGATATGCAAGGAGTAGCAAATGAAGACCTAGACCTCGCGAAAACCCAAGCCAAGGGGGAGCATATTAGCCAGCCCGCCCGCCCATCCACTCCAGATCAACACCACAAAACAAAATGTATCCAAAACGACGGGGCAAAATATGTTTGGTAAAAGCAACACCACCCAGTAGCGAAGAGAGATGACGAGAGAAGGAAGCAACGTATGCATCCAAAGAGCGACCGGCATGGGTTTGATCCATATATTGAGCCCAATGCGGAGCCTCGAAAGCCAGAATGAGCATGATGGCAAGGTCAATTTTCGACAGTAGAGCCCAATATCACGGTTCCGATTCCGATTCTGCAGGAGAGCGGAAAGGTGAGATTGAGCCCCAGAACCTAGAAATCGAAGTCAATTTTCAGGGAGAATTTCAGCCCATGTCGAGAAAGGATGTCCATACAGACAAGCCAGGCTCTGTGTGCAGAAGGGTCTCTGCCAGACATGGCATAGAGCCAGTGAACAGCCTTCCGAACCTTCTCCGTGAGCCCGATAGCCTCGGGGGTTCCTGGTAGAGTTCTCGCGAAGAGCTCAACCAGGATGACCGTTGTGGATTGCATGACGTAGTGGAGAACACACCACCAGGGCGAAGCCTCATATAGCCAGTTAACGTCGGGTTCCTCGGGTAGGATGTCTAACATTTGCTGCGCAGAATCCACGCACGTTGTTGCCATTATATCACACACGGAGCTCGGGGGAGGGTGTGCCGAGGACTTGATGGGCTAGACGGCGGAGACACGGCTGCGAGATCACAAGCTTAGTGGTATAGAAGTGGAAAGCTAGACTGACGCGCTGGCGGATGAAAGGACGAGCATTGTCAAAGTCGCCGAACTGAAACTCCGCTGGAAGACGGGAGAGCCAATTGTCGGCAGTGGTGTTGAAGTTAGAGATTGCCACTTCCATCTCCAACCACGACCGCTGTGTCCCTGCCCCGGGTGCGTACAAGGTTTCGATTGCCTCCCGCATTAAAGTCGCTAAATCTACCACATAAAGAAAATAAAGGGAGATGTTTGGTGATGGGAGTTCCGCTATCGGCTGAGGCGTTTGGTCGGCGCCTGTGCTTGACGACACGGTTACCGAAGAGGACACGCTAGACCCAGGGGTGATGGGATCGGAGGAGGTGAGGAGAGATGCTAACAAATTGACCCGGGATTTGTGGTTGATGATAAGCTGAGTCACTCCTTCATCCCAAAAGTCCTCTTCGCGATAGGGAACGGGAAGGGGCGTGGTGCAAAAGATGTCGCCGGTGCTGGGGGGCCGCCCTGTCATCACGGATAGCACAGTATCCAACGCAAACAGTGCCCACCACACGCGGTATCGAGTTTCCTTCGATAGATGGGCAACGCTTTCCGTCTCGCTACGGAGATTGAGTCCCATCGCCACCGCTGAGCGAATCGCTGTCCCGATGATACGCCAGGACCTAATGAAATGAAGAGTCAATTAGGCAAACCCACCACCAAAAGAGCAAAAAAGCATCGGCAGAGAGCCATCAAAGGGAGACACACCTGTTAACTTGGCCTGTCGACAAGAGGTAAAATGCGGCTAGACCCTCTACCTGCACCTGCTGAAGGTTTGGATGGTCTAACAACGCGAGGCTGCCCACGCTTAATCGCCATGCCCGAGCAAAGTAGGCCAAGTGATCAGTGTAGTTCCCCTGAGGATGACTTTGAAGTAGATGGGAGTGTTTTGCTGCGATGGCAAACACGAGATTGAGCACGGCTGTCCATCGCTTTCCGGGTCGCACGTTAGGATTTGAGTAGAAGGACTGGTATTGGCTGAGAAAAATCTCCTTGCCGATGATGGGGAAATCAGGATGAATGGTTTGGAAATAGCTTTCGACGAGCTTATCGGCAATCTGCTGGGGCGGTCGAACTGAAACGTCAATATCGTCGGGGATAGGGATGTCCGAGTCATCTAGAAAGTAATTGAGAGATGAGATCGATGGTCGATCGGGGATTTCGCCGACGGGGGTGAGAGCGCCTTGATCTAGGTCGCGCTTAAGTCTGTACAACCATGCCACCTCCGAGTGCTCCCCAACAAATCCCATGGCCTGAGATGCTTCATCGCGGTTGAAATCCTCCTCGGTGTGGTCTCTGGCGATTAGCGGGTCTCCTGTTCTTCCAGCATCGGTTCGAGTGGTCGAAGATCCGGGGGACTGATCATGTTTAGATGGGATCACATGTTAGGGAGAGAAATGACAATGGGACAATGGGACAATGGGACAATGGGACGCAGAAAATGACATAAGGAAATTGTTTCAGGTCAAGGTTTGGAGAGGGGAGGGGGAGAGATGCGAAGGGGGCGTGGATTCTCACTCTGACTAATAGACCACCGAGGGCCTGATCAACGTGCTGGGCGGATGTCGAGTCAAGACGTGGGTACAGATCTCGTAGCAAGCTTTCGTAGCTTTGCACTTGTGCTGATAGATCTTTTAACTCTCTACTCTCTTGGTTAGATGACGATCACATATCCCATGAAGCGCCAACACGCACTTGACCATCTTTTCTCGTTTCCGATCGCCATAAGAACATCGGGCACCACTATCCTGACAGCGCTGACAGGAGGGGCGATGTCCGCTGCATTTCGCCTTTTGATCGCGACAGTTTTCGCAGGCTCTACTGACGCGGCCACTGGTAGTGTAGTTACTAGGGTAAACGGAACGAGGAATCGGGACCTTTGCGTTCATAGGCCGCTGGCCTGGGTTGGAATCCGAACGGTCATCGCCAGGGATAGGATCCATAATAACCCGGAACCCAGACGCCTGGGTCTGGGTATGGGTATGGCCTAGACTGAGCTGATCGTAGACAATTGAAGCTGACTCGTGCTCCGAGATATTCGGCCCTGGTTCGGGACGAGACGGGCTGCGGGTGTAATTGTCGCTCAAGGCACGACAATTTGTGGGTTGTGTTGGTGCACCTGGTGGGAAAGAGTATACAAGAAGCACTTTTTGAGCCTAGCGGGTTTGGCAGAAGAACAGGAAAAGGCTAAAAGAAGTAGCCCTAGAGAAAAATGCCAGGGATGTACGAGTACCTATAGCCATGCACCCCGCGATGGTATTTTTTTTTCCTTGATTTTTCCCTCTTATTTTCCCAATTGCTCCCTAGAGCAGTTTTGGGGGATTGGGGGGGACCCGTATACGGGACAATTTCACGCAATGGGTTAGCAAGATGGAGTGTGGATATGGGTCTCGCGAAATGCTGCGCTGTGGTATGTCGGATGTGAGAGCCGCCGTGTTTTGCCACTTTAGCCCGATCGAGCCCCCCCCAAGTACTAGAGTGGCGCTCTGGTAATTTTTCACCGATGATATGTCGCAAGGAGAGGAGGTGTATGCAGAAAGTGGATTCTTTGCTAGTAATCATCCATTTGTTAAATCAGCTTAATTCTTATTTCGGTCATTCTTGATGACGAGTAGACGCTGTCATTGTATTCGAAGAAATAGGGTGAGAAGAAACTCGTAGGAACAACTTGAGATTGGCCTGGCCTTTCCTGGCCTGTCAAAATACACAAAGCTCTGTGCTTTTGACAGATCTGCAATCACTTGTCTCGTGAGTGCAACGGTGCTCATAGTCAGAGCTCGTTTCGACCTGGGCCATGGACATGACCGGATTGATAGCTAGCTGGCAGGTTTCTCGTTCTGCACTTGGCGTCCAAATGCTGCCCGAGACGATACACAAATCCGTAGTCGTAACACATTTCCCATCAGATGGCTCCACCAGTGTAATATGGAAAGCCTATACTGGCTTCGGCCTTTCTCTCAAGCTTCGTCCTGGATTCACGCAAGCTGCCGTTGCTGGTAGAAGCTCTTTTCTAGCCAGTGAGCATAAGAAGGTATTGCGATGTCGCCGGTAGGTATGAGTGAGTGTGTCTTTGAAAGCAGCCAGTTGAATGATAGCCTTTTCCATTCCAACCCTGGGTTTTGCACATGTACCGGGCCCGCAACACATCCCCCTTGAGGTGATTCCACCATCAACAAAATCCCTGACAGCTTCGTTGATCTTTCATCACTCGGACGTGGTCGTTGGTTCTTGAATGGTACCGTCATCATCAAGATAACTCACTCTTCTTCTACTACTACTACTACTTCTTCTTCTTCCCCTTTCACAATGCGACCTGGGTGGTGCTGACCATCAGCCGAACGAATCCGATCCGCGAAAAAACTTTGTCATTTCCCTCGACACAGCGCAGGGGGATTTGCCCAACCGAATCAAGCCCCGTACACAACAAATATTCTGCTTCGACATATCTTGGTGCGGTTCCAACGATACCAAAAGGCTATTGTTGAGTGTCGAGTCTACTCAGGAAGGAAGCCGCTTGGTTGAGCGGAGTTTTAACACGCAAGACTACAGGCCGGTAATCTGTTGGGTTGAGAGCAAAACATGGGAACCTTCCCTGAACCAATAACAATATGATAGTCGACCATATCCAGGGTGATCATTTCAGCTGGGATTACTGATGAAGTCGGCAAGTCATGGGACCTCGCGGAGTCAGGGGAGAGGAGCCGTCAAGGGCACCCGGCGACCACGGCTGAAAGGTTCGGTTTGTTTGGTTCTCGCCTCCGTCACAGTTGGCTTCGCTGGAACTAATGGATATGGCCACAGGATGTTTTGTCTCAAACTCGAGTCTCTCGCAGCGGAGTCCGATCGTAGCTGACGACCCTGACGAAGCCAACGCAACACGCATCAACTTGCAACGCGACGCCGATCGACCCCGGATAGCCCTTCGGACCCGAGCATTTATCTGCCCATTTGCATGGCGAAAATAATTACCTTTGGGGGCCACCCAGTGTTATTGAGGTCCAACGCATCTGTCATACTGTGTGTGACTCCCATGTTGATGACACTTCGCCGAGCTTGATAAAGGTCCCCACGAGTGACCACCCGACGGCCGGTCAAATAATTCTGACCTTCGCAAAGCATTTGTTCACGGGAGACAGAAGTCTCAACTTATAACCTGCGGTGATGACTTCGGATGCCCGTGTCTTGGTGTCAGCGGTGGCGGCGTTCACCTGGACCCAAACAAATAACCTCGGGTGGAGTGGCGCCTCAACATCATGGAAACGGCAGCCAGCTAGGTCCAATAACTGGCTTGTGGTCTGTAATTCATAGAGATAAGGGCGTATAAACACTTTGTGGGTGGGCTTGCGAATGTCAAACTGCAGCCCAGTTACAGCGTTTCATGTGGTCTGCGTTAGACACTTGGAAGCCGATGCTACCAACGCAATAAGATCCACCGAACAGAAAAGAACTTGAATCAACCCGATTTTTACTGGTCGACGATATTTCCTTCCAGTATGGGTGATGTTCTTTTGTTGTGACCGTTTTCAATGTTCTTTTTGGAAGATATCGTTGCGAATGACAGTGGCGTCCGTCCCGATAGGGCTGCATGAACCGAATATGGGGACTCGCATAGACAATCTATTGAAGACGGTCAACCATGCTCTTTTACTAGTCTCAAGTTCGAAGATAGCAGAAATACATTCGAATGCCGGGTCCATCCCGCCCTCAAGGACAACATTCTGAGAGTGAATGGTTGAGGGGTTGTGACGACATCTGTGAGTGGTGGCCGGAGTGCGACCAATTCTCAAAGAATGCCCTGAAGACGAACTAGATCGGGGCCAAAAGGCCAAGCAGGAAAGATGCGGGGCCAATGGATTGAAGCAAGATTTGTTGTCGTTTTCAACATGAGGGCGAGAGGGGGAAGATGAAGGGGTGTGGTCAATCCCAGGAACTCGGGAGCCAGGTGATTTTCTACCGGAGAATAAATCCGTCGTCGCTGATCCATTCACATCCCGGAAAAAGCACCCTCTGAGCCGGCATTCGCCCAGGGTTTCCTGCGGGAAGTTGCAGAACCAAGCATTCCTTGAGGCCACCGCACGTTTCCTGGTGGGTTTGAAGGCTCAGTGTCTCTCGAGGAAAAGTCATATGGGATGGCGACTAATCTGCAACGCCTGACAGTGCTCCCTCCAGGCGTAACCTTGATGAGGCTTGTGGAACCACCAGCATTCTCAACCAGAAAGGGAACTGGGGGGGACGATGGTCTTTTCTTGCAAAGTTGAGGTTGTACTAATAATAATTACTGAAGGAAGAGCAGAATTGAATGATCAAGTGAAGCTGAGAGATGAGGTTCAGTTCAGCTGGTCGTGGTTGTGGTCACTTGGTCTGTTCTGTTTGGCTGTTTGGCTGCTGGTCTGGTCGTGCCTTCCTCACGGGGGGCAGCCAGCCTTCATTTCTGCTCTGCTCTTGCCCTGTTAGCCTTTGTTTACTTCGGGCTCCTTCCTCAATGGCCGCAAGCCACAAATCACCTGCTTTCCGTCTCCGCATACTACGATCTTATCCAGACCACATCTCACATCTCACATCTCACATCTACTGCCCTCCCATACCCGTGCAACAGACCGGTGGCAAATTTCACTAATTTCGAGGTCCGATTTAGCGCACAACATTCCTGTCGTGGCTTGTTTGATACGCGAACGTGTCAAGCCACAGTACTCTTGGATACAAACCCTGATCCTGAACCTGAACCTGAATCACGCTAACCAACCATGAACACTCGCTGCTCGCAGCTTCTGGGCTCTTGCCACATGCTAGTGGCTCGGCCCGGTTTTGCATCTCTAGCCTCTAGCCCCTTTCACCATCGAGTATCGAGTACTGGACAATATCCATTGAAAGATCCGGCCTTGTATGGTCGCATTAATTTCCAATTCTAGCCTTGATATGATATTTTAGTATTTTTCTTGTCCTCGATACAATTTCTCTGGTTTTGCATTGACGCAGCCTCTTCTCTTCCCGTATGGTCTTCCAGTTGTAGTTTTGTTTTTGTGTTTTTCTCTCTTGAGATCTTGGGACGATATTGTGGCCTGAGGTATTAATATGGTATCATCACGTGGAGATGGGAAAATATGGGGATACCACGTGATCTCCTATCTTATCGGGGAAGCTCGCCTGGGGCAGCACCTACGGTTACCTTAGCTGCAACCATTGGAAACCATCCGACTTCAAGACAACCCCGGAACACGAGCTTTGAAGTTGCCAATTGCCCCCCAGCGATGCAAGCAAGATAACCCCCAATAAATAATGTCGCTGCGTGGGCCCATGCGCCAGTCGCATTTGCGACAGGTGAGCGCCGCAAGTCTAGAGACAGTGTCCACCATCCAATCCTCGATGGAGACAGCTCGCCGAGATCATGGCCCCACGTCCGACGAGCGCATCGTCCGTCTGTCCGCCAGTCTGACTCGGCATCAATGCACGCTTTGGGTACACAATGATCCCTTCTCCCCGGAAGAGATTCTGCTCAACCCCTCGGTATTTGGCGAAAGTGGTGTGCAAGTCGGAGACCTGGTTGAGATTCTACCCGTTCGCGCTCCTGGTGATTCAAATCATTCAGGCGTTAAGCCAGACTCGGATATTAAGACCGCTCGCGAATCTCACCCGGACTTGAGTACGACGACACAATCCGATGGCACATCCAAATTCAAAACTCCCCTGCAATCCCGCTGTGTCTTTGTTGTGAAGCCCATCCCGCAAGATATCAAACTTCGCAACCCCAGATTGGAGATCTCCGTCACCGGAAATGTCGCCAACACATTCGGCTTCAAAAACCGTAGTCAGGTTGTGCTTTCCATAGTGGACCGCGATCAATGCGCGGCATCTCATGTCGATATTGCTTTCCGTGATCAGTATATGGTCCGATCTGACATGTGGAGACTGGTTATGTCGGAACTTTCTGAGAAAACCATTTACA